AGTTCTATCATAGCGAAGAATGTTTCTGCTGTTCGACTTTTAGTAACTTAAGAGCATTTTGTACCTCTTTAGGCATTTGGTGGTACAAAAGAATTTATGAGCACCATTGTGAAACTGGTAGTGGTAATTATTGCTTTTGTGCAACTTTTGATTCTTGGCGAGAGTTTATTATCGCTTGCATAGCACTTTGGGGGGTTGTAGTCAATGCTCACTTCTTATTTAGATCTTATAGTTGTAAGATTCACTTAAAGCTATAACACAAGATGCTTTGCCCATATTGTAGAGTTAAAAAGTGCTGCTGTATGTCTTTAACCTTAAAACTCACCCTGTTATCACCCTTGTAATTCTGTGGTATAGCTCTACGTGAAATATTTTGCTTGTTTACGCTCTTTTGTCGCCAAAAGTTGTAAGTGCTGCTGCTGTAGCACCTTTATATCTCGGTCAGTTCTAAAACAAGCTCTAATTGACGCCTAAATGTTTATTGGGATTTTTCGCAAACAAAAGTAAGCTTTATTACTTCGACACCAAATTTCATAAATGTACATGCGATCGCACACTCCATCTAATTTCTCGATAGATGACGGCACTTAAACAAATTAAAAAACAAATTATTTACATATTTTACAAAGATTCGATAGAAGCTATGTAGCGATTAACGAGCAAGAAATATACTAGAAGAAAATAAACTGTAATAAACATATCAGACGATATCCATTAAAAAAAATGTACAACATCATAAACATAGTATAACTATTCCTTGTATTACATATTAAGGGAATCAGAAAAAACTACGATAAAATAATGAGTTGGCCCCGAGAAAAATCCTAATTGCCTAATCTACCCCTAGAGAGAGGATTAGAGGGTGCCCAAGTTTTTATAAATAACAATTTTAACCCGCATTTCGATTAACTTAAAACGCAGTATTTATACTTCAGACCTGAAATGAAGAATACCATGTAATATAACAGAGTTCTTTGAAACTCTACCCCTGAAAAGAGTAATTTTACTGCGGAGTATTTTAGGTCCGGGTTTGATTAAGTCGGAAAAGGGCTGAACAAATTTGGATAAAATTTGGCACACGTAAATATGGTTTACTACCTGGATTGAAACACAGGATAATTTTATATCCGAGAAAAAATAGCGAGTGTGTCTTCTTTAGCTACCAATGATCTGAAAATCATAAACTTATCCTGAGAATTTGTTGATAGAAAAAAAACCACCAATCCACCACGCCGAGTCCGTTATCACTCATCAATCCGCGCTAGGTCCGTTATCATCCACCAATCCGCACTGGATCCATTGTCACCCACCAATCCGCGCTGGGTCCGTTATCACCCTCCAATCCGCACTGGGACTATTATCACCAGCCAATCCACGCTGGGTCCGTTATAACCTACCAATCCGCACTGGGTCCGTTATCACCCATCAATCCACGCTGGGTCCGTTATCTCCCACAAATACGAACTGGGTCCATTGTCACACACCAATCCGCGCTGGGTCCGTTATCACCTTCCAATCCGCACTGGGGCCATTGTCACCTACCAATCCGCGCTGGGTCCGTCATCACCCACCAATACGCACTTGGTCCGTTATCACCCACCAATCCGTTTTGGGTCTGTTACCACCCACCAATCCACGCTGGGTCCGTTATTACCCAGTAATCCACACTGGGTCCGTTATCATCCACTAATTCGCACTGGGTCTGTTATCACCCACCAAACATGTATTTTATGACGGGTATTGTTCATTGTTTACCGATGAGTCACCGATGATACTAATCGTAACGCGAAATCGTAACACATTCGCCAGTTTACCCCCCAAGCAGGGCCAGATTTAGGATTGTGGAGGCCCCGGGCCACTTAGAATTTGTATTCTTGTTAACCCATCGAAATGTTGTTATTTCTTAAGCTGTTGTGGAGGCCCCTGGGCCACAGCCCCACCTGCCCTGCCTTAAATTCGGCCCTGCGGGCAAGGACCACCCCACTCAGCCATTAAGTGATTGGGGTACTCCCTCAAGATGGGTAGTGAATTGGAAGTGCTTATCAGGGCAATTTGAGATATTGATATTTCACTGATTGCCTGATTGGAGTGAACAAATATAGATAATGATTTCTATTATTTAAGATTAATATAATCAAATAATTATGTATGTAAGATGTAAAAAGTACTGTAGGCTGTAGGTAAAGGTTAAAGAGCAAAAAAAATATATCAAAGGAAAAGATGTTTACTAGTTGGAATTTGCAAGATTTTTTTTTCCCAAGTCTCTATTGTGGGGGCCCCTTGTTTGTGGAGGCCCCGGGGCTTTCGCCCCGGTTGCCCTCCCCTAAATCCGGCAGTGTCCCCAAGACAAGCGTGCCTAAATTAGTTTCACTTTAAAATGTTAGGTTCCTGAGGGATTCTCAAAAAACTAAAGAGAACGTGGACGAAGTCGCAGGCGGCCACTAGTATCCTAATATTTTTATTATATAAGTGTCAACTCAGCTCAGTGCCGCGGCCGCCGTCCACCCGTTTGGTCCTGGCGCCTTAGGCTCAAGCCTTATTAGCCTTTGGGTAAATCAGGCCCTGTATCTAAACTTTAAAAAAGTTTTCTTAAAGTTCCTTAGATGGAGCGTGCGACCGTAAGTATATTTATGAAACTTGGCATCTCAGTAATAAAGCTTATTTTTGTTTGCGAAAAATATAACTTAATTGAAGAGTATGTTGTCAAATTTAAGTTTAGATTTAGAGAATCGTGCCAGAATCGACACCATGTTTCATTTAAAGTGATTAGTTAAGTAGTGATAAGTTAAATGTAACGCACATTTTCATTTTTTTCTTTGATTAAGCTTTTATTCATTATTCGAAACAATTGTAGTAGTATAAAATATTTAATTTTAACTTAGAGAGTTGAATTTTAACACAGGTGTTGTGTTTAAGACGTACCTAGTCATGAAGGACTTTTACTTGTTCATATTGAAGTGAAACTTCTTTATCGGCGTTGGAAAAAATTTACCGTCACATTTTTCGGTTACGCGTCACATTTTTCCGTTACGCGCCATCTTTTTTTATATTAATAGTTGATAGCTGAATGATCACACTGTCGCCTGCGAGAACTCTCTCTACTCGTTTGTAGCTGAGTGACAATAGTTATTAAAGATAAGACTCGCTCAGCCAAACTCGCATAGCGATACTCGCTCAGCGATACTCGCTCAGCGATACTCGCTCAGCGATACTCGCTCAGCGATACTCGCTCAGCGATACTCGCTCAGCGATACTCGCTCAGCGATACTCGCTCAGCTATACTCGCTCAGCTATACTCGCTCGGTTAAGCTGGCTTGGCTGTCAAAAGCCGTGCGCGTGCATTTTAACTCAGGACTGCCAATTCGTTTCTAGTTTCTACTCGCTTATCGTTCATCGTCGGAGGTGGAACATGTGCCTTAGATTACTGAGCCGTGTAATCATAACAGTTTCATAGGCAGTAATATGTATTCATGTCTATGATAATAAAATCCTTTTGTTTAAACTTTATCTAATTTAACTTTATTTAACCAATTTCTGGAAAGTTGCATGTAGATCATTTTTCTAAAAATAAGGCCATAACGAAGTTTCACTTCTTACGTGTGTACACTAGTACACGCACACATGTTTTTTTTTAGGACCATTAAAGGTTTAATGGTCTAAGATCCCATGTGAACAGCACATGTTCGTTTTTATAAGTCTTGTTTTATATCTTTGTTCCCTTAAGAGCTATGATTATGAAATTGTGCGTAGAGTGAACACTATTAGAGCACTATTTTCTGTGAAAATTTGGTTGCATAATATTAAGACGTTTTCGAAAATGGCCTGGTGTACGCTACCTTGACCGTCATGCTAGCGTACATAACGAAAAGAGATTATTTCCTAAACTAAAGGGGAAGATTTTTTTTACTATTGCACTATTTAGGCACTATTTATTAGCATAAGTTACAACATCAAACTCGATGTAGGTCACGCGTTTGGCTGGTTAACATGACGGACACGTCCACCCACTAATTTGTCGGGTTAAATGATGCTTGATCGATTATGGCATGATTGATGGACCTAAACTTTCTAACAGCAGTGTATGGGTGCGGCCAGAGTGCACTCAGATTCAGATTCAAATTCAGATTCTGAAAACAAGCGCGAGAAATAAACAGTGTAGTCGAAGGGTACGGCCAGAGTGCACTCCTGATTCAGATTCAGATTCAGACTCAGAAAACAAAACGCGAGAAAAAGCAGGCAACCAGCTTAGACTACACTGTTTATTTCTCGCGCTTGTTTTCAGAATCTGAATCTGAATATGAGTGCACTCTGGCCGCACCCTATCCCTGCCATTTTCTATACAGACTAAACAGGAGAGACCGATGTTAAATTTAGGTTTAAGTTTAGAGAGTCACGCCAGAATCGATACCTTTATTAGTCTCGGTCTGTAATTTATATCTGTGGATGGAACATTTTGATGATAACATTTGATTGGCAGTTATTAGCACCAATTGCATGCGCTAAACATTTACGCGGGAATCTGTAACCGTTCCATGTTCTCTACCTGTTAAGTTTAATGGGTCAAATACCAGTAACCATCATTTAGAATAAGTTAAAATAGCACCGTAACACCTTTAATGATGATATACAAAAGCTTAATTAAATTTAATCGCAATAAGTTTAGCCATAGGGAGGGAGAAGTTTCCTTCCCGCTAAAACTGAGTTCCGAATGACCCGTTTTAGTTCGTTGAACTTAACTAAAAAAAAACTGAGTTCCGTATTGTGTTTGTTAAATAGATTTTTAATGAAGATATTAGGTCTATACCGAAGAGTGCATATAATTAATAAATTATACAAATAAATTAATAAATATCATTTTAATCCTATGTTTTTATTGGCATAAAAAACATTTTTCGATACTGAAATGGAAGTGACAGTGTGAATATCTGCGGTTATTTTATTCAATTTCGGACTGACAGCAATGGCAATAGGCTGTCACTATTGGACTGTCAAAAGTTTCCCGCCTCTGCTTGGTCACTGAAAAGCCTGTAATCTGCTTCAGTTCATTAAAAAGATCTGGCGGTCTATTTCTCTTCGCATTCAGCTAGCAGTCGCGCTACGAAGCAAAGAAATTTGATACAAAAAATACAGTGTGTTTTTAGTTCAACACCGATATGGCTCTATTGAACGACAAGGAAAATCTGAACAACGCCATCAACAATGTTCACATCAAGGTTTGTTTTTTATGTCGTTATATATAAATTATAATGCTTATCATTAATTACGAGTAATGAATCATCTCAAAATGGGATGTGTCACATTTAGTTACACTGCTCAAGTTGAAATGTCTGACTTTTTTTCATGTTACCTACAGTCTCCAGTAAAAAATAACATCTTGACCACCCGCAATGACAACGTAACTGATGATAAAATGGATATAGTAAAGGACGACAAAGAGCCTGAATTCGATCCTCAGCTTGAACCGCTATTGCGCGAAAACCCACGGCGATTCGTCATCTTTCCCATTCAATATCAAGATATCTGGAATATGTACAAAAAAGCCGAGGCGTCTTTCTGGACAGTGGAGGAGGTTGATTTGTCTAAGGTATCCATGTCCTCTATTTTACCTGCCTGTTTTTGTTACAAAATATGTTCTGGTCCAGCTTCACATGTTAAAATAATAAGTATCCATTTTAAAATGTGATGTTTATTAGTATTATACTAAAATTAGGTCAGATCAATACAGTACATCAAAATAAGTAGTTCATAATATTACTGTTGACAACAACAATATTATAAAACAATTTTATTTAGATTTACTTTCTCACTCAATACACACTTAAAATAAATATTTTTATGAGTTCTTACCTTTTGGAGCATGATAAAAATATATTGCTGTCAGAATTCAAATGCAGCAAATATGAATATTCATTAGTATTATATGCCATATTGACCCTATTTAAGCAATATATTGTAAACAACAATAACAAATCTGTTTCAGGACATGTCTGACTGGGAAAATTTAAAAGATTGTGAAAGACATTTTATTAAACATGTTCTGGCCTTTTTTGCTGCATCTGATGGAATTGTTAATGAGAACCTTGTAGAACGATTCTCACAAGAAGTCCAAGTGACAGAAGCAAGATGTTTCTATGGATTCCAAATTGCTATGGAAAATGTACATTCTGAAATGTATTCACTGTTAATTGACACTTATATCAGAGATCCTAAGGAAAGGTGATTATTATTATCAGTTGTTCATTTATTAATAACTTTTATTATCTAAATAATATTACAATCACATATTCAATTTCATCAAATAACTCTTATTATTTTAGGGATTTCCTCTTCAATGCAATTGAAACTCTGCCATGTATTAAAAAGAAAGCTGATTGGGCATTGCAGTGGATTGGTAGCAAAACAGCAACGTTTGGAGAACGTATTGTTGCATTTGCTGCTGTTGAAGGAATATTCTTCTCTGGTAGTTTTGCTTCAATTTTCTGGCTCAAGAAGCGTGGTCTGATGCCAGGGCTGACTTTTAGTAATGAACTGATTTCCAGAGATGAGGTAATAAAAACTAACCTATAAACTTTTTTGTGTACACATTTGAATTCACATTAATATGAGTGCTGCTGTGCTGTCGAAAAATTGCAGTTTATTGCCTCCATATATAGTCTTCTTTCATGGTACACTAAACCCTGAGGTTTCACATTTTTATATCATTTTGAAGCTAAGCTTTAATTGCATAAGCTATCCTGTAGATTTGGTAGTAAAAATTATAAAACTTCGTTAAATGAGTCTTCATTCACAGACAGGTAGTGTTCTCCAGTACAATTAATTATTCAGTATCATCAACTTCAGTTCAATTTAAGTGTTGTTTATTTATTTGCAGGGTCTTCATACAGATTTTGCATGTCTAATGTTCAAGCATCTAGTCCAAAAACCAAGCAAGCACCGAGTACTCCAAATAATTAAAGATGCAGTTGTTATTGAGCAGGAGTTCCTCACAGACGCACTTCCGGTCCGGCTATTGGGTATGAACTGCGAACTTATGTCAGATTACATTGAGTTTGTTGCTGATAGACTGCTGGTAGACTTAATAGGAGAGAAGGTTTGTTAAAATTTATTATTATTAAGTACTTGTATATATTTCACAACAGAATTCTTTATAATGAACATTTTCCTTTGTTTCAGCATTACAACACAAAGAACCCATTTGACTTTATGAACCTAATTTCTCTGGAAGGCAAAACAAACTTCTTTGAAAAGAAAGTTGGGGAATACCAAAAATGGGGAGTCATGGCAAACCCTCTTGACAATGTATTCACTTTGGATGCTGAATTTTAGTTTCTTAAAAAATTTTGACTACACCAGGGATGGGCAAACTTGTTCTTGCCAATATTTACTATAAGAATCTATGGCGAGCCCAGTTTTGATTTGGACCTCATGAATTTGTAAATTGAATCAAATAAAATATATCACAATAACAAATGCCCCTCACCTTTGCAGCTCAGCTGCAAGGTAAATACGCCCCTGAATTAGGTAGTTACTAGGTATTCGGCAGTGGGATTGTCTTTGTCAGAACATGTGAATAAATGGTGGTACTTTTTGGTTCTGGTGGTAGATTTTTGTTTGATGGTTGAGGGCCCGATTTCTGCCATTTGAGGGCTGGAGATGGCCTGAGGGCTTCTATCAACAAATGAAATCCCTTGAGCTGTAGTTTGCCTATCTCTGGACTACACTGTGAATTGACAGTATTATGAATTTGAATTCCAAATAAATTAGCATATGTTTTTGATTTTAACTGACTTAATTGGAACCTGCGAGTCTGTGAATGACACATGTATTGAGGTATTTAAAAGCAGGATATGTATCTCGAATATAGCCTGTATGGAAATGTATCTTGCATCTTACTGTATGCAAATTTCTAAATTATACTTAAGTTTTATGTCTTTGACTTTAACCGACTTAATTGGAACCTGTGAGTCTGTGACTTACATGTATTGAGGTATTTGAAAGCAGGATATGTATCTCGAATATAGCCTGTATGGAAATATATCTCGAATCTGACTGTATGCAAATTTCTACATTATACTTAGTTTTAATATAACTTTTATTTTTAAAATAAATTTAAGGTTTGTATAGATGTACTATTGAACAATCATTGAGCAAGAGTGCAACTTGTGTGATACTTATTATTAATTAAAATTTGTGACATTTGTTAGCTAAAATAAATATAACTTTGTAAAAAATGTGTTTTATTGCATTCTCAAACTGTTATGGATTTTTTTATTATTAATATTCTAAAATCTTAACTGGATACACTCTGGCGACTTAACGGGATCCTGGCACACATTCCGGAGACCTTCCCCTCCTTTTTTTGTCACCGAACATAGCACCGTCACACTTTCAAAGATCAGTGTGAAGGTACTCCTCTATTTCCATTGCAGTGTTAACGTTAGCACTATATCATGTACCTACATAGTTGAATAAAAGCTTGTAAAAAGACTTATTAGTCAATCTGAATAGAATGTTTTTCAAGTATTCCTGCCGAATAAAACTGATGTACCAGGGCAACATAATTCCAAAAGAGATTATAGAGTTATTTCAATGCATCACCGACCTACACACTGGGGAAAAATTTTGTTGTGTTGTGACGGTCGGGACCGCATGGTCGCCCCCCCACGCATTGCCACCGGAGGGTAATGGGAATGAAGTGATGCCCCCACTTCTGGTAAGCGGATAAAGTATAGCAATATCGTTAGGCGGTAGGCCCTTTGGAACCCTATTCACCAGTAGAAACACAACACCACCAAAAGGTAGTATTATATTATTGTGGTCTCTGTAACGTGAAGGTTGTTTCCCCAGACGGGTGTTCCAATTCGAGCGGGAAATCCGCTGTGCCCTACCACTCTTATTATCATGCTCTTAAAATAGGTGCGTGTGCATACGAATACGAACGGACGGTCATGCATGGTCCGATTAGTTCATGACTGTATAATAAATAACGAGAGAGATATTAACACAGTCACATTGAATGACTGCTACTATCTCTGGAAGTTTAAAGGAATTAGATTGTTAGAGTCGCAAAGACTACTTTCCAGAACATTGTTTCTCATTCATAAATCATGACTCGTCTCATATCATGGTATTCATTTTTATTCGCGAATATCTTCACAAATGATAGCCTTTGTTCATTTGAGTAATAAAATTATGTCAACATTATGTTTTTGTTAATTTGAAAGAATGCATTACCTATGCTCGCTCAGAACAAACAGTATGTTTTTTTAGACTTCAAAGAACTGTTAATTCTTCATTGTAAGCTATAATAGATAAATAGTTGTTAGGTACTTATCACAGATGGGTGGGTCTCACTATTCTCATCATCCATTGCAGTGGTAATACTGAGACTGCACTTTTTATTGAAATCAGTCACATTATTACCATTGAATTCAGTACTAATTAATTATACGACAAATGATAATAGTGACGTAATAACTATTATAATATCTGTGATACTAAGACGAATTTTCGCCTATAGAATGTCTCATTATTCCCATTTGTAGCGTTTTTAAAAACGTCTGGTGTAAAATAAAAATCGACGTACTACAGAAAACAAATTACACATCGTAGACTGTTAGTAAAAATAAAATTATCTAATAGCCGTGGTATAAAAAGTCAACGGGAATAGTGATAAAAGTAGCAGTTATCACTATTACCGTCAATGCGAAAGCTCAATGTAAATAGTGAGACCCACCCTTACAGGTGACGTACAACGACGATAAATTAGTCTGAGGCTGTATTTTTGAATTCTATAACAATCGCTGAATAGGGAACATTGGTCTTGACCCGGGCGGCACGCCGCGAGGGGTAGGTAGGTAGGTACCATCCACCACGGTCCTTCCGCGCCTCGTTTGGAGTTCTATTGGCTTTTTACAAACACATTTATCGCTACGCGTCCTTGCACATCTCTGAGGAAAATGCAACCGGATTCCGCAAGAGGTAGGCTAAAGGTAGAAATCGGAGCGCCCCTTGATAACCTTCTGTCCCTAGCTGAATCATAAATGAAGAAAGTAACTAAAATTTATTAAGAATTTTTGGAGGTTGCAAGAAAGAGCTTCATTGGACAGCAAAAGTAATGTAAGGTTTCGGTACTGACGTATATTTTGAGATTTAATAAATATGGGGGGGGGGGGGGGGAGGGTTACAAATCTTTAATGGCACGGGACGTCAGATTTCAAAATACGCCCCTGGGTAACATTATCTTCGGGTGATGTATGCAAGGTTCTATGGCTCCACGGGGATGGGATAGGAGTAGGCAACTCGTAAGTGGTACTATACGGTAACACATATAAAATAAAACATCAAAATCGAACCAAACACTTTATTAAAAGACCACTCATATTACAAATATACATTATCGTAAAAAAATAGGTCTAACACAAGTTGCAAGTAACTGCTTTTTGTCAGACTATGGTTTTGACTGATAAGATAAAGTAATCTAATAGAATCAGTTAAAATAAATAAACATACATAACGAAATATTAAAATACTGTGGTTGCATTTCTATCTTTCATGTCATGACCTATAAACAGTTCATATTCCAACGCAATTCAAGATAACCCAATCATCGGGGTTAGGACCCCGATTGATACAAATATACATTATAAATAAAGAAAAACCCAGCGGTATGCGTTAATCGTAAAAGTCACCTTGGGAGCTAAGTTTGTATAAACAAACGCTTAAAGCTTCTTCCCCAATATGACCTAATCTGGTTAGGATATGGAAACATATATACGATGTCGGTTCACATTCAAATTGTAAAGAAGTATCCATCTTACAAACTCCAAATTACTTTAAATTATTAGCTAATTATTTATCCTTACCCTCCGAGGTAGCAAACAATTCTCATTTATTTTAATAGGAATGGCGTATTATGAGGAGACAAACGCAAGCCGGATGTATGGATGATAGTTATCTGCCATCCCACACAAAACTGCGATGCGATACGACGTCGCATCGCAGCCAATGCGATTTCATGCGGCAAAGCTTTGGTCAAGGTGACCATACCTTAGCAGTCCTTAGTAGCTAACCTAACGGTAGTCAGCCGCATTGGACGTGTTTTAGTAATAATGACACGGATCTCAAAAATATTGTTGCGCTGCTGTTATTGTTATATAGATGAAAAAAGAATTTTTGGTTCATCCATTTATTACGATTATGAACGATGATGGAAACTATTTTATTCGACAATACTTAGGTTTGAGAACAGGAAAATATTTTTCTTTCATTATTTTAGACTGAGCATGTTTTAATTTTAATAGCTATTCAGTTTATTATCTACATGTCTTCAAACATGATTGTACAATTGCCTCAGAGCGAAATAAAATGGCGTTTGGTGACGCCATTTTATGATGTGACGTAACCGCAGGAATGCGCGATGCGAATCAGATCGGCAGTTTTTGCGGTGCATTCGTGCGAGCTGAGAGATATTTGAGATGCCATGCGAATCCGCAGTTATGTGTGGGAGCACTTAGCTGTGATATTTTCATGGAACGTGAGAACGTGACGTGACCAAGCGTGTTACGCAACTCGACAGACTCAGAATTACAGAAATAAAAACAATTTTAAATTAACTTTTACTTATGAACATTTATAAAGGGCCATTTATATGTGCGAAGTGTACATAGAGAATGGATGGACTGAGCTTTCCCTGCTCTTTTCCTTTCTATGCTTTAGTTCTTGTTCCCCTACATATTATACACGTATAATATTATGAACGTGCTTGCTCCCCAGAAATGGGATGATGACAAAATTTTTTCTTCATCTATCAGTTAGATTATCAAAAAGTATTGGACACGTATTTTTTCTTTAATAATAATAATACAGTGATATACATATTGATTTGAAATGCCGCTTGACTTGGTACAGATCCTAGAAGTAACGTCACTAGCTCCCACTCCAAAACTTTGATGCGTTTTATCTTTGTCATTTGTTTGGTAGATTGACAAAAGAAAAAACACGTGTCCATTATTTTTTGATAACCTAACTGACGGACTAAACAGAATTCCGTCTACTTTATCCTGTCATCATCCCTATTGCTCTTATATAATATGACGAGCTGGCGAACAAAACGGTATAATTACATAAAATAAAATTTTATAGGAGCTGTAAAAAACTGTATGACATACCTACAGTGAGCTTTATGCGTATTTTTTTTTAGAAATTCAGTAATTTTAACACTGTTTAGGCGGTTTCGATTGAAAATGAGTTGAAATTCAAATTCAGCGAGCCCAAAACCTCCGGACTGTAAAATGAAAGTAGTTTAACCAAATGCGTAATTATACCGTTTTGTTCGCCAGCTCCTCATATAGCGCGCGGGTTCTAACGCGGCGTGGCTTTGTCTCGTACGAGGCGGCGGAGCAGGCGGTGGCCGGAGAGGAATGTGAGAGCGCCCAACGGCACCATGTAGCGCGCCGCCGAGAACATCGTCAGCTGCAGCCATACTACGCCGTACAGCGCGAGGGAGGCTGTATGTAAAGGAAAATTTCATTAATTCGGTGCTCTTCCCCAGTTGATATATAACACTAATCCATAGCAAATAGGATGTAAAGTTTTTTTTTATTTAAGTAACTTTGAAACAGTAGGCACTTATACGCTTCTAATAGTAAAAGAGAAATTATCTTTGAGATATACTTAATTAAGCCGTCTGATGAATATGTAAGGAAAATAAACCTTTTAAATTAATATCGAGTGAATACCAACCATTACGACAAAAAGAATATCAGGGCGCTCAATAATATGGAAAACAGTGTAAAGAGCTCTTGACTCAAGTATCAGCAGTAAGGACGCAGATGGCGGCGAACACGTTAGACGCGAAGCATGGGAATAGAGAAACCAATAAAATGGACGCTTAGTTCCTAAGGGCGAGTAGAAAAATAGGGTGCGCCCAGTGTGATAAGGAACAGCACGAAGCAGCAGCAGCAGCAGCGCGCTCAGCGACGCGGGCAGCAGGCCGCAGTTGACGCGCAGGCGGTAGTGTTGCCCAAATTCAGTCTTGGTCTTGCAGTCTTGGTCTTGTTCTTGCATTTTTGCAAGACCAAGAACAAGACCGCGTATTTTTAGCAAGACCCAAGACCAAGACTGACCGTGCAAGACTTGAGCAAGAACAAGACTAATCCGGCAAGACTCTTGTGTCTTGCAGCTAGGACTTAGCGCTATTTCACGGAGTAGTTAGGTATAACAGTTCGGTGTATAGGTACGCTTAGGAATTCTATGAGACGCAAAAAACTGTATTAAAGAATATGAAAAACTGGACCTATGCGCATTACGACCAATCCCATAAACATACATAGCAAATAAATGATAAATCGTAAAACTCTTTTATTAAATTTCATATAAGTTGAGGGTTCAATTTCTTTCTAGACAGATATTGTTCTTTAAAATACAGTCAAGTTATTGTAATTAATTTGTTTTTTACATGTTTTAGCACATGTAAGCTTATAAAGCGTAAATGTTTATTAAGAAACAGTTACTCCCATGGAAAACGACATATATATAGCTCAGTTGATAACCAGGTGGCAGTTGATTTTTCGAATTTCTTATCAAATCTTCAGACATTTATTAATCTGATTGGTCTTTACTATGGCTATGTTAATTCAAGCTCACAATGTTTCATTTCTAATACGTTTTTCTAAGATCTAAAGTAAACTTTAATAAATAGCAATACTCTAATAGGTAATTGCAAGTCTTGCAAGACTCTTGCTGCAAGACCAAGACCAAGACTGGCTAAGTCTGGTCTTGTTCTCGTATTTGGGCAACACTAGTAGGCGGGCCCACAGCAGCAGCAGCAGCAGCAGCAGCAGCGGCGCGGCGGGTACAATGAAGCAGGCACGTACCACCGAGTGAGGCGTGGAACAGCAGCGCGCTCAGCGACGCGGGCAGCAGGCCGCAGTTGACGCGCAGGCGGGCCCACAGCAGCAGCGGCGCGGCGGGTACAATGAAGCAGGCACGTACCACCGAGTGAGGCGTGGAACAGCAGCGCGCTCAGCGACGCGGGCAGCAGGCCGCAGTTGACGCGCAGGCGGGCCCACAGCAGCAGCAGCAGCGGCGCGGCGGGTACAATGAAGCAGGCACGTACCACCGAGTGAGGCGTGGAACAGCAGCGCGCTCAGCGACGCGGGCAGCAGGCCGCAGTTGACGCGCAGGCGGGCCCACAGCAGCAGCAGCAGCGGCGCGGCGGGTACAATGAAGCAGGCACGTACCACCGAGTGAGGCGTGGAACAGCAGCGCGCTCAGCGACGCGGGCAGCAGGCCGCAGTTGACGCGCAGGCGGGCCCACAGCAGCAGCAGCAGCGGCGCGGCGGGTACAATGAAGCAGGCACGTACCACCGAGTGAGGCGTGGAACAGCAGCGCGCTCAGCGACGCGGGCAGCAGGCCGCAGTTGACGCGCAGGCGGGCCCACAGCAGCAGCAGCAGCGGCGCGGCGGGTACAATGAAGCAGGCACGTACCACCGAGTGAGGCGTGGAACAGCAGCGCGCTCAGCGACGCGGGCAGCAGGCCGCAGTTGACGCGCAGGCGGGCCCACAGCAGCAGCAGCAGCGGCGCGGCGGGTACAATGAAGCAGGCACGTACCACCGAGTGAGGCGTGGAACAGCAGCGCGCTCAGCGACGCGGGCAGCAGGCCGCAGTTGACGCGCAGGCGGGCCCACAGCAGCAGCAGCAGCAGCAGCGGCGCGGCGCAGAGGGCGGCGAACACGTCGGACACGAGGCGCGGAGGGCGGGGCTCGGGCGCGCGGAACTCGTGCGACATGTCCGGCAGGGCGACGCGGGACACGCGGCTCGACGAACGCACCACTTCGCCTGCGTACGGAAACATTATGGTTTGTAGCCTTACATTAAAATAAAAAGGGAAGATACGGTACGCTCAAACTAGCATCAAATAAAATATGATCCGACTCAACTCAACTACATTAAGCAAATCTCACACACGCACACTTCTGTAAATAACATTCAATCGAGCGAGCGAGACAGAACTGTACGCTTCAACGCAGAGCAAGCGAAAAGGCGAATCAGCTTCCGAGTGCGAACGGCTGAGCTGTATTGTTGTCCTTTTCGACATGGCGAAAACGAAATGGCGATTACGTAAATAACATTCACGACAAACCGTGATTTTTGAGAAAAAAATTAATTTACAATTTTACGAATGAGAAGTGTTGCAGAGGCATTTTTTATTTGATTTTAAACTATTTGTGTTCTTTATAAAAGCATCGAAGGCATTGTTTTATCTTTATAACACAGAATATACGCAATATTGTCATATTGAGTGTACATGCAGCGTGTTTGAATGTCCAATTGTAACTACAGCGAATTGTGATCGTGCACCACAATTAAAAGCGGATCACTTTTAAACCGCGAGTGCCGTATCTTCCCTTTTTGTTTTAATCTAAGTTGTACTGCACTTTTTGGACTATCCTCGTAGCACTTCGCGTGCAGACGCGCTACTGTGCGGACATACCTGAGTGCCTTGCAATTTTTTTTGTTTTTTGATTGGCTTTTATCTATTAGTGGAAGTGTAGTGGGAGTGAGCCGGCGACATCAGCTCCCGCACAAACGATCTATGATCACCCTTGTAACCTCTTTTTGTTATGTGGTGTGAACCAAGTATGAATGTGCGGGCAGACTGCCACCGTGACCACTTGTGTTTGGGGGAGGTTGAGCTTAACTTTTCTCTTTAATAATTTCGTAAACAAAACGTCTCAAATCTAAAAATTAGCATGAATGTCATTGATATAGAGTTTTTGCACGCATTCATCGAGCGAGTATTTAAATCGGGTTCACCATGATAATGTCGTTTAATGTAAAACTCGTAACTCACCGACAGCATTGGCGTCCTTGCCGAAGTTGAAGACGACCTCTCCCAGTTGCCAGGCGATGGGGTTGGAGACAGCGCTGTCGCCCAGGTAGATCTCCACCGAGTAAGTGCCGGATAGGTGGTTTAGATGCTTCGCGATCGCACCCACGTTCTGGTAGGTCAAATAATTAGCATATCATTTTCAATAAATTAAGAGCTTGAAGATTAAAACACATTCTAGGTATTTCGCTCTGGTGCCACATACACATAACTTGTAATAATGCTAGCACTGCCATGTGAAGTGCTATTATTCAATTTATTGTATTATTTATTTAATTTGATTATTATTTAATATGAATGAATGAATATATTCTTTATTGCACTTATTACACACAATACAGAGAACATAAAACACAGAAACAAAAACACAAAAGGCGGCCTTATTGCTAAGGTAGCAATCTCTACCAGGCAACCTTTGGCTAAATGAAACCATACCATAAGAACAGTGGAAACAGCGGGCTAGTGCATTGTAAAAATAAATAAATAAACATAAATATAATAATATACAATGTAGTAAGTATGTAAGGAAGCTATAAAATACAATAAATAGTAATAAACAGATAAAAAGATCAGGCAGAGTCCAGCTTGAGGAAATATTCCTTAATTTTAATAGTAAAGGAGTCCCTCGTCTGTGCACGTTTAATATCCAAAGGCAAAGCGTTCCACAGTTTAACAGCTCTTACATAAAATGACTTGGCCACGAAATCAGTGGAGTGGGGTGGGATAACTAAGGATAAGTTATGAGAAGACCGAAGATCACGGACAGGATTAAAAGAGTGAAATGCGAAACGCTCCTTAAGATAGAGAGGAGTGTGTGGATGAAAGAGGATAGAATAAAGGAGTGATAGGATGTGACAGTCTCTTCTACGAGAAATGGGTAGCCATTGAAGTTGGGAACGATAATGAGAAATATGGTCGTACTTACGTAGACCGAAAATGAATCGAATGCATAAATTCTGCAGACGCTCGAGTTTATTAAGAAAAACAACACTAAGGTCAGAGTAACACGCATCGGCATAGTCAAGCAACGGAAGAAGAAGGGACTGCGCAAGAGAAATTTTAGTCTTGGTCGGCAACATGTTTTTCAGGCGTTAATGGGTACTATGCCTGAAATAAATGTTTATTATTATTATTATATGTCATACCAGATCAACTTTATACGCCTTGCTGCTATCGTGTTCGGCCACAAAAATGGCTTCCGATTCGGCCGTGCCCACGCGCACAAACGCCTGCGCCACTGACACCGGCTTGTTATATTTATCGCGGACGGAGAACTTCAATGTCACCCTGCAACAAGTTAAACGTTCATTTATATTGTTTCACTGCTCTAAAATTTCTGGTCTCCTCTATAAGTTTTTAACAAAAAAGGCATCGCCCCATTAATATTCATTTGACGACCTCCGTGATCGAGTGGTTTGTGTGATGAATACGAGCATTTTACTCCAGTCATGGATGTTTAATATGTATTTCTATATAAATATACTTATATATGTACAGCATTCTATCCGTTACCCTAGTATCTCATAACACAAGCCTTACAGTGCTTACTTTGGGGCTAGGCTAATTGGTGTGTGTTGGAAATATATATTAAATATTCTCCCTCAAGTACAATCCCCCTTTATCTATACATTGTGCAAGTTCCTAAAACAAAATAATATAGAACTATAACTGTAGTACCACAATAGAAATCCACCTCTTACCCTAGTTATACAATATCAATATACATATATTTATATCTGTGAGTCAATATTAAATGCATGGGTGGCATCACAAATGTCTGTCTATGTGTTGTTACAGATAATTAACGAGGCTGTAGTCGAAATACTGCACAACATCAACAAAACCGTACAGTCTCAGCATATATCTTGTTTCCTTTAACACAGACATTGGCAGAATCGTCACGTAATGAGACCGAGCCATAATCACCAAAAATTTAGTTACTTTTAACAGCATTTTAGTTTACATTCTAAATCTTAGCGGACCACAGGTCGTATTTTGAAGTCTTTTCGCCAGGCATATTCCGTTGTTAGAGCGATATCGCATACGCACAGCTTCACCGACTGTATTGTTTGGCAAAAAAATAAAAAAATAACTTTACTAGCGGTCGCCTGCGACATCACCATGACTCAATCCAGGTCATTAATTATGTATATGCATACCAAATTTCATCCGAATCTGTTCAATGGTTTTTGCGTGATTGAGTAACAAATATACGGTGAAATTGAATGTTTTAATGAAACTTCGTGGGAATGTTGGGTTACGTATATATGGTATCTCTGATTTTTTTCGGATTTTTTAAAAAATATTTAAAATTAAATATTGTTTTTTTTTGTTATATTTTAAGTCCTTCCCTCCTTTTGGGTACTGAATAATTATTCTTTTTAAACACGCATAAAGAGTAAACAAAAAACAACTAATAAGCACTACTAAAAAAAACGTAAAACGAGGAGACGGGCGGCCGGGAGCAATGACCGCTCCCGCCGTTGAATACCTTCGTACCTAGCTATGCGCGGTGCACAGCGCAGTGAGCGAGCGGAGTCTCAAGTCTATACACCGCGCGTGCGTATCTTTTAAATTTGTGACAAGACAAGATTAGCAAACAATGCCTTGATTAGTTCTTGTTCTGTGGCCTCAATATAAGCCTTTGGATATGGTGTGTTGTTATTGCGAGTGTCACGGAATACTCAGCAGAGCCACAAGGCTTTACGAAAGTATGTTTAGTGATTGATTCTGTTTACAAAGTGTATACAGGAAGTTATAGTGAAAAAAATGAATAGGTACATCGGTCTCGTAAGTATTTTGAATACCTGGCTATAAATTTCATTCTGACCCAAGTATTGAACTGCAATAAGTATTTCTTTTCTTTAACATTTGCCTATTTCCAATCGTGACAAAATTATTATTAACTTTTTAAGTTTTTCTCTGCTTAAGAGAAGATGACATTTGTGCTTATTATTTCAATAAAGGCATCTAAGATGATTTTATTGTATTGTGTAGAATCAAAGGAGTCAGCTGAGCTCTGTGTACCTACTCACTCAACGGCTGGCGGGCGCGGTCGGTCGTTGACCCGTGGTTAATTTTACTGTTTTTATGTTTTTTAGAAATGCTTATTTATTAGTTGTTTTTCACTGGATATGTAAGTACGCTTGTTTAAAATGAATAACTACTCAAAAAGAGGAAAGGACATAAAAATACACAAATTATAAATAAATACATGAAAAAAAAATACTTCAAAAAATCCGAAAAAAATCAGGCATACTCTATACACGTAACCCAACAATCTCACGAAGTTTCATTAAAACATTCAATTTCACCCTCTATACAATCTTTCACATCTATACATATAATAAAATGGTAGGAAAGTCAAAACTGTACATTGAATATTTTTTTAAAAGAATACTTGGGGTGTGATCTGCATTGATACCAAAGCCAAAAATATAGTTATTAGAATTTTTGTCTGTTTGTCTGTATGTATGTCCGGGATAAACTCAAAAAGTACTGCATGGATTTACTTCAAATTTGGAACGAATATTATTAAAAAGTCGACATATAGGCTACATATTATCACGCTATCGCCTACGGGGAACGAGCAGTTCAGAACCTTTATTTCTAACTAACTCCACGCGTACGAAGTCGCGGGCTGCCGCTAGTTTATAATATTAGTAGGATTTACTCACTTTTGCATGTGATCGGCTTGCAATTTCTCGGGTAACTTTCCAGGGTAAGCAACGGTGGTGACGCGAGGGCTGGTGGTACCGTCAACGTCTCCCACGCCCACTTCCACGCTGGAAACCTGAATCTCGCCCAGTACAGCCACGTTCACATTAGTAGTCTTGCTGCCAGCACTCAGCGCAATCTTGTACAAGCCATATTGAGCCTTAATCTTGCTCAAGTTAAGGACGAAAGTGGTCGGCTCGCCGGCTTTCTGCTTGAGCACTTGTTTGGAGAGAACTACGACGTCGTCCGCTAACCGCGTGCCGGACTGTGCGACTACTTCGTCGGGTTTCAAATTGCGCAGCGGCTGTCCGAGCAAGTCTGTGATGGAGAACTCCACGCTATCCGATTCGGAGGTGATGTACTTCTTGCCTTTGAATACGATGCTGATCGGGGATGGCTGTAATAATGAAAACTTATTAGTTTAAGGCTCCTATTACAGAATGACAACCAAGTGCTGATCCCCACTTGAGCACAGTTGTGCTGAGGGAAAAGGTTGATAGGGATGTCGCTATGTGCTATACAGAGCGACATCCCTTTCTACCTGTACTCAAGTAAAGATTAATACCTAGTTGTCATTCTGTAATACGAGCCTAAATCAGAAAACGGATTATTAACAAGTACTTATGTATCGTCTTGCTGCTACAGCTTTGAAAAATGAAAAAAAAAACGTAAAAAGCAATACAGTAAAGATTTACGGATTAAGTCGCTAGATATAAATATTCTATTAACTATTGATTATATAATTACTTGTATCATTAAAATGTGTCCGTCTCTTTCACTGACATAGAGCCGAATGAAATTGACCTCTCAAGAAAAAGAGAGGCGATGCATGGTGCTATCAATACCTATACGACCTATTTGCCGCAAGTTCGCTTCGTCTCTCTTACACTTATGCCAGTATATAGAAGACTAGTGACCCGCCCTCGCTTCGCTTCGGTGTAGAACTGTAGTGTAGACTATAGTTTTTGTTCTCAAGCTTGTATTATACGCAATGAATTTCTTTATATAATTATAAACCTTCCGTGAAAATTTATATAACTGACAGTGAAAATTTTGTTGCGTAGTTTAGGACCCGTTGTACTGAATACACCATTTTTTTAGTTGAACGCGCAAATCTCAGGGATCTAATGGTTGGATTGGAAAAAAATATTTTTGTGTTATATAGTGCATTTATTGAGGAAGGCTTAAGGCTATAAAATATTACGCTGCGACCAGTAGGAGCGGAGTATCGATGAAAAATTCTTCAAAAACGGGTAAAAATATTCCATTTGGGAGATTCCGTTGCGTGCGCTGCGTAAGTGATTAAAGGTACACAAAAATCATATATGACGGAATTCTTGTACTTTCAAAGTTCTACCAAAAAATCCGCGACAGCATTTGCCCCTCTTTTAAGTTTGACTCACTATAACCCTTTTCCTCAAATTAACGCGGGTGAATCCGCTGCTGACGGAGCGCCGCGACACCAGGTACACTCGCGGAAAGACCCGCTCTGTCACCCATAATGCCATAATCGCTTGCGGTAGCGGCGTAGTAAAAATTCATTCATGACATGTAATTATCGCTGTCTTACTTTCTTTCAAATTGCAACTAAAACAAATGCAATTCAATTCATTATTCAATCAATGAAATGGCGGCCCGGATTGGCGCGTCCGACGCGAAGGCAGGGCGTAGTAAAAACTACTGTAGAAAACCGTTCAAAACATTTAGTTCGCCAAGTGACAGAGCGCAAAATTCCGCGATAGTACTATACGAGTATGTACCTGTGCCAGTTTCATATACCTGGTCGTCTGCGAGCGCAGCGGCGGCGGCCAGCAGCAGGGCGGCACCGCGTGCGCTGCTGACGGAGCGCCGAGACACCAGGTATTCAGCAAACTTGTATCGCTGTGTTTCCGTCAGCGGCGACGGCTTCTGTTGACGCTTGTAGCTTCTGCAACGACACGCAACCTGAACACGCTACATTCTGAGCCCTATTAACCACGTTACCCCGTATTCCGAACCTACTCCCTGAGTTGGTACTACCTACACACGATTATATGAAAGAAATGTCAATTTTGACAGAGCAGAGTCCATGGGCTTTCCAGAACAGGAACTCCACTGGTCCTTGTAGCCTATACGATCGTGTTTCGGTTTTTGTCACAAATCAAAAAGGGTCAATAAAATTATACGCAAAATTTTGTAGGTTATTTATATTTTTATTTTCAGTATTCAACTGCTAGATGTAAGCGGAAGATGAGGGTTCGAATCGCATCTAAAACCTGGGCCGATAGCATTATTTGCTAATAATTTCTTTAAAATGTTGTTTACAGTCTTTTATTTGCCATTGTCATAATATTTCCTTAATCAATCACAGCAATTAAAATAGCCATCATCATCATCAAATGTATAATATTATCAGTCTAGATTTACTATAATACTCTCTATCTATATCTCTCGTACAATTATGGCCTGAGCAAACGAACGACTATTATTATGAAGAAAAATGTTCGCCGAGGACTTGTCACGCACTCAACGCACATAATGTGCGGACATTTGTGCACGCTATGGAAGTAAATTTCCTCAGATTATGTTGTACTGTAATTTACATGTAGTTTAAGAAAAGAAAGAGAAGACGTTTTAAAAGTGAATACCGGGCTCATTTCTTTAAATCGGATCGAGCGCGCAATGCAGTTCGCTTTGGCGTTGCTGCGCTTAATCAAGTAAGTTTTTTGGGGGACTCCCGCGTACTTTTGTCCTGTCCGGTCTCTCGGTGTCCTCGATTGTTCGGGGGACTTTTTGTATGCTGTACTCGATGCAGTAAGCGATCTATTTTGGCGGACAAAAATACCGCGGACGAGTCTCTCTCGTCTGCGCAGGCTATTATCCTAAGCTAGGAACCAACTAGTCTAAACACCAAACGAAAATGAGAAGAAGTGCGGTAAAAAAGATTGTCACTAACCTGAGGATCGTGGAGAGCAGTAACGAAGTGGCCGGCAGACCTCCATCGAAGCTCAGCGCGCGGGAGTCAGTCTCGTCGGCTGCCTGCAGCACTCCCTCGGCGTGCGTCGTAGTCCACGGACCGCAGCCCATGTGTTCACACAAGGCGAATACGTAGCCATAGCTGAGATAACACATTTCCACCATCAAATTTAATAGCTTTTCTGATCTTAATACCTGGTTATTGTATAACTTGTGTCATTCAAGAAAGGAATCGTGAATGACAACGTAAGACATTCTGTTCCTCTTGCACATGCTATCTTAAGTAATGTGCGAAATTGACAGAATGTCATAAACATTTTCAATTCCTTGTTTATTAATTACATTTACAGGAAAACATATTGAAGTGAAAGCAATATTTGTTGGAAACTAGATGTAACATTACAATTTTAATAGGTTTTTCTATCTTACTTTACTTTTTTTTGTCATTTTTTGATAGTATTTTAAATTTCGCTGCTACAATCTTGCTTATGAAAAACTAAATTATAAATATTTAATAGCTGCTGTGTGATAACATTAATCCCTTGTAGATTTAAACATATACAGTCCACCACTCCACAGCAATATTATTATGCAAAATTTCTTGATAATTTAATTTATGAACTTAAGAGTAGTACCATACCTTATAACTAAATACCTTATATCGTAACTGGTCAATTCAGATGTTCTATAGTACTAAGTTATATTTTTGTTTTCACTTACTTAATAGGAGAATCATCCTTCTTTAAGAGTTGAATGAGATTCTTGAGGCCGTCTTCTTTGTCATACACTGTGCCTTTTCCTAGAGCTTTCAGAGAATATACCGCATGGTAGATCTCAGGAATTGTAGCATCTTTTTTATCAAGCACTTGCACCGGTGTTTTTAAAACATCAGGTGACAAGTAATTTTGGCAGCCGGCTAGTTCAGCTGCATTTGTAAGGTAAAAGACTTGCTCAATGCTGTTACCGTCATATTTAGCAGTTTTAATGTCCTGTTGAAGAAAAAATACAAAATAAAATTGGGTGTATATTTTACTAAAAAAATTTTTCTTTAAAAAGAAAGTATTAGTTATTTTTAAATTATTATAACAGTCACACATAGCTCCTCAAAAAATTGTTATATAAAACCTGAAGGCGGCAGTCAGGATTAAATAAGCTGCATGCAATAGTTAAAAACCTAAATAATATATGTTGTAAGATGATTTGATAAATCAAATTTCCTTAACATTGCAAAAAGAATCGTTGGCTTACTATAAATATTCTTGGGTTTATAAGTTAGGTTAGTGTTGTGACCATGACGCGCGAGCCGAGCGCGCGTGTGGGGGCAATGGCCGACGAAGCGCCACAGAAAAATATATAAACTAACAATAACATTGAGCAATATCAGAGCTATTGTCTAATCATCCGTTTTTTCTTGAGTTTTTATGAAAATTTTATTTATCATATCATCTTAAGAAATATATAAAATATGATGATGTGTTGAGCAGGAACACAAATAACTTTTCTGTATATTTTAAGTTGGTAATTTATTTGAAATAATCACCTGACAAACATCAGGCACAGCAACTTTAAGATCCTTTAGACCTTTGATGGCAAAATAAAGTGAGGTAATGTCCTTGCTTTTAATTCCATCTTGTAATATTGACTGCAAGCGATTGGTATCAATAGTGCCTTGCAGTATATTTCCTCTGCTTGCTCCAATCAAGCATACCACCAAAACACAGAGTGCTGCAAAATAAAAACATAGTAACAAAACAAAAGATTTAGTATTTTCTAATAGTATATGATAACATATTGGTTATTGTAGTTTTTAGAAAATTGTTTAAAAACTAAAATAAGTTTATTATTAACTCTCACAGGAATATTTTTCCTTGGATTTTTATGGAGATTAATTATCTCTGCCTGTCTAACTTTCTGGAAAACAAGACAGGGAAATTAACACTATTAATTTTTAGAGACAAAGCCTAGTCTATCAATATAAATAATTTATGTGATGGAACTCAAGATGGTTGGTTTAACTTTTGTTTCCAAAACTCTGACCATCTCAGTCAGTGCATGGAAGAGTAAATGGCTCTTCCATGCACTGATCAGTAAGAAGGTCAGAGTTTCAGAAACCCATGCAAACAGTTTTGGGTTTTTGGTGAATTTTAATGGATTTACTTCAAAACTGACCATGCAGGGATAGCTGCTCATGCATTGGATCTCACAAATCTTGACACAACTGGTTGATCAACTCACTAGGATCCCAAACATACATTCAATAGAAGGTTTAGCAAACAATGCACTTTGCATTGTTTGCTAAACCTTCTATTCTGCTTATCAGGTTCTGAATAAATTTTACTCAAACTTTAACTGGCTTTGCTTGGACAATTATTGTCACTGTCTAATTATAACCCCATTTTGCATTATTTTTATATGGTGCAACCTATATTTTACATAACTGGTACTTTAACTGAACAGTTAAAAGATAAAGTAAGTTGTGCAACTCTTGCTTATTCATCTTAATCATAACAAAAAACTTGTACAAAAAAAAGTAAATATTGACAGTTTTTGCTTCAACAAACAATTGAAGGAGCAATAACTGTCAATATTGTACTGTTTGTTACTTAGGGTACTGTAAGGGCTTAAGTGCAAAAATAAATAAAATCTATGCAGGTGTCACAACTAATGAGATGGCGGAAAATAAATGCAAAGATGACAACCATGATTGATAATCTGCTTATATTTTTCATTATTTTGGATGGTATTCTTGTATTTTGTTTCCTAATAGAAATTGCAAATATGTGACCAAAACAAATCCCATAAATTAAGGCTAAAATAAGAAGCCCCTTAATATAATTATCTGATACATTTCCTTTTCATTTTCATATATGTTTAAATTTTAACTGTTATAAATGCGTGTAGCTCGATCTACCGTCCGGTATGCAGCATGGTAACTGTTGCTTTGAAATACAATCAACATTGACGTAAATTGGGTAATAAGCTACAGACTAGACATGCGATAAGTTTTTTTATTAAAATATTTATAATAAGCTCTTCTATTCTATAATATTTATATCTCTTTGCTAGCGACATGGAGATCTTTACAACTGACGTGTCCTCTAAGTTGTAAAACACCGCTTATTGCCTTTAATATCACTGTTGTGGAACTTGATTCCAATCGAGTATCTATATAACTATGTTTATTTACTGGCTTAAATGTATGAATATTTATAAAATATACTATAATCATAAAATATTTATGCATTAGTGTACCAACATGCCATGCATTTTTAAATGTAAGCAACTCACCCTTGAGGAACATCTTCTGTGATAAAATATCAGACCAGTATTTGATTCTTAAAACGACACAACACGTAATTAATCTAATTACAAGAATAAATTAAGCATTAGGTACCATGAAATGAAAAAATAATTCAATAAATCTTTGCCGGCACCTACCATTTCAACTTGACATTGACAGATGTAATCGACGTCGACAGTCTTTTTTTTTTTTTAAAACATATTCACCCAATTCTAAGGCAAAGAAATTTGAGTTCCATTAGCCTTACCTCCTAAACATAACGATATTTATCGAACACTCAATATATCTATGTTTTTATTTATTTTTTAAGCATTTAACTGCTAGATGTTTAAATCTAAAGAAAAGATTACTAGAAAAAAAAAAACTCAATATATCGTCACATCCTTAGTTACATCACATCGCCCGGCGCAGCGCATGGATGAACGGGCCATGGGATCCCGCCTTTATAGGAGAATCCTTCCCGAAAAATCTGACAGTGGTGTCGATTCAAACATGATTCTCTAAACCTAAACTTAAATTTGAAGCAGGATATCCTTTTCATTCTGTATAAAGAATAACATCTGATGAGACTGATGTTAAATTTAGTTTTAAGTTTAGAGAATTACGCCAGAATCGACACCAATATCTAAAAGGTTCTTAGTGCCAGGAAAGAGTTTTTGGCGGGATTTCATCGAGTGCGCTTGGCGTCATATTTTAATTAATCTTTAAATTCTTTCATAGTGGATAATTGTCAAATAAAATTGGTGTAATTTTGTCGTCTGTGGAACTGAAGAATTAACGGAATCTTTAAAGTATTCGCTATATCGGTCAAGTGGATGAGAGAATTTTGTTGTAATGTTGACTACCTCACAGAAGCTTGTCGAAAAAGCAGACTCGATTTTGTGCAAAACACTCCAAGAAACATTAGAATGCGTCACATCCACATTCTAATGTAAAAAAAGGAAGATTAACACAAAATAAGACGATGGCTGCATGGCTTTGCCTCTGCCTGTACCAACAGGGAAGAATAGACCTAAAAAAAATTAGTGCCAGGTAGTTCCGTGACTTCATGCTGCAACATTTGTGTTTGCTATTTGTAAACTTGATTTCAGTCTTTCCTTTTCATTCCATTTATAGCATGATAAGGCCATACTACCTATTGTCAAGTTAACAAACAGTAGCAAAAGAATAACCAAGTGAAGTGCCGGCATGCATCCGAATGACAGTTTCTTAGATTTTCTCCTTTTTCTCTAAATTTTAAACTTGTATTACCAGCAACAGAGTTAAAAACAATAAACAAGCCCTCACTGAACAAACCTAAACAAGAAATTTTGGACACAAACACCAGATATTGGCCGAAGCCTGAGGGAGCCACCACTGAAGCAATCTTAACTTCTATTACACTTCTGCGTAATTACCTAATTATTTATTTGAAATGGACTATAATTCAATTTATTCAAAGGTAATGACTGGATTAATGCTATTTCATTTTCAGATTGTCTTTATATAGTACTACTTTTTTGTTAATATTAATTAAATATTTGCAGAGTGTATTAGAAAATCAAAAAAACTTACGTTTTTGGGAAGATTACTTAAAGAGCCTTCAATCTCTAGACTTTTCTCTATTTTCTGGAAAACTTACCGTCCCAGTGATGGTACCTGTTGGCAGGAGAATCTTGTTTCGTGGACACTTAAAGCATACTAATGAAATAACTGTTGCAATTGGTGCTGATTATTTTGCGAAATGCTCATTGGATCAAGCGGAAATTCTAAGACAACACAGAATTAAAGGTATAAAATGCTTTGTAGACTACAATTCATGTATTACTTTTAACTATGTTAAGTATCATAATCAACCTAATAATTTTAATGCTGGGACTCCAACTTACCATTAGATGGAATAGGGAGAATGAGCAATGTTTCACTGTGCGAGCGCAGTGCATAAAAATAGACTAATCTATGACTGAAACTAATCTATACTTTTAAATTAATTGCCTTTTTATTTTAATGACAAAGCAGTATTTACTACAAGACTACAACTGTTTTCTTGTTTTAGATGCACAGTCCAAGGTAAATTTATATATTAAAGAACAGAAATATCTGGAAAATAAAATATCTTTCAGTAAACAAAACATATTTGATAATGTTGGTGAAGAAATAATTGAAGAGTATAGTGAAGAAGAAGATCGAAAATGGAGAGAAAAGCATAGAGAAAATATGAAGAAACATAAGTTGGAGTCTAAAGATAAAAATAAAGTTGCAGATAGCATTACAGATGAAGAGTTGTGGACCAAGTTAGAAGAATTAGAATTACAAGAAGAATTAGAACATGAATTAGACAACATGAATGCCACTGAAACAATTATGAATTCAAGTGTATTAAATGACAATAATTCTATTGCTAGTAAGGTCACATTTGGGACAGAAAGAAAAAATAATGAAAATATTGAAAAGATATTAGATAACAAACACTTGGAACAAAGTTCGAATAATAATATCAATATTGAGCAGCAGCCTGCTATGTATAATAAGTTAACCCTATTACAGAAAGTTATTGAACGACAAAATGAATTAGGGGAAAAGTTACAACAAATAAAAGAAAGAGAGAGAAACACAAAATTAACTGAGGATAACTTGATTTCTAAACTTGATGAAATGGAGCAACTTGAGGAACTTGAAGATGAAATGGACAGGTATGAACACATTAAATGATACTGTATCTTTTAAATCTATATTATCTTAGCTATACTTTTTGATAATGAGGATACGCTTTTTGTGTTGGAAGTAATCTCTTGAGTAACTGAACAGATTTTAGGAATTCATTGAAATCAAATACTTTTTGTTCTTAAACTGGTAGAAAGCTAGATTAATCTTGAATACATTAAATATTTTTTTCCTAAAATTTATTTCATCAGTGAAAAACTGGGCCATGTTGCTAGTGTTTTTTAATTTAATTAATCTTTTTATTGCCTTTGAAGTATATCTTCAATTCTCTGAAGGAGAACAACCACTTTGTATGGGGGGTTGGTTCTGATACCAAGTTCTTTGTACAGGAGTTAAACATATACAATAAATTGTAAAGCCAATTGTTAATGTGTACTGCCAATCTTTAAGTGAATTCGGTAGCTAGTCAGGTTAACGAGGAAGTGCCCTGACTCTACGGCCCCAAAAATCCTACCTATAAGTTGCCCTTTTTCACCTTGTAATAAGCAACTACAGAACTCTCCTTTGCGGAGAGCTCAAAACACACTTGCCTATTTTTCTTTTATATTGTTGGACTTAATTCTTTAAAGTAGTATTATTAAACCCGCATCCTTCGCTATCCGGGCGAATGCACTGTCCATTATGCTACCACGGCCCTATTAGCCGCGTCGAAATTTTCCTAGCCTTAAGCTGCAAGGCAGCGCCATCTCTTTGCATTGTAGGTAACCCACAATGTCAAATGAATACTTTTTGAAGTATTAAACAATTGAAAGAAGAAATAGCAATTATAGTTATGATTTTATTTATTTTTTAAGCATTTAACTGCTAGATGTTTAAATCTAAAGAAAAGTTTACTAGAAAAAGATCCACGCGGACCAGGCAGCGGACGGTACTCGAACCCGCATCCTTCGCTATCCGGGCGAATGCACTGACCATTATGCTATCACGGCCCTATTAGCAGCGTCGAAATTTTCCTAGCCTTAAGCTGCAAGGCAGCGCCATATCTTCGCATTGTAGGTAACCCACAATGTCAAATGAATACTTTTTCAAGTATTAAACATTTGATAGGGCCGGCAATAGGGCCGTGGTAGCATAATGGTCAGTGCATTCGCCCGGATAGCGAAGGATGCGGGTTCGAATCCCGTCCGCTGCCTGGTCCGCGTGGATCTTTTTCTAGTAAACTTTTCTTTAGATTTAAACATCTAGCAGTTAAATGCTTAAAAAATAAATAAAGTCATAGTATTATTAAATTTATTTTGATTGTATATATATTAGTAAAAAAAATTGGCTGTGCAATGTAAACTTAAAAAATATTTGATTTTTAGGTTAGATGATATGATCCATAGTGAAGAAGAGTATATTGAAGAGGATTCTGAAAAATCGTCAGACCAGAAAATAAAGCGTAGTGTAATTTTTGCAGATGAAGATGACAGCGAAACTTTAGAAATAACATTTAAGCACAGTGAAGTGATACCATTTTTGGAACCATATAATCCAGAAAAAGGCATACAAAAGCCCAGTGATGTTTATACAGCATTTGGAAATCTCTTTAGTGAAGAAACAACTTCAATATTGAAAAAGAATAGATATGAATGTGATAAAGTTTTAACACCAGATAATAAAACCCAGGAAAGTTTAGAGTTGAAAGATGAAATAAATTACCCAGCTCAAACAATATTAATGAAAGATGTTACAGAGCGAAAAGATACAAATTCCAAAACAGCTCACGACAAAGATACTAGGCCTACAAGTTTATTCAAGAAGAAACGAATGCAAAATAAATCCTAATGGAAGGTAAACATTGTAAATAAATCAATTTTGCATGTATGTTCTTTGACTGAATTATTTTATACATAATATAATTTTGTATTTGTAAATTAATTTCCTCAGCAAATTTATCAGATCGCAAGGGCCAATTTACACTGCAATAGCAGTGACGCGGCAAGCAATTTCAGTGTGAAATAATTAAAAAAAATTCAATTCAAAAACAGAAGAAGTCGATGGACCTCTCGCGACACCGCCGAACCTTTACAAGCAGTACTAATCTTAACAATGCAGAAAGTTTGGGCTCATTTCTTTCCGTCCCTTGCCACACGATTGCTCTGTCTAGCTATTCATCGGCTGCCAGATAGAGTATATAGTTACTTATAGACAGTCATTGATGAGTGTTGATCAGTCATTGAATCAGAATTTCACAACATTCCACCGCCAAATCAGTAACATCAACTGTTTATGTGTAGTCCGTAGCAACAAAATGATATTAATTATGGATAGACCGCTTAACTGAGTCTTTGCCTGCGGGGTGTGGGGGAGGACGAGCACGGGGGCCTTGAGAAGTGCAGGCGGCGGGCACATTCTTGTCAAAATTACAAGTTGCAGGACTCAGTTAAGCGGTCTACCTTTACATAAGTTTAACAAGTGAAGTATTTTCTATTAAGATTATTCTTTGGCATTCTTTGTAGCCTAAACGACTTGATAGATTTTGGTTTGGGATGTGTCGTTAGATTCTTCTTAATTGTAAAAGTGACATTGGTATATAAAAGTTGAGAAAATGAATAAGCCGTATCTAGTACAAAAAAATGTTTCAGAAACAGAAAAAGATCCCAAAGATGCGTTTTCCTGTAGAACGTTTCTTACTTATTGCCTATAGAAGCTTAATGATTAGCGCACATTATGTCGCGTTGCAGCCCAAAAGTCTGCTTATATCGCTCGTATGTATTTTATATGAACTATCCTTAGATTAAAACAAAAAGGGTAGATACGGCACTGCGCACAGATTGTGGTCCACGACCCTAATCGCTTTAGTCACAACTTAACATGCAAACGACGTACATGTGAACGCAAAAAGAAATATTGATAATATTTTGTGTTTATATGATAAAACAATACCTAAGTATGTTTTTAAAAAGTGCTCAAATTGCTCAAATACTAAAAATAAAACCCACGACATCAGTTTTCATTCGTAAGTAAATATATTTTTTCATAAAAATTGCTGTTTGTTTTGAATCTTATTCGGTAGTGACGTCGAGTACTGGTCGCGTGATTGGTCGGTAGTGCAGTGACGCGGATCTCGCCGTCTCGTTCGCGCTGCCATTGAAACTTAACGTGCTGTTTCGCTCGGGTCGGTAATGCAGTGACGCGGATCTCGCCGTCCCCTTCGCGCTGCCGTGGGATCAGTATTTGTTTGATGCAAGTTTGAGCGTACCGTATCTACCCTTTTTGTTTTAATCTAAGGAACTATCCCACACTGCCGGGGCGCAGCGGAACGCATAATCCGCAGCGGATTTAAGTTGTGTGCGATGCGATGCGCCCCGCTCCGATAGGAAAGGAATGCTAAGGTAAAGGTTAAGGTTGGCGTCAATAAGGCGGGTTGCATGCACCGTTTTTGAAGTTACCTATGCTTCTTTAGCCGCGTTATGAAAAAATTATGAGAGTGAAATTTTAAGATGCGCGCGCATCACTGTAACACAAAAGTAACATAATGAAGTTGGCCGCGGGCGCGTTATGAATGTAGTGGTTAATAATCCACCATTATTAGACATCTGTTCGAAAGGTACTTCGAACGATCCACGGAGCTCCATAAGATGATCGCGTTGTCAAAAACAATGTTGGCATGCTCGTCGCCTCTGATCACTGTTTTCATATTTATAATATTTATCCACATGTTTCTAGTTTCTATATAGACACAACGTGTTTTAGTTACTTACAAGTGCTAATTACATATCGACTAATAACTTAAATTCAGTTTATTTCTTCTTTATTAAAATCATAATTGAATATTTTGAATATTTATTTTATTTTTCAAATTAAAACTGAACTTAATCGACTGTGTTAACTATCCTTTTATTATTTTATTGTAATTATTAATTATTTGCATGCAATTAAAAAATATTTTTAATGATGCTAAAGAAGTATAACTTCTCACGCGCGTACATAAGTTACACGCATCCATTTTTTTTTTCTCTACGCTGTTAAGTGTGGAACCACGAGATCCCCGATGAGGGACTTCACCGCGTCTCCGCACCCAACAGCCTCTTAGCCTAGCCGGGGCTCCATGGCAGAGATCACCTGGGGTATCTTACTGCCTCAACTATTTCACTACCCGGTCGTCATGGCGTAAAGGCTGTTTTACACTAGCCAATTTTAAGGGTGTTGTAATATGAGTTTGGGAGTAAGGGACCCGAATTAGGGCGATCGGCGCGGTGTAAAATTGCTATTATCCTTGCTAGGGGCCACGCCCACCCTTTCGATCGTGAAGTCCGTTTAAAGGAGATCGGGTCGCGCCGATCGCCCTAGATCGCGTCTCTTACTCCCTAACTCATATTACAACACCCTTAATCAGGATGCCGAATTAGGCTTGGAACGGTCATTGGGTAAAAAGTTACACAGAGCGTAGATTTGGAAGTTAGAATTGACTGTATGGGTACAGTACTCTTTGCCTTCCCAGATTGGGTAAAGAAATTAAAAAAAAAAAGGATTGATGACGGATGGATGCTCATGCTTTAGTCTGTGGATGAGAGTGAGAGGTTATTTATTTCGTGATTTGTGTTGTTAATTTTGTGGATAAAGTTTTCATTTCAACTATTTAATAAGTCGAAATACTTTAACAATGTTAACACGTAATTGGCGAATCTTAAGTCGTCAATATTCACAAGCTGTTACTTTCAGAACCAATGAATCATCTCCAGTTAGTTTATCAGTAGTTAATTAGTTTGTATTTATTTTCTATGCATATTGACTTAGTTTTATAATTTACTTAAAATCTGACATTTTAGCAACAACATAATGAAAAACAAACTGGACTATTTTATACCTTGAATCAAGACACTTGTAAAAGCTTATTTTCCAATGGTGGATTTCCTAAAAGTTTCTTGAAGCAAACCAAAACATTTACTGAGACTGCAATTATGATTCGACAACCTGCGTTAGACCTAATTAATTGCATCAAATCCACAAATTTTGATGCACCTGTTATTAGATATGTCCTCTGTATCCTTTACAAAATGTGTATTTACTTTATTGATTCTTTTTCTATTTTGATTGTTGTCTGTAGGTACTAATTTGAAAGTATTTATTTAAACAATAATTTTCCTAACAAAAAATGGCACAGATGGTGAAAAGGGTAGTGGTAAATCTCTTACAATGGCGCATATGATTCATTATGCTCATGAAGACGGCTATTTAATATTACATGTACCATGGGGTATGAAATATTTCAAATAAAAAAATTGAGACTTGTATCTACAATGTTTATTAAATATTTGTTTCCAACTTTGGCTTTGTAGTATCAGAGTGGTTGCGCCGAGTGCCTAGGCACAAAGAAATGTCTAACTCCCAGACACACGAAGGATTCGTTGATTTACCATTAGATGCAGCAGCATGGCTCATTCATTTCAAAACTCAAAATCAAGCTCTTTTGAAAGCAGGAGAGGTAGGTTTTGAATTTTTTTAAGAGTTGTTGTTTTTTTACTATATTTTTATAAATAACTTCTCTATTATCACAACATCAAAATAGTATCTATTTAGCCTAATAATTATATTGTCTTTACATTTATTAATAAAGTATTATTAGCCCATTTGATTTTTATAAAGATGATGAAGTTTATTCTCTCACAAACATTCCAATACATTAGTTGAATTTCACATAGGTATTATAAAGTTGTTGCTTTTCATGAACTGTCTTAATGGATAGTAGATAGACGGGTGGTCGTTATAGCCGATGAATGTTGAAATGGGATTCGGCCCTTGCCAATTGGTTGTAATAATCAACACGTAGTTATATTCGGTTTTGACTGTATTTGCTATTTCTTTGATATCAACTTCTGTGAAGACTTTATGAAAAAATACAATTTAATTTCTAGCTGAAAGTGTCTGAAGAGTATGTTTGGAGTAAGAGAGAAAAAACTGAAGTTGGTGCACCATTATCTGAACTGGTAGAACATGGAATAACTCGCGTCAAATATGCATGTGATGTAATTTATGCATTAGTTCGTGAAATTAAGACCTTGTCTAATAAGAAACAGTATGTATCTAAAATATTTCTGTAACTTTATTTTATAGCAGTCTCTCCCCTAAAAGCTCCTCTTAGCTAAAAGTTAAGCTAATAACCGTACAACTGTGCTAAATAGTTTGTTTAAATCTTTTACCTCTATCAAACTTGTGTTATTATTCTCTAATTTCTATGTATTGTAGATAGTTTTATTTAACTTAAATGAAAAAAGGGGCAAACAAGCTAATTATAATATATAAAGTAGCCTCAGCTACCGTAGCCTGAAGACACTAGTGATCACTAAGATATCGAGGTGTGAATTCAAAATTAATTTTCTGTTATCATATCTGTGGGTCAAAATAGCAACTTGTCTTATTAACTTTTAATACTAGGCAAAAATACATTGGATAGAGCAGAATGCATCTCAACTGTGTAACCTTGGTTAGAAGTTCATAATATGAACTTGTGGATTTTGTAATGAGTTGGTTATTTCTTCAAACAAGCACTAATCAACCAGTCACTGTATCCTATGGACCTCTTCAATACCAGGAATATCACATGAGGGTTGCTTTAGGAAGACTTAAATAAGGATCTAATTCACAGCATAATCATATACTTAAATATAGGTATATATTTGTAGAATGCGCATAAAATTATTGTTTTTCTAGATGCAAAACCTTTGTAGCTGTAGATGGATTCAACAGTTTTTTCTATCCTCTGACAAGATTAAACACTCCAACTAAAAGGAAGGTCAAACCTGAAGAAGTTACCCTTACTACAACTTTCTTAGAATTAACAAAAAACGATTGGGTAAGAATTAACAAAAACTGCAAAATATAGTTATAATTAATTCTGTTACATTGAAACAAACAAAATTACTTTATTTGGCATTATTAAGATATTGAAAAAGTTATTTAGCTTGATTAGATTCTTAATATTTTAATGGACTTAATTGAAAATTACATAGAATAATACGTAATAATAAATATATTACCATTTTTACTACCATTTCTAAAATTTTTGATAAAGCTGTGGAAATATGAGTTAAAAAAAAATGCAGTATTGGGATTTAAAATAAATTGAAGAGAACATTTTGACTGATGTTCAGTTAAATAGAAAGGTTAAATGAAATGAAAAAGTGAAAAACATGTGTACTTATGTTATGTTTGTTACTGTATCAATAATTTTTCTTTTCCCTAGACCAATGGAGTGATTTTACTCAGTGCAGATCAACTGGCTGTTCCTGATGATCACCAAGAGAGCTACTTTCCTAGATATTTGCTAAGAAAAAAGGTGTCAAATTATCTTTTTATTGATAAAGTTATTTTATATGATCAGTTTTGTCAAATTAACTTTGTTAAATTTTCCAGGGCTTTGAGCATTTAGATCCATTTGTACCCATAGAAGTGGGAAGATATACAGAAAAAGAATTTCTCTCTTGTGCAAGTTATTATAGAGATAGACTATGGCTCCGTGGTCCACCAGAAACAGAGATAGAATTGAAGTTTACCAGTGCTTCCAATCCATACAAGTTTATGGAACAATGTGCACCTTTATAAATACAGTTCAATCAAAAGTATAAATATACAGTAAATAAAGAAATTTAATGGTATTGGTTATTTTTTAATTACACTTGGAACACGTTTTTACACATAGATATATTAATTTCTACTATGCTTAGAACCAATTAAGATTTAAAAATTCAATAAAGAAAACAATATAATGAAAACAGAGAAGGCTGATTTAATAATTTATTTTACTGAACATTATTATTATCTACACTTAAATACTCATAATTAAACATTGTATCCAACGATGTGGCGTTTACCAATACATTCTCCAACGTAGAACCAAAACAGAACTTCTGCTCCAACTAATGTGTTAAGAGTTGCTTGTTTAACTGTCTGCTGCTTCCAGGCACCAGTTTTAGCACTAGTAATAAGTTTGCCTAAGCCAGCCTTGATTTGTGGAATCTCACTTAGTTTGGGTGGAGCTAGTTCTACTCGTGCATATTTCATGAAGATGTAGAATTTGGGTCGAGCCTGGGCCAGGGCCGCTGTAAATTTAACATGATGGTTACTAAAGTATTATAACCTCAGCCACAACACATATTTTCCATATATTACGATCAACCACTATAGTATACTTTGATCACTCCGCCTTGAAAGTGGATAATTGGTCAGGGTGTAGTAGATACGAGCTAACCATTCGGACTATGGACAGAGAATTTTGGTTTTGGTGCCTGCATTACATAACTTGAAAAAAAAATGAATTATATATCTGTTTACGTACAATTAATAAGCGATGGGATTTTTGCGACTGCCATTTCGTGAAATAATTACAGTAAAATCACCAACAAGTAGATTCCAACTTTTTTGATTTTGGAATGAAATAGATGGATGGATGGTAGTAATTCGGTTTTGATTCGGACTCAGTGTTGCAAATTTGAAAAATTAAAAATCGGGTAATTTTCCTTTTAATAATCGGGAGACTTTTTGTCAAAATAAAACAAAAAGTATTTTATGCTATTAATTAAAGTAATTTATTAATAATATAATAAGGTACAATAATTGGTAGTTATTCATTTTCGTTTCGCTTAATTCCGGACTATTAGAATCATCGGACTAGGGCATCGTAACTTATAGCACATAACGATTCACATAAACATTTTTTTTTTAATTTCTTTGCATAACAGTGTGGACGAACGAAGCGATAAATCATAGAGTAAGTATTCGCAAAAACAATCCGATGTAATTCCCCATTAAACAATTATAAACTCTATTTTATGTATTCTCTCTCTTCTAATATCTCTTATCTAATATTTTGAGTATATTGAGAGTTTGAGAAGTTGCAAACTCACCATATACATAAAATATATTACTCTTCTCTGCTTAACATTTATTGGTAAACCCTCTTGCCAAAGAGAATAATTGGTACTGATGTCGATTCTGGCATGATTCTCTAAAGCTAAACTTAAATTTGACAACAGTGCATCCTTGTCATTCTCTATACAGAATGAAAAGGAGAGACTGATGTTAAATTTAGTTTTAAGTTTAGAGAATCACTCTAGAATCGACACCACTGTCGTCTTCGGAATGCTAAATAATACTATATTATCGTTAATTAAGTATAAAATATAAAAATCGGGAGTCTGGGTCGCTAAATCGGGATATCGGGAGGGAAAAACAAAAATCGGTAGATCTCCAGATTAATCGGGAACTTTTGCATCACTGTTCGGACTCTGTCGGACAGGACCACAGGACAGGACTCGACAAATCTAGGGATGTTCGATCCGATACTTATGTGGATGGATCGATACAAAGGAATATGATCCACCCAATCTTCCAAAATCGGACCAAAGTGTTTTAAATTCTAAAAATAGCTTAACTTTATCATAATATGTATTTGTTACATTAATACCGCATCAAAGTTTGGTCCACCAACTACAATAAACAGGTTCAAATTACACTGATATAAATATTTCTCTGCCGATAGATTTTCTTAAAATGGTCATTTATAGATTATTTTATTTTTGTGTTTTACGTTTTGCTGTTCTTGACCGCTATCAACTTATAACTCTGTTAATTGTTTTTTCGTTTAGGGAACACTGAGCGATATATCTCTACGTTATTTGCTAGTGGTAGGGACATCTATTCCTTCGAACGTCAGTTTCATCACTGAACTTAGCGCACTCTGCTGGTGCATTTGAAAACTAATTCACGTTCCAATTAAGCATCAGCATAATTCGGCATTGTGCGCCACTGAGTCGCATTATGCTCTGTAATTGGAAAATTACCATAAATAACAACCTCGAACTTGATGTGGTGTACGCTAGCATGACTGACACTGATGTCGATTCTGGCATGATTCTCTAAAGCTAAACTTAAATTTGACAACAGTGCATCCCTGTCATTCTCTATGCAGAATGAAAAGGAGAGACTGATGTTAAATTTAGTTTTAAGTTTAGAGAATCACGCCAGAATCGATACCACTGTCATTGTCATATCACACGTTTCCAGTGTATTACTTTTCTCTATGATCACACGTCAGTACTCCGCCAGCTGTAAACTCTACGAGTTCTTGGTTCAAGTCAAGCAAGACCCAAGCACGAATTTTGACATCTCAGTAACCGTATCGTATCGTCAAAGTTTCTATGAAAACTGAACAGCGCACCTATCGGACGTAAAAACAAAATAGCTTTTTCAATACAAAATTTGACTTAGACGATACGATTACGGAGCTGTCAAAATTCGTGCCTGGGTCGCTGATGAATTGTTATTGAATTGTGACATATGGCCAGTGAATGGGTGTATGAGGGATTATCAAAATATATATACAATACCGTGTAGTATTGTATTTTCCTAACTTATCATGGAAGTAAATAAATCAATACTTCACGAGTTATATGTCTTTTCAGAATGGAAACCAGAGCCAGAATATTTAGTAAGTACAAAAGGAAAAAAATATTTTCAACTAGTGGCCCGCCCTCGCTTCGTTTCGGTGTAGAGCTATTTGAATTTTTCTCACCTTTTAAACCTTCCCTAGACCTCCACAAACATTTCAAGACCAAGATAAGATAAATCCGTTCAGCCGTTCTCGAGTTTTAACGAGACTAACGAATAGCAATTGATTTTTATATATTTAAATTAGTTCAATGTTTTTAAGCTAATGCTAAGAGTTCTTCTTTTTCTTTGACAATATTGTGGCTGACCCAAATTCTGCCAATATCACGTAGGTTATCAGAAAAATGGCTAGCGGTTTAATTTAAAAAAAAATATTTAAACATCATTATTTTTTTAGCAAAAACCGGATAGCATTTTTCCAGAAAACATATCAACTCTTTGGCGATGGTTAAAATTTTTTGGTGCCAAAAAAAGTTTGATAGATAGTATATCAGCGTGAGTATTATATTTAATGTATACACCCTGTCAAATTTCTTGAACAACAACCATAGCCTTTGCGCTGTAGCAATTTTTTCATACGAAAACATCTACTGTGCAAGTTTATATGTGGTTTTGCTCAAGAAGTTTGCCGCTACCTATACCTATGTAATTTTAATTACCTTTACATATTATACTCCTTCTTATTTGTTCATTGATAATTTTAGTCATAAAGAGCAACAACAAAAATGGCACATAGCTCTTGGAGATGAGGGTAAAGTTATTGCAGTACTAACTGATAACATTCTTGAGATTAGGACCAAAAGATCTGAATATGCTACAATTGCAGCGAGAACAACTGGTATGTATGAAATTCTGAATAACCAATATCATAAACAAGAAGACAGTTTTTGGTAGATAAAAATTTCATGATAAGTATCTATGTAATCTATGGTATGGTGACTTTATTCATTTGAAAGTGTTTTTCTGTTATCTCTTCACATTTATACTGCTGAACTGATTTATATGAAATTTGGTATAGTAATAGTTTGAGTCCCAAGAAAGGACATAGGATAGCTTTTATCTCAAAAACTATCAGGTGAAAGGGGAGGGGAACGACTACCTACGATGCAGGCAGTCGTTCCTTAAGTTTCCTCTTTCGTTTTTAAAATGGCAGTGTCAGTCGCAGGCATCTACTATTCAAGTAATTAAAATGAATCAGATTTCCTTATAGTTAGTTAGTTATATAAGTTAGTTAAGAACAGGGAAGGGCAAACTATGGCCCGCAGAGCCATCTTCGAGCTTTGAATGCTTGAAATCTAGCCTGCAACCATCTAACAAAAATATAGATCTCGTTCTTTGTTTAGAATACAACAACCAGAAATTATGGTTTTGAAGGAGGAGGAAAAGGTATGCACAAATACTTAACAGTGTATCCAGCAGTTCATGTTCAACAAAGAATATTTTAAGCATAATGAACATTAACTAATCTTTTAAATGATACCACTATACCCCCCCCCCCCCCCCCCCCCCCGTCTCCAGTCCACCAAACCAAATTTGGAACTATTCAACTAATATGAACTAGGAGGACATAGAACTAAAAAAGATTTTTTTCTCATTCTTTAATTCAGTAAGCCGGGATGTATATTCTCAATGGCGCAAGTTGGTGTGGAGTCCAGACTGTTCATTTATAGTTGTTGCATATGGAAATGGAATAGTTAGCTTCTTTGATCTCACAGCTTCCAATCTCTTCAATATTCCAGCTGTAAGTATTATATCATACATTCAAAGTCAGTTATGTTCTCGATAATCTTTATTAAATCAAAATAAAATTACAATTCGAATGTGGTTTTAATTTTAATTTTTTCAAGCATTTTACTGCTAGATGCTTAAATATACTGAAATTCTTTTCTAGTAAAATTTTCTTTAAATTTGAATATGTTTAATATTTTATATGCAGGATTGCTCTAGACCAGGAGGTTTAGAATGCACAGACAACACTCATGCTGTTGCAGATATCATATTTATGCCTCTTAGAACAAAGGACACGAAATGGTAAATATTCTACATTATTAAAATTGTTAAGCTCTTTTGACCTAAGTAACTATAAATTTAGATTTTACCCTGATTACTTAAATAGCTTTTGTTTTTTTTTGCCACATAAAATAAAAATTGCTATTAAAATAAAGTAACACTTCTTTCTCTTCATTAGATGCCATCCGCCAATAAACTAATCAAACTGCAAAACGTCAGTACTGTACGCTCTCAGAGCGTTGACTCAGAAATCAGAAATCAGAAATCAATATATCTTTATTCAAATTGGATGTATAGTACAACACTTTTGAATCGTCCAAACATTTTTTTTCCCTACCACTCGTTATTGGACATATTTTTTAGCTGCGGAGAAAAACGAGCGAAAAAAACTCCACAACATTAAAAGCATAATGTAACAACATTTACAAATCATTATGTTGTTACAACGTCAATACAATCATGATTTATTTAATATAGAAAACCTGTTGGAATGATTAGAACAGTTCAAACCCAAGCATTTTTGTCTGTAATATAATCAGACACTTTGTAATAAGCTTTTTTAATAAGTGTTTTTTTTATACTATCTTTGAATTTATTTATGCTTAACTCTTGGATATTGCTTGGGACTTTATTGTATAAGCGAACACAAAGACCTTTAAATGAATTATTGATTTTGTGAAGCCTAGTAGCAGGTAAAGTTAGTTTATTTTTGTTTCTTGTATTAAGTGTGTGAACATCACTGTTTTTAAGAAACAAATTAATATTTTTTCTTACAAGTAATAAATTTTCGTAAATGTATTGTGATGCGACCGTCATTATACCAAATTCTTTAAACCTATCTCTTAAGGAATCCTTAACTTTAAGATTATAAATTGATCGAATAGCTCTCTTCTGCAGCACAAAAATAGTTTGAATGTCGGCGGCGTTTCCCCACAATAAAATTCCGTACGACATTACACTATGGAAATAACTAAAGTACACTAATCTGGCCGTATCTACATCCGTTAACTGGCGTATCTTCATTACGGCATATGCTGCAGAACTAAGTCTATTTGACAATTTATCAATATGTGGGCCCCATTGAAGCTTAGAATCTAAAGTAATCCCTAAGAATACTGTGGTGTCTTCAAGGCCCATATTCCTATCCTTTACATTCACACTCGTTTTTACCTGTTTTACATTAGGTAATACAAATTTAATACATTTCGTTTTTCCTTCATTTAGTAATAAATTATTAACATTAAACCAGTGGACTACCTTAGAGATACAACTGTTCACGTCGTCAATAACTGTTTCCTTACGTTTGAGTTTAAATAAAAGTGATGTATCATCCGCGAACAATACTATCTCATGCTTATCTCTAACGTAGTAAGGTAAGTCATTAATATAAATTAAAAATAAGAAAGGACCAAGGATTGAGCCCTGCGGAACACCCATTTTAACCGGCGAACCCGCAGACTTATTGCCGTTAATGTCAACCCTCTGAATCCTATCCATCAGGTATGACGCAATAAGATCCAGATCAGTATCTCTAAATCCATAGTGGTGGAGTTTCCTGAGTAATGTTTCATGAAAAACGCAATCAAAAGCCTTGGACAAGTCGCAAAACACACCTAGAGCGTCCTGCGAGTTCTCCCAGGCGTCAAAAATTTGTTGTATAAGTTCAACACCGGCATCGGTTGTTGAACGACCCCGTGTAAAACCAAATTGTTTACAGTGAAGTATATTATATTTATTAAAATGTGATTGCATTTGGTCTAACATGATTTTTTCGAAAATTTTACTAAAGGTGGGTAGCACAGAAATTGGTCTAAAGTTTGTGGGGTCTGATGTACTTCCCGTTTTATGCAAAGGAGTTATTTTACTGTATTTCATGAGGTCAGGAAAAACACCACAGTCAACACAATCATTAAATATGCAAGCTAGAATAGGAGCTATTGTCTCAATTACCGATTTAGAAACATCAACGGAATTGCCCCACAGATCCGTGGTTTTCTTTTTATTTAATTGGTGAAACGTTTTAATTACATCTTTGAAGTCAACATGTTTAAACAAACGTGCGTGCGTCTTAATTTTTATATATTATGTCACTGGCGTCCCATAAACATTTTCGCAGCCGAACTTCTTTATCGCGAGCCCAGTATCAATGTCGCGATTCATTATTGCGCCCGTCTGTCCCCGTAGGCGCGTGCGTTTCATATAACACGGTAACGATAACTGCGTTTGGAGTTTGGAAGCGCGTCGGGGCCGCGTGCTCAGCGGCGCTGACGCGTGGCGCTTAGACGCGTGTATGGCTCAGCTCTGACAGTGATCAGCGCTGAGCCGTCGGTGTTATTCTAAAAGTCTTCATTGTAATCTCTTATCTATTAGACAAGTCCGTCCGTCTGTCTGTGTTGCTGTTTCAGCGGCCAAACCGTAAGAGATAGATAAAGAGAATATTTAAGTTATAAGTTAAGAATAGTCTGATAAGACTACAAACCGGATTTGAGTAACGTAGCACTTCCGGTTTTCGAGAAATCAGGTTTTGGTGAACATATGGTTCACTGGTTTGCTAGTAATACATAATGGCATGTCAGCGCCGACGGTCAGCGTGACTCTAAAACCAGCCATACTCCCTAAGTCATATACACCACCCTTAGTCAGGGTAAGCGTCCCTTAAAATTGGGTAGTCTAATAGGCGCATTAGTCAAGGTAAGGGTTCCTTAAAATTGGGAAGTCTAATAGGCGCATTAAGCTTTTGTCTCGTGATTTTGATGTACAACGCTGGGTCATCCGGTGCCGAATACTTAACCGTATGAAAAACGGCTAGAATTGTCTTTTGTTCCGTCCTTGTTGATCGAAGGTTCCGTCGCAGTATTATGTATAAGCGGCGAAGGGTAAACGCGGTGAAGTGGGGAGCGGGTATTCCGCACTGCGCGATGTCGTTCTCGTTCAAAACAGTTAAAAGAATTAAGCCGCGGCAAAATGGCCTGACCACTTCTTTGCGTAAATGGTAAACGGTGCGTTTGAGTCGTACAGCTTCGCCAGTTCAACGTCTTTTGCGAACAAGTACAATGCAATACATAATGGGTATTTAGATATTTTATATCGTATTGAATCGATTGTAAAGGTTCGTCAAATGTTTATATTGTGGCATCCGTTAATAAAAATAAAAGTTTTGTTTATTATATTTATACAGGATGTATAAAAATCTTCGACATAACCGTAAACCGCGTATTCATCATCATAAATTATGCCTGGGAAATCAATTGTTATGAAGTAATTGACGGACAAAGTCAAAAAACAATATAATACAAAACAATCGCTTTTCTGAACTAGTAATCTGCACATAGGAGCATCTCTTCTCAATATTGATGATGCTGTTTCCTTTTTCGTTTAAGTAATTTTCGGCTTATCAGTTTTGTCAGCAGCAGTGTTTATTTGTCGAAATCTTATTATGGGATTCGTGATATAGAGTTTCAAGAGTTAAATTTAATTTGAGCCTCATATAAAAACATCTCAAATGAAATTTCATGAAATAAATACAAGCTAATTTTTTCCCCATTCTATAGTAATTTATAGATCATATTTATAGAAGGATTGCTATCCTTCTTTTAAGTATAACAAGCTTTGTAAAATACATGTTTTCGTCTGGATAAAACAATCAAATAAGCAGCAAAGCAGCCTCACTAACCAGAAGGCACTCTACAATAGTACCATAAAGTAGTATAGTATAAGTTGCGGCACGAAACTCTAGTGCTGACCGTTATTGTGCAGAAGCAAAAATTAAGATGTCTTGGGGGGATACGAGGTGCACGGGTGGGCGTGCGTTGCGCCGATTGGTACCAGTCGTACCCATGCCACAGAATATACACTAAGCGAAAAGAAGCGACACTTAAGCATGTGTGCTCGTAAAATCGCCCGCGGCTATGTGTGGGTGTCTGGAGGTGCGTTGCGCGGTGCGCGGGGCGTGGAGAGGGCAGTCGCCGACTGCTTCGACCGAAGGCATGGCAGTAGCGAAATAGTAAAATAATAGCGTCGCACTGCATTGCACGCACAGACTGACTACGCTACGCAATCTTATTATTATTTAGATAATAATAAGAATTATAAAACGAATTGAAAAAGGAAAAAATATATAAAAGTTAGCAATTTTTTATAGTACCTACATTAAAAGATTAAAAATTGATTATAAAATCAAACCTATCCTTCATTATTTACCCCAGTATCCTTGAATCAGTTTACATTTAATAACTTACTATGCATAAATATTCATTGGCACAAGTCTAAATTCCAAGTTCAACCCTAGCGCATACACGCTCCTGCTCAAGGTCACTGAAGCTGGAACTCTCACGTACAGAGTGTCACCGCTGTGCCCATGCGCAGCTATCCCCTCCGCGTTTTTTACAGCGCTAGAGTTACGTGCCGCGACCTGTACAGAGGGTAATTTCATTTATGTACCTACGTCACTTTTCACACCTACGCTTGGCGGTCACGCTAGGATTGTCAACTTTAGCTTGTGCAAAAAAAACATGTAAGTGCCACTCGTACGTTTTTTGTTGTTTGATGTATGTTGAGAAAGGAAGAACGGAAATATAAATCAATAATAACTAAAGTATTTCATTTTTACTGTAATATATTAGATGGGTAAAAACAAAAAAAAACGACAATTCTCCGTTTAATGTTGGATTCAACAGTTGTATGCTTTTGTTGCTCCATTTTTGCACAAAAAAGTTTACTGACGCGTATCTCAAACGGATGGAACTCGCGCTCGCACTGGTCCCAAGTGTTACCTGGTATCGTGTCCGTGAGCATTTGGCGTGATTCTCTAAACCTAAAGGTGAAACCGCACTATAATAAGGATAAACTGCTGTCAAATTTAAATTTAGGTTTAGAGAATCACGCCAGAATCGACACTAGTGTCTATTTGTGCGTTGCTCGAGCGCACTTTGTGTGTAGATTACCTTCTGTAGAATCTATTTTGTGCCAGTATTGTATAAAACTAAGAAATAAAATTTTGTTTAATAGGAACTGGGAAGTACTAATTGTGACATATGATGGGAAATTGCGTGGTTATCTAGTGTCGCAAACAGAAGGTTTTAAACTGCACCATTCATTCTGTTTTGCGGGGGGCACAGCGGCGCTTAGTTACTGCTCGCCTCATTCCATGCTTTTGGTTGCTGGTGTACCAAGATCCAGTAGCAAGGTAATTAAAACATAAAACATGTCCTAGCTAATAGTAAAAATATGAAAGTAAGCTTTTTCGTATGTTACGTTTTCACTCCTAAACTGTTGAATTGATTTTGATGAATTTGGGTAACAGACACATAGAGCCCTGAAACAGATATAAACTACATTTTCCCGCGGAAAGTCTCGGGAACCCGTTGAGTACAGGGCCGGATTTAGAGGCGGCCCTGGGGCAACCAAGCAGTGGGGGCTCTTAACGGGGGCGTATTTTAAAATCCGACACCCCGGGCCACTTTCGATTTGATTTGCATCATCTCCCCGTTCATTGATGACTTCATGTGGGGCCCCTGGGCCACAGCTAGCAACTCTAGCAGTTATAAAATACCTAATCTTGTTAAAATAGGGATGATGACGGGGTAAAGTAAAGGAATTTCTATTTAGTCTATCAGGTAGGTAGATTATAAAAAACAATAACACGTATTTTCTATTTTGTCAATCAACCAAAAAATAACAAAAATAAAGCGTGTCGAAGTTTGGGAGTCGGAGCTCCTTACGTAACTTCTAAGTAAAAATTGTACCAAGACGTGACGTCATGTATAAAATCAATATATCTCTGTAATGTTTTGATAATGTGAAGAATGAAAAAAACGTGTCCAATATTTTATAATCTTTTATTCTTTTAAATATTACCGATAAATTTAACGCGCTCCGTCGCCGAGTGGTTAACCGAGTTTTATGGTGTCGTCAACTCGAGAGGTCCCGGGTTCGAATCCCGGTGGGGGCGGATGTTTGTGTGATGAATACGAGCATTTGTACTCCAGTCATGGATGTCTAATATGTATTCCTATATAAATATACTTCTATATGTACAATATATGTATTCTATCAGTTACCCTAGTATCTCATAACACAACCTTACAGTGCTTCCTTTGGGGCTAGGCTAATTAGTGTGAGTGTTGGAAATATTTATTATTATTTCCATACTCACAACCAATGACCTGCGTAAGTCAAAATTTAACATGGTTTTTACCAGGACCCTACCTCACCACTGACAGCTGGCATCACCGCGTGGCGCATTCTGAACGATGATCCGTTCTATAAGCTGAGCGTCGTGTCCGATCAGCTGGAGATGCAGCTGGCCAATGAAAGATTCCATCTTTACGTGCCTTTTGTTTCTTCTAAGAACATGGTAATTTTTTTTATGAAATTGCATTATTTCTGCATACATTTTACAAGTATATATAGGTGGATTCTCCAGGAATTCTAATCTACACGTCTAAAGACGCTTGTAAACGAGACGGGTCTAGGCACGGTTTAAAACCGTGTATACTTCCGGTTCAGTGTACGAAACAGTCGCTGGGGCCCGTGTCGTTAAGAAATCTTCATAGTGTCCCATACTTAACTGATGACGTCGACACGGCTTAAAACCGTGCCTAGGCCCGGGTAAAAATCGTCTTGTTAACAAGCGCCCTGATTCTATTGAGGCAGCGTCCTTTCTTTTCATACATTGTGGTTTAATAAAATAGTAAAAAATATTCGAACTGGGCATTGTGGTACCATAGCTTTTAGTGCATCCGCTTGGATAGCGGAAGGCGAAGGTTCGAATCGTGTGAACCATGGGCCGAGTAGATTTTTAAATCCTGCAATTTTCTTTAAATTTCTAAATCAATGAGCTGTTTAAAAATAAAAAGAAACTGCAGTTGGTTTTTTCTTTCTTTGCAAATGTATAATAGATACATATAAAAGTATTTCGTTTGACATCGGGGCTTAGCTACAGTGTGAAGGCATAGTTTACATCCAATTTTTTATTGATGTGTAACATCTTTCCTCTCGCTTTCCTGCAATTTGTGAGAGTGATTTCGTGAAATGGGACGGAAGTGTGTAACAGGAAGTTGCGGAAGCGCACGCTATCTGATTTGATTTTAGAACATAATGTTCAAATGGCTTTTTCCTTTTGTAGTAAGTTTTATTTCATTTTTACTAATATAAAGTGAGGTATCAAATGTTACACATCAAAGGCGACTACTGTAAGGCTCGCTCGTTTCTTTTAATAGTTATAAGTAATAAGAGGTTAGCGATTCGATAAGAGTTAAAATTTCTAGGCATTTATCATACAAATGGTGTTATCGCCTGACGCGAGCAAGCTGGTGTGCCTGCACTGCAACGGCGACGTGTCAGTGTGGCAGCTGCCGATGTTGAAGCTGCTGCAGCGCCACCCGCTCGTCTCCCAGCCACAACATGACTTGCGGAACCCGCTCGTGGCTGAACAAACGCCGCCCAAGAAGTACGATCCTTCGGCGTTCTATGCGGCCGACGTTAACTGGTGGAGCAATGAGGTCGGGTGCAAATCTTTATTTTTAAAAATCGAAATCTTTTTGTTCGGTAATATACTACCTGTTTTATAATTTGTATGGATGTATGAACGTCGCCCAGGAAGTCCGAACCTTCGGCGCTCTGCCAAGATTAGGTTGGGGGCAATTTTTGAAGTTATACTTCTTTAGGTGCGTTATGAAAAAATGATGAGAGTGAAATTTTTAGATGCGCGCGCATCACTGTAACCCAAAAGTAACACCATGAAGTTGGTCGCGGGCGCGTTATGAATGTTAGTGTCTAATAATGGTGGATTATTAACCACTTAGTGGTTAATAATCCACCATTATTAGACATCTGTTCGAAAGGTCGTGCCGGTTGGTGACCGGGGCGTGGGGTCCCGGCGGCCACTTCCGGGGGGGTGCGGGGGCCCTTCCGTCCGGCGGGTCGGCGTATATCCTCTGCAGGCAATCATTCGGGGAAACATGCCTCCCTAATTTGCCCGGTCTTGTCGCGACAACGTCCACTCGTTTCACGTCTCTTTTTCACTTCCATAATGGCAGCTCCTAAAACAAAGTTTGGACGTTCAGCGGTGCACACCCCCACGCCTTCAACGCTGTTTGAGGTCGAGTTCTGCAACATACGCGGACTCCACTCTAACCTCAACGCTGTCCACCACCATCTTGAGACAGCACGGCCAGCATTGTTGTTCCTGACGGAGACACAAATACTTCCGCCTGCTGACACAGGCTACCTTAATTATCCCGGCTACGTGCTTGAAGAGTCCTTCAAAGCGAAAGCCGGTGTATGCCTGTATGTTCGGGCGGATGTTTGTTGTCGCCGTCTCCGCTGCTTGGAAGATCCCTCCTTCTCCATGCTGGGGGTACACGTCGACTCTGGCCCCCTGGCCAGAGTTTACGTGTGTCTCTACAGATCCCACACCGGCGATGTTGAGACAACTCGACTTTTTGAACACCTTAGTCGGGCAGCAGATGACGCGCAGGAACAATTTCCCAATGCAGAATTGGTGTTTTTGGGGGACTTTAATGCTCACCACAATTTGTGGTTAAGTTCCTCCAAAACTGACCATGCAGGGATCTCTGCTCACGCATTCGCTCTCACGCATGACTTGAAGCAACTGGTTGATCAGCCCACCAGGATCCCAGATATTCCAAGTCAAGCGCCTTCTTTACTGGACCTTCTGCTCACGACCCATCCACAGGGCTATCAGGTTGTGGTAAGAGCCCCCCTGGGCTCGTCAGACCACTGCCTGATATCTGCCAAAGCACCACAGGCCAAGCCTCCGCGTCCAGCAGTGGTCAAGCGCCGTATCTGGCATTATGGGTCGGCAGATTGGGACGGTATGCGTGACTACTTTGCGTCCGTCCCTTGGAAGCAGCGCTGCTTCAGTGACAGGGACCTATCGCCCAGTGCCGTTGCCGTTACTGAGGAGATTATAATGGGTATGGAATACTATATTCCTCATTCTGATCTCATCAGTAAGGGCACGCGTAACCTCTGGTTCAATCACGACTGTGCTGAAGCTGCTTCGCGTAAGCAAGCGGCATATCGTGCTTGGATCAGAGGTCGCGCTCTCAAGGATCCCGAGGTCGATTCACTCAAAGCAGCCTACAATTTTGCTTCCAAGGCCTGTAAGAAGGCTTACATTAGAGCGGATGCCCAGCGCGTTGCACGTGTTGGCCAGGAACTTATGACGCATCCTACGGGTTCCCGTAGCTACTGGCGTCTGGCCAAGGCCGTGCAAAAAAACTTCTGCGAGCCCTCGCTGCCACCTCTGAGATGCCCAGACGGAACACTAGCCCATAAGCCGCAGGAGAAAGCCGATTTACTGGCAAAACTCTTTGCGGCTAACTCCCGAATCGATGATCGCAATGCACTGCCACCATCATTACCTCACTGTGGCACAACGATGCCTGATATTAAAATCAGGCAGCGCGAGGTTCGTGCCGAATTGCAATCACTCGACGTCCGGAAAGCTAGTGGACCTGATGGCATCCCAGCAGTAGTACTCAAAAAATGTGCAGCGGAGTTGTCTCCCGTGCTCACGCGCTTGTACCAATGCTCGTATTCTTTGGGGCGTGTGCCGGAGACTTGGAGAGATGCCAATGTGCAACCGGTGCCCAAAAAAGGGGATCGCTCAGACCCGGCAAACTACCGGCCAATAGCAGTCACCTCAGTTTTATGTAAAGTTTTAGAAAAGGTCCTTAATAACCATCTGACCCGCTACCTAGAGGATCACTCCTTGATTAATGATCGTCAATATGGTTTTAGACCGAAACGATCGATGGGTGATCTTCTAGCGTACTTAACTCATATCTGGGGTGAGGCTATCGACAAGCGTGGCGAGTCGTTGGCTATCAGCCTTGACATTGCCAAGGCGTTTGACAGGGTCTGGCACAAAAGCCTTCTCTCCAAGCTTCCGGCATACGGTCTGCCAGCCCAGTTCTGTTCTTTGGTAGCTGACTTCCTGCATGAGCGTAGAATTCGTGTCCTTACGGATGGTAGCAGTTCGCGGTTCATGTCAGTGAATGCCGGCGTTCCCCAGGGCTCCGTCCTATCCCCCACTCTCTTTCTGCTGCATATCAATGACTTAATTCCTCTTGGGAATATTCATTGCTATGCAGACGATAGTACAGTGCATGCGGGGTATCTCGGACAAGCAGCGGCTGGGCTGGCGGTAACCAAGGAGAAACGCGAGAATCTTGTCATTGAACTCAATCAGGCTTTGGACCACATTTCCGAATGGGGTACCAGGAACTTGGTTGAGTTCAATGCCAAAAAAACTCAGGCTTGCGCTTTCACGGCAAAAACATCGTCATTCCTTCCTCTTCCATCTCTTCAGGGCACAACACTACCGCTGCAGAGCAACATTTCCATGCTCGGTATGGAAGTTCGCTCAGACCTGAATCCAAAGAACTACATCGAAACCGTGATCAAAACAGCTTCACGCAAACTCGGAGTCCTGAACAAGGTGCGGCGTTTTTTCACGCCCGATCAACTGTGCTTGTTGTACAAAACGCAAGTGCGGTCCTGCGTGGAATATTGCTCGCACCTCTGGGATGGCTCCGCCAAGTACTTGCTCGATGCTTTGGATAGGTTACAGCGACGCGCGATCCGCATCATAGGCGATGAGGAGGTGACTAAACACCTTGAGCCTCTTCAATTACGCCGTGACGTGGCGTCACTAAGCGCGTTCTATCGTCTGTACCACGGCGAGTGTTCTGAGGAGTTATTCTCTCTTATCCCACCTTCTCCTTTCCTTCAGAGGACCACGCGCGCTGGCCTACGTTGTCATCGTCTAACTGTGGCCACAATTCCAACGCGTACAAAGAAATTTGGTGACTCATTTCTTTGTCGCACTATCCGTAAATGGAATGCTCTGCCCGCTCACGTGTTCCCTCCCTCTTACAACCTGGGATCCTTTAAAAGAGGCGTGAAGAAGCAACATGCAGGCCGGCAGGGTGAAGATGGCTGGTGTGGCAGGTAAAACTGCTCTATCAGCTATCGTCACGTCTGGACTTCACCTTCACTTAACATCAGGTGGGGTGGAGTCATTTGTCGGACCTATCTATAAAAAAAAAAAAAAAAAAAGGTACTTTGAACGATCCACGGAGCTCCATAAAATGATCGCGTTGTCAAAAACAATGTTGGCACGCTCGTCGCCTCTGATCACTGTTTTCATATTTATAATATTTATCCACATGTTTCTAATTTCTATATAGACACAACGTGTTTTAGTTACTTACAAGCATGCAGCAAAAAACACAACATGATACGAAACTATATTTTTAATGTCATTTTCATAAAGGTGTCACAAAATATTAACAAAATGGACAACCTCTGTCTTAAAGTAATAAAATTTTAACAAAACAAACTTTTTTCGATAACATAAACTAATTTGTTACATGTTAATCAAATCTGTAGTAGACTAATAATATTATACTATTTGTATCAGTCTCATACGTCAGTCATAGTATCCTTATCACCTGCGCAATCTCGGCAGTACAACATTGCATGCTCACTGCAGATATATTGCATCTACTGCTCCGAAAAGTATTATTAGTTTTTCTATCTTTTTTGGCAGAACAGTCTTAGCATCTCTTTCTGACATAAAGTATCTTCACAGGTGGCTCCTCATCAGGTACCTACTCCTAACAACTCTCTTATTCTTTTTCGCATAAGTCTTGGCAACTGAATGACATCTTTACGATTGCGCAAATGCTGACGAACCAGTATAAGGCTTTAGAAATTGGCGTTGCTTTGACGTAGTGTTGTTATTCTTGTTATGTAATATGTACGCATTTATTCCAGACATATTTAGCATGCCAAAAATAACAAAATAGACAATATAAAACAACAATAAAAACATTTTTTTAAACGGCGCAAAATTACGACACGAATAGTATGGTTGGGTCATAATTTACCTTTTTCGTGTTTGGCCGTGTCTATCACTCGCTGGGGTCGCAACACGACTGAAAGGCGATATCCCACGTGGAGGGGGATCATTAGCCGCAGCCACTGAGAAGTTTGGCAAAGCTGCACAAACATTTTAGGAAACACGCTCATTTGAAAACTGCTCGGGTCAAATAGACCCAACTGTGCGAACGCCGGGTTAAAAGTGTTTTATAAAATGTTTGTGACTGATTGCAGGAATTGATTTTGTCGCGATTCAGTGGTGCAGTCACAGTTTGCTCCATAACAGATATGGTGAACTTATTGGGAAAGAAACCAGAATTCTTTCAAGGAACACCTCAAGTAAGTTTGTTTTATGCAAATATAGAATAATTTATTATGTGTTTTTCATAAGTTATAATCTAATATTTCTACCCATTTTGATTTTATATCGCTTTCCTATGATGAAATATCTATACAAGTAGTAAAGTTTTATGACGTAATGAAAAATTCACTTTCTATTTTCGTTTAATGACAGGTAACTTGCGCACATGATGGAGCATTTATGGCGCTGGAGTGTGAATCAAACGTACTGCCTGCAAAAAAATCTAGAAGTGACGAAAGTGTGAGTTGTGTTGGTTTGTTTCAATGAAATGTAGAGCACAATGATTTAAAAGACAGTATTTAATAATTTCAAATGTTCCTTAATGGATCTTGGGTACACATGCTTCATCCGGTAGTCTCTTCTATTAGCTAGATGAAATCCAAATGGTAAACCTGATACGTCGTCAATTCAACTGACGTACAGTTGAATCAGTTGTACAGTGTTGTACAATAACACTAGTTTAAAAATTACTTTTCATCCCACCACCTCGGAAAGTGTAATTTTGCGCTTCGAAATCTGGCTGGAAAATTCTATTTTATTCGCTTGAGCGGCAAAGTAGATTTGAATTTAGAACATCACATATAATGAGTACTCAATATAATTGTAAATTCAAAACGTCATTAAACCTATTTAATGTAACCTCTATGGTGCCAAATTTATGATTAGAACTTTTTAAATTGTGAAAAAATTTAAATTTGGAACCTTCTTGGTTTCTTTGTTTTATTTGCGTGCTTCGCGCCATTCTAGTTTTTCACGTTTTATTGCTTAAATATTTTGTCATTATAAATTGTTTTCTTTTTCATTTTGTCATTTCCTCGCTGAGGTGGGATGAAAAGTTACGTATTGCACTCGAGTGGAAAGATTTTTCACCTTGTGCTCGTTTGTTTCCCTCGCTGACGCTCAGGATTCTAATTTAGAATCACTCGCTGCGCTCGTGATTCAACTTTAGAATCCTTCGCTTGCTCGGTCATCCAAATCGAGCACGCGGTTAAAAAGGAACTTTCCACTCTTGTATAATAAATAACTATTCCTTCATTGTTGATGTGATAAGTCTTATAAATCGATAAACAACGGCTGCATGCACGCAAAAAGTGTCGCGTTCCGTCTGAGCCTGAGCGTGCAAGCGAGAGAGAGGCACGATCGACCCAAGCGTCGGCTTGTACACATTTATTTCTCTTCTCACGTGACGTCAGAGCTAGCAATTATGCAACTTTTCTTTATGACGTTATCACTTAAAACAATCGTCTTTACAGACAGCCATTTTTTTCAACTATTTATATTTGACGTTTTTGAAGTGAAAGTTTCTTTACGCACTCTTGACTTGGGGGAGGGGGGGGGGGAGAGGGGGTAAGCTGGCGAAGGCGTTACGTTTTACGAAAAGTGTGTTCGGGTCAGGCGAACGGCATTGATTGGGGGTATAAACAATTGCTAGTAAATGAAATATGTACACTCGCGGAAAGACCCGCTGTCACCCATAATGCCATAATCGCTTGCGGTAGCGGCGTAGTAAAAATTCATTCATAGTATGTAATTATCGCTGTCTTACTTTTTCGTATAGCGCGTCCCACGCGAAGGCGGGGCGTAGTAAAAACTCCTGTAGAAAACCGTTCAAAGCATTTTGTTCGCCAAGTGACAGAGCGCAAAATTCCGCGATAGTACATACATGACTATATTATACACACACATACAGATGGAGTTAAAGAAGTTTCACTTCAGTCGTGTAGTCATAAGCATTTTTTTAATACCGATAGGTTTGTTGACTTTTTAAGCGTGCTTGATTATTTTGTTATTTCAGATGGAAGTGGTGAAAGCCGAAGCGGACGTGGAGGATTCCATGTTAGATCTGACGAAGGAGTTGTTCAAGTCCGTGCTGTATGCCATAACAGACATCGAGGCGTTCCAACCGCGACCGAGGCGTATCACTGTTGTGTCCAGGATATATAGGTTGTTGGGCGTTAAGAGCACCACGCCCAATGAACTGTTCTCTAGGAAGGTTTGTTTATATTATAACTAGCTGTCCCAGCGAACTTCGTACCGCCATAGAAAAAAGGGGTTGGTGGTAGAAGAGTAAAAATTTAAGGTTGTAATTTTACATAGTATAGAACTCGCGATAATTTAAATTGTTACCATTGATGTCCTTTGTTATACAAAAATGACAAGCAGTAAAAGTAATTGCATGCATAGATGCAGGCACTTTTGGCCGCAGAGGACTAAAGTCCTACAATCGTGAAAAACTTGTTCGCCGAGGGCTTGTCGCGGACTCAAAGCACACGATGTGCGAACATCTGTCCCCCGAAAAAAGTGCATGATTATGAAGTAAATATTCTGAGATTGTTGTGTTGTGATTTACATAAAGTATGCGTTTCTGCGCCTAATCACATGAGTTCTATGTTTTCGAGGACACCCGCGTACTTTTGTTGTGTCCGGTCTTGGTGTCCCGGGTTGTTCGGGGGATTTTTGTACGCGGTATTTTTATTCCGTCGTGTGCGTTACTCGATACAGTTGCTAGCGATCTACTTTGATGGACAAAAAATTCTGTTGACAATTGTCCCTCGTCTGCGTAGCTATTAAGGGATCTAAAAAGGCAAGTTTTCTGCCGTATCAGTACCCTTAACACGAACCAATATCGAATTCGAATAGTTTGCAAGTGCGAAATGTCAATGTCATATTTTATATGAAAACTTGAACAGCAGCGCCATAACCTACGAAAACAGAACTAAAAATCAGTACACATTTGACAATGACACTTCAGACTCGCAAACGATGCGAATTCGATATTGGTTCGTGCTAAGGGTAGAGTTATCTTCGCAACTGGTCTCCTCGCATAACCTTATTTATGAAGAGTGTAGTTATTTGCTAGTCCTTATAAAATAACGCGTATACCGTATTCCGTCAGATCGAGAGCGGTAGCTACAGCGAGGCGTTGACTTTAGCGGACACTTTCGGATTAGACAGCGACCGCGTCTACCAGCAACAGTGGCGCAAGAACCCCGTCTCCACTGACGCCATCAACAAGTATCTGGTAAAATCCTGCAGATAATAAATAATACTACATACGTAAAAGAGGTAGGACATAGCGGGTTTCCAGCTAGAATTGGAGCACTCGTCTGGGGAAGTAACTTTCACCTTACAGAAGAACACAGTGGAATAAGACTAACTTTTGGTGGTGTTGTGTTTCTGTAAGTGAGTATAAGGTTCCACGGATTGGGTCAGGGTAGGCAGGGCGCGAGTGATATATTGTATCGTAAGCGTCTATAGGTTATGGTGGCCGCTTTTTTATAGTTATTCCGAGAAATGAACTCCACCCCACCTGATGTTAAGTGATGGTGAAGTCCAGACGTGAAGATAGCTGGTACAGCAATTCTACTTGCCACAACAGCCATCCTTACCTTGTCGGCATGCATGTTGCTTTATCACGCTTCTTTTGAAGGATCCCAGGTTGTAAGAAGGAGGGAACACGTGAGCAGGCAGAGCATTCCATTTACGGATAGTGCGACAAAGAAATGAGTCACCAAATTTCTTTGTACGCGTTGGAATTGTGGCCACAGTTAGACGGTGACAACGAAGGCCAGCGCGCGTGGTCCTCTGAAGGAGAGGGGAAGTTGGAATAAGTGAACAGCAGCGCCATAACTCTTCAGAACACTCGCCGTGGTACAGACGATAGAATGCGCTTCGTGACGCCACGTCACGGCTTAATTGAAGAGGTTCGAGGTGTTTAGTCACCTCCTCATCGCTTACCATCGGGCGGGCCATATGCCTGTTTGCCACCCTTTTAACATAAAAAGAATCCTGTCATCTCCACACCTAGATCATTGTCAGCTGCAGCAAGGGTTGTGCACACGTTTTTATTGGACAGGGCCGCGTCTACCAGCAGCAGTGGTATTGAAACTTGTTTCCACCGACGCCATCAACAAGCACCTGGTACCAATCCTGCCTTCATAACTAAAACACAACGCATACTTCTAATTGATTCAACTCTGAAGAGGCTTTCGATTTGTGCACAATTTTGTACCTATTACTTTGGTACAAATTATCACAAAACACTCCACTAAAAAGACTCACGTATCAGAATCTCAATTAATTGAATAGAAATTTGTGAAAATCTGAATTAAAATATTAAAAAATGTCAATCAGCGTATTAAGAAACGTCATTCGTAGACACCGTTTGTCATACTGATAGATAAGAGCTATTGGTTTAAATTAATTTCCTTGATTATGATTGGTCGTATCAAAAATCACGTGATAGTTTCCGTCACATGGTTACTATGGATATCCGTCATGCCATAAAAGAAAAAGAAGAAGAACTATGGATATGACAGTCATATTTGATCGCCTTGGTACACCTTTTAGCCAAGCCTTTTAGTAATTTTATATGTGTTCTGATCAGAGTAAAGTGTCGAAGAAGATATGGGCGGTGCACCAGTGCGTGGACCGACTGCCTGAGACTCTGCCCGCGGCCAAGGAGCTCCTACAGTTCGGCCTGGAGCTCACCAACGAGAGAATATTGCACGGTAACTTAAACTAGACAATGGGAAAGAAAACTGCCAATTTATCCCGCCAGAGGCGCAGGTCTAGGTGCAACAAATATCAAAGTTGACATTAGCTTCGTACATTTTATGTCAAAATTGTCAAGGTAAAAATTACACTCTTAACATAGGTTTTGAATGCAGTCCAGGTGTCGAATGGCCCATAAATAACAACAAATCAAAACAGCTATCAAAGTCACAAGGAAAACCTGCAAATTCCGATAAATTTAAGCTGCGTTCCAAAGCTATGTTCCAGGTGCTACAAACGTCAAATTTTACATAATTTTCATATATCTTGTGTTAAAATTTAAACGTCAAGGTAAAAAGTTGCACTCAGAGCGTAGGTTTAGAACGCAGCCTTGAAGTTACAGGTTCCTTGTTATGGGTCAAACGGCCAGAGCGCCAACTATAATGAGGTTTGCGTTTTCTTCCCCATTATTCACCAGTGAATCTCGGTCGAGGTTTTGCTAACTATTATACTAATTTATTATATTGTTACTTTAGGCATTAAGCTATCTGCTAGCTGCCAGATTTATACTGTCTTACACCTGGTCCGAATAGATTTTTTCTACTGATGTTTTCTTTAAAATGATAATAATGTTTTGATAAGTTAATTTGGCTGAAACACCTGCCAACAATAACACTCATTTTTATAATTAATTACCTGTACGAGCATTTACTTTGTTGCTTAATAACCAAGTCATTATTTGACACTAGAATTATTCTTAAATTAAACAAATATTACTGTGCAACGAATATGGTAAGTATTACTTGGTTATAACTCGCGCTAATAAAAAAACGCAATCGCAAATCACGACATAAGACTTTCTGTCCCCCTCGAAAATGCTTTTCTACTAGGATTGTATTGCTATCCTATTACCTAAAGTAACGTGCGAGCGAGACATTGTCTTGCGCCGGCATTTTCGATTCGTTTCTCTAACGGCAAGAGCTATAAGATTTCTCATTTACGATAAGTTCTTTTTTATTTCATCTGAATCTTAAGAAATTGATATTGTAGTGAACATTTACTTGCATTGTAGAAATCAACAAAGACCGCAAGGAGTGCGAAGTGAAGGACCCTGACGACATCACGCTGGAAGATCTCAACGCGTACACAAGCGAGCTACTACGCTGTCGACACGTCATGTTGTTCTACAAGGAGCGGCTCAGACTCTATGAGGTTACCATAAACTATTAGGATCTCAAAGCGTACAGCGAGCTGCTGCGCTGTCGACACGTCATGTTCTACAAGGAGCGGCTTAGGTTCTATGAGGTTACCATAAACTATTAAGATCTCAACGCGTACAGCGAGCTGCTGCGCTGTCGACACGTCATGTTCTACAAGGAGCGGCTTAGGTTCTATGAGGTTACCATAAACTATTAAGATCTCAACGCGTACAGCGAGCTGCTGCGCTGTCGACACGTCATGTTGTTCTACAAGGAGCGGCTTAGGCTCTATGAGGTTATCATACACTATTAAGATCTTAACGCGTACAGCGAGCTACTGCGCTGTCGACACGTCATGTTGTTCCACAAGGAGCGGCTCAGACTCTATGAGGTTACTATAAACTATTAAGATCTCAACGCGTACAGCGATCTGCTGCGTTGTTGTCACTTCATGATGTTATACAAGGAGCGGCTCAGGCTCTATGAGGTTACCATAAACTATTAAGATCTCAATGCGTATAGCGCGCTGCTGCGCTGTCGACACGTCATGTTGTTCTACAAGGAGCGGCTCAGGCTCTATGAAGTTACCATAAACTATTAAGATCTCAACGCGTACAGCGAGCTGCTGCGTTGTTGTCACGTCATGCTGTCCTACAAGGAGCGGCTCAGGCTCTATGAAGTTACCATAAACTATTAAGATCTCAACGCGTACAGCGAGCTGCTGCGTTGTTGTCACGTCATGCTGTTCTACAAGGAGTGGCTCAGGCTCTATGAAGTTACCATAAACTATTAAGATCTCAACGCGTACAGCGATCTGCTGCGTTGTTGTCACTTCATGATGTTATACAAGGAGCGGCTCAGGCTCTATGAGGTTACCATAAACTATTAAGATCTCAATGCGTATAGCGCGCTGCTGCGCTGTCGACACGTCATGTTGTTCTACAAGGAGCGGCTCAGGCTCTATGAAGTTACCATAAACTATTAAGATCTCAACGCGTACAGCGAGCTGCTGCGTTGTTGTCACGTCATGCTGTTCTACAAGGAGTGGCTCAGGCTCTATGAGGTTACCATAAACTATTAAGATCTAACCACTTACAGCGAGCTGCTGCGCTGTCGACACGTCATGTTGTTGTAATGAGAAAATGGTGTCCTGACTTAAAGTATAAATCGTATGGAATGTGCAGCCGTTGGGTAACGTAACTGGCATCGACATACCTGTTTATACCTGGCAACCCAGTAGTTCACCCAGGTAAATAATAGACAACCCAACGGTAATTCATAATTCAAATTAAATTTAATTAATCAATTATTCATTTAAATTCAATTTCCATAAGTATTAACATTGAAATTAATCTAAACTTGCAGGCAATACTGAGGTGTGAGAAGTCAACGTACGTAAAGGACGAATATGATCGCTTACGTAGCAACAGCATCGTCCACAGTTCAATGGAAATCGCCAAAGAGGGGCGCATAGAGGCGTTGACTTGTCTCTGGCCCAACATAAAGACGGTAGCGATGCAACTAGCGGTGCTGGAGAACATACCGGAGGTCATCAACCCTCTGGATTACCAGCACCTGTTACCCACGGAACGACCGTTTCAGGAGTGGTTTGAGAAAAAATCGCCGATTAAGATCAAACCGTCGGAATATGAGTACGATTGGTGCAGGAAGGAGATCTTTAGGTAATTTTCTATTTGTTATATTGTTACGCGTCGGATAGAGTTCGAAATTATATGCCAGTGCACGCCTGACAATTCTTTATTTCACCTTACCCAGTTAACACACAATGTTAATCAAAATACACTCAATAAACACTGTACTTCACGCTATATACGTCAATCGACGCATTATAGAAAAGTCCCGTTAAATTGAGAGTTAACTAGCACTCGCGGAGTGCGTAGTACCTACTTATACCTACGTAGGTAATGCGCAAAGGTTGTCAACAAGTATAGATGTCTTTGCACTTTCTCCCTTATGCCGCACTGTATAAGGCTCATATTAGAATGAGCCGCACCGCTCGACCTTTATCAGGATCCGCGGTGTTCTGGTAAATTCTGTCTCTAGTATTTTCGCGGTTTTGTTTCGAGAGCGTTTTTGACAATTTTAACTTACTGGTGGTCCACCTTCGCTTCGCTAGAGCTTTAGTGTAGACTATAGTTATCGTTTTCAGGCTTGTATTATACAAATGACTTTCTTTATATAATTATAAGCCTTGATATATATAGGCTAGATTTCTATATCTAAAATGTAGCCATCATCGTCACCAATATAGTGTTTTGGCGGGAACTGGTAAGAGCATACGTCCAGCGATAGTTAGCGTTTATTCACAACTGACTCATTGGCATTGAAATGTCTACTTATAAATAATAAGTTAACCCTACCTAGATTAAAATTTTCGCATAACAATTTTTTTTCTTTTTGCTTTTTTCAGAGTTCTTGATTACAACTGTAATTCGATTAAAATTCTTTTTATAATTTTCTAAACCAACCACGTATTCGTCAGGTGTATATGGAGTTCGAACTGGTCCGAGGACACCACCCCTGAGACAGAGACGGTCGGCGCGATGGCCTCGCCGGCGCAGCCCGCGGACATCGCGCAGTGGTACGAGAAGCGCGCGCGGCAGATAGAGGAGCGCAGCGGCCTCGCCTCGCACGCTCTCACTCTGGTCACGCTCGCGCACCTCGGCGGCGGCGTGGGCGGGCTCGAGCGCGCCATGTTCCACCTGCTGACGCTGGACACGCTGCTGTACGACGTGAACCTGGAGGGCGTCACACTCGCGCACCTGGAGAACATCACGCCGCTCGACACCTGCGCCATGCTCATGCGGATGGTGAGTGTGTGACTAGTACGGCGCCGGTACGAGGCGCGAGGCAGATAGAGGATCGCAGCGGCCTCGCCTCGCACGCTCCCACTCTGGTCGCGCTCGCGCACCCCGGCGGCGACGTGGGCGGACTCGAGCGCGCCATGTTCCACCTGCTGACGCTAGACACGCTGCTGTACGACGTGAACCTGGAGGGCGTCACACTCGCGCACCTGGAGAACATCACGCCGCTCGACACCTGCGCCATGCTCATGCGGATGGTGAGTGTGTGACTAGTACGGCGCCGGTACGAGGCGCGAGGCAGATAGAGGAGCGCAGCGGCCTCGCCTCGCACGCTCTCACTCTGGTCACGCTCGCGCACCTCGGCGGCGGCGTGGGCGGGCTCGAGCGCGCCATGTTCCACCTGCTGACGCTGGACACGCTGCTGTACGACGTGAACCTGGAGGGCGTCACACTCGCGCACCTGGAGAACATCACGCCGCTCGACACCTGCGCCATGCTCATGCGGATGGTGAGTGTGTGACTAGTACGGCGCCGGTACGAGGCGCGAGGCAGATAGAGGATCGCAGCGGCCTCGCCTCGCACGCTCCCACTCTGGTCGCGCTCGCGCACCCCGGCGGCGACGTGGGCGGACTCGAGCGCGCCATGTTCCACCTGCTGACGCTAGACACGCTGCTGTACGACGTGAACCTGGAGGGCGTCACACTCGCGCACCTGGAGAACATCACGCCGCTCGACACCTGCGCCATGCTCATGCGGATGGTGAGTGTGTGACTAGTACGGCGCCGGTACGAGGCGCGAGGCAGATAGAGGAGCGCAGCGGCCTCGCCTCGCACGCTCTCACTCTGGTCACGCTCGCGCACCTCGGCGGCGGCGTGGGCGGGCTCGAGCGCGCCATGTTCCACCTGCTGACGCTGGACACGCTGCTGTACGACGTGAACCTGGAGGGCGTCACACTCGCGCACCTGGAGAACATCACGCCGCTCGACACCTGCGCCATGCTCATGCGGATGGTGAGTGTGTGACTAGTACGGCGCCGGTACGAGGCGCGAGGCAGATAGAGGATCGCAGCGGCCTCGCCTCGCACGCTCCCACTCTGGTCGCGCTCGCGCACCCCGGCGGCGACGTGGGCGGACTCGAGCGCGCCATGTTCCACCTGCTGACGCTAGACACGCTGCTGTACGACGTGAACCTGGAGGGCGTCACACTCGCGCACCTGGAGAACATCACGCCGCTCGACACCTGCGCCATGCTCATGCGGATGGTGAGTGTGTGACTAGTACGGCGCCGGTACGAGGCGCGAGGCAGATAGAGGATCGCAGCGGCCTCGCCTCGCACGCTCCCACTCTGGTCGCGCTCGCGCACCCCGGCGGCGACTTGGGCGGACTCGAGCGCGCCATGTTCCACCTGCTGACGCTAGACACGCTGCTGTACGACGTGAACCTGGAGGGCGTCACACTCGCGCACCTGGAGAACATCACGCCGCTCGACACCTGCGCCATGCTCATGCGGATGGTGAGTGTGTGACTAGTACGGCGCCGGTACGAGGCGCGAGGCAGATAGAGGATCGCAGCGGCCTCGCCTCGCACGCTCCCACTCTGGTCGCGCTCGCGCACCCCGGCGGCGACGTGGGCGGACTCGAGCGCGCCATGTTCCACCTGCTGACGCTAGACACGCTGCTGTACGACGTGAACCTGGAGGGCGTCACACTCGCGCACCTGGAGAACATCACGCCGCTCGACACCTGCGCCATGCTCATGCGGATGGTGAGTGTGTGACTAGTACGGCGCCGGTACGAGGCGCGAGGCAGATAGAGGATCGCAGCGGCCTCGCCTCGCACGCTCCCACTCTGGTCGCGCTCGCGCACCCCGGCGGCGACGTGGGCGGACTCGAGCGCGCCATGTTCCACCTGCTGACGCTAGACACGCTGCTGTACGACGTGAACCTGGAGGGCGTCACACTCGCGCACCTGGAGAACATCACGCCGCTCGACACCTGCGCCATGCTCATGCGGATGGTGAGTGTGTGACTAGTACGGTGGCCGTAGGTACGCTATCTACGTAGATGGATTTCACTCATGCCTTCGGCATGATCCGGAGGGGTGGACTTTGTTCGGACCTCCAAAATCGACACCTTGAAATCCGTGGTGTACATACTACCCGGGCACGCAGGTCGTCTAGCAACAGTATATTTTGTTTATGACATGGAGTTGAGGCAACTTTTTTCGCCTCATAATTCTATTTAGAATTTCTTCCTGTTTTCTTTTCTAAATATACAAAAAACGGTCCCTTGAAAGGCTACCCGGGACGGCATTGTATAAATTATTGATAAATAAACTAAAATATTATATATTTAGCATATTAGCCCTAGTTCTGGTACACTAAGAGGAAAAAACAGCTTCCGAAGCTAGATGCTGTATTCCTGCCTAATAGTAATAACATACTACAATACATTAACTCGCATTGGAAGTTCCTAATATCTGCGTTACTTAATTGAATTGCATTTATTGAAAACAAGTTTGTAATTTTTTAGTCGACGCCGGCAACGTTCGTGTCAGACTTGAAACAGTTCGTGATCCCGTTCCTGAAGCGGTACGAGATCTTCTCAAAGCGCGCCGACGCCTGCCTCAGCGGCCTCACCGATTACCTCGAGAGCATTAGTGTGGATGACCTCTCTTCTATACTTTTGGTAAGGGATCTAATCTTGTCAACGTTCCTGTCCGATCTGAAATAGTTCGTGATCCCGTTCCTGAAGCGGTACGAGATCTTCTCGAAACGCGTCGACGCCTGCCTTTAGCGGCCTCGCCGTCTACCGCGAGAGCATCAGTGTGGATGACCTCTCTTCTACACTCTTGGTAAGGGATCTAATCTAGTCAACGTTCCTGTCCAATCTGAAATAGTTCATGATCCCGTTCTTGAAGCGGTACGAGATCTTCTCGAAGCGTGCCGACGCCTGTCTCAGCGGCCACACCAACTACCTCGAGAGCATCAGTGTGGATGATCTCTCTTCTATAATTTTGGTAAGGTATCTTCAAACAAAAAGTGTGTATCTTTACCTTTAGATTTAATTGAATATAAAACTTTAAAGCCATCAATGGTGTCAATTTTGGAATGATTTTCTAAACTAAAAACTAAATTTGCAGGAATATGGAGGGACTGTTTTTACTCTCCTTTTCATTCTGTATAGAGAATGACAAGGATGTACTGTTGTCAAGTTTATGTTTAGAGAAACATGCCAGAATTAACACCAATGAATATTTAAGATTGATCAACTTTGCGATAGGCAATAGCATAAAATAAAAAATCAACTTGTCAAGCAAATTCATTTAATTGACGTACCTTTGTGCGACCGTTGTTGTAATTTAAAATTCGATTAATTTAACTGACGATCATTGTGTTTTATGTAACCTCGAGGTTATTCAGTAATTGTTCTTGTTTCAGGTATTACAGTCGCCTAGCGAATTCGAACTGGATATACGCACACATTTGGAGTTGGTCGAAAGATGTCTTTTCGCCCACAACGGCACCGATCAGTTAGATAAAGCTTGTGATTTACTTGATACTATTTTAAAAGAAACGTAAGTGCTCACATAGTATACTAAATCCTCTATGCGTATTAAAACGCATCTAGTTAACCACTATTTTGTCTATTTTGCTATTCAGTAAGTTGTTTTTTGACGGAATACTAAAGAAAGCATTCCTTTTCTATGTTAAAAGGGTGGCAAACAAGCTTACGGCCCGCCTGATGGTATACGGCCACCATAGCCTATAGAAGCTTACGATACAAAAATATCACTCGCGCCATTGGCAACCCTGACCCCATCCCCTATCCCGTTGAGTCATGGAACCCTACTCACGGACAAATACCACACCACTAAAAGGTAGTATCATTGTACTGTGGTCTTATTATAGGGATGGCAGTATATCCGGCAGTGAATTGGTCCGTCGCGTATCGGAACTGGAGAAACTGGTCGCGGCGTGCAGCCTCGCGGCCGGACGCGGGCTAGCGCTGCCCCTGCGAGAGCTGCGAGACATGCACGCTGACGTCAACAAGGCGCGCCAACTGCTGACCAGGCTCGCGCGCGCCACTGCTGTATGGTGAGGGGGCTCTGTCCGACACTTGACCTCGGTTGTGCAGCCTCGCGGCCGGACGCGGGCTAGCGCTGCCCCTGCGAGAGCTGCGAGACATGCACGCTGACGTCAACAAGGCGCGCCAACTGCTCACCAGGCTCGCGCGCGCCACCGCTGTATGGTGAGGGGGCTCTGTCCGTCACTTGACCTCGGTTGTGCAGCCTCGCGGCCGGACGCGGGCTAGCGCTGCCCCTGCGAGAGCTGCGAGACATGCACGCTGACGTCAACAAGGCGCGCCAACTGCTCACCAGGCTCGCGCGCGCCACCGCTGTATGGTGAGGGGGCTCTGTCCGTCACTTGACCTCGGTTGTGCAGCCTCGCGGCCGGACGCGGGCTAGCGCTGCCCCTGCGAGAGCTGCGAGACATGCACGCTGACGTCAACAAGGCGCGCCAACTGCTCACCAGGCTCGCGCGCGCCACCGCTGTATGGTGAGGGGGCTCTGTCCGTCACTTGACCTCGGTTGTGCAGCCTCGCGGCCGGACGCGGGCTAGCGCTGCCCCTGCGAGAGCTGCGAGACATGCACGCTGACGTCAACAAGGCGCGCCAACTGCTCACCAGGCTCGCGCGCGCCACCGCTGTATGGTGAGGGGGCTCTGTCCGTCACTTGACCTCGGTTGTGCAGCCTCGCGGCCGGACGCGGGCTAGCGCTGCCCCTGCGAGAGCTGCGAGACATGCACGCTGACGTCAACAAGGCGCGCCAACTGCTCACCAGGCTCGCGCGCGCCACCGCTGTATGGTGAGGGGGCTCTGTCCGATACTTGACCTCGGTTGTGCAGCCTCGCGGCTGAACGCGGGTTAGCGCTGCCCTTGCGCGGCTGCGAGACATACAAGCTGACGTCAACAAGGTGCCCATAAACTGCTCACCAGGCTCGCGTGCGTCGCCCGCCGTATGCTGAGCGGGCTTTATCCGACCTCGAAAAAACTAGATTTAAGCAGTCGAAAATAGTACATTGTTCACCGAGGGGAGAAAGTGACCGATTACCAAAGAGGATGTAGTTCTGGCGGTGTCAATAAATCTTCATTATTAATTAATATACGCCGTCCCGAGTAGATAGGAAAACAAATTAAAAACTCAGTTAAAATAAAATAATCAACGCAGTTTTCGACTTTTTATTCTTTTAAAAAAATAATGTTCAGAACGCAAATAGCATAATATTAAAAAAAGCAGCCTGCAAAATGATACTGACCACATGTTTTTTCTAAACATTTCAATTTAAAAGAAACCAACACACTAACAATTACTTTTATAGACTTTTATAGAGCTAATGGAAAAAATGGATTTCCATAAATTTTTCAGCCCACTTACTGTTCTGCTACAACAGTAATTAATCCTTTCTGCTTCATTTTCAAAAAAAATGAAGCCCCTTTTCGAGCAAGTATAGTTTCATTTTTTTTTCGTTTTAGATCCTGTTACTAAAACTGCGTTGGTATTAGTGGGGAATCAGTAAAGTAGGGTTTTATGAACATGAACAAATTTCACAGATTTTTGTTCTAATTTTTTCATTAACTAAGCCTATTTTTGGTGCAGTGATGAAAAACCAACACAACAAGACTGGGCTGAACTGCTGAAAGACTTGTTGGAGCTGCAATCATCACTTTTCACGTGCATAACTAAACAAGAGTGTTACGAGGTAACTAGCTAGTCATTTGATTCAAAATTAAATTTTATTTTAGTTTGTTCACATTTCAACACCATTCAAACCGAGTGTGCTCATACCATTACCATTTACCATTTTTTACCAGTTTTAATATATTGCGAAATTTATACTTCTCTTTTTATTTTACATTAATTTGTGGGACTTACACCCTACAGCCATAGTTATAATTAAATTAATTTTTTTTGACCTGAAATATCTTAAACTAAAAATACGTATTCGTCTATCGATCAGATCTACGCGTCTTCGCTACTGACATGAGGCGACGTTAACAGCATCAAGCTGGCTACCTACATTTTATTTATTTATATGTCCATAGAAATCAAACGGCTTTTTATAACAGAGGATAAAACAAAATTATGTAGTAATAATAAGCCTTCATCATCATCATCACCAGCCTATTAATGTCCCCACTATTGGGGCACAGGCCTTTCCTATGGATGGAATAGGGAGATTGGGCCATGACCCACCACGCGGGCCCAGTGCGGAATGGCGGGTGCTAACGACTGCAGATGCAGCCGGGACCAACGACCACGTTAATGCCTTCCGAAGCACGGAGGAACTCGAGATAGTAAATTTTTGGTCACCCATCCAATGACCGACCACTTACGCCATCAAAATTAAAAAATAAATAAAATAAAATTTCTTTTGACCTGAAATGTATTAAACTAAAAATACGTATTCCTCTTTCGATCAGATCTACGCGTCTTCGCTGCTGACATCAGGCGACGCTAACAGCATCAAGCTAGCTTCGGAAGTATTGACGTGTTCGGACACCGCTCGCCGTGGCTCCAGCCTTGTGCCGTACAATCTAAGCGTTTCACTCGTATCGGCGGCGGCTAAAGAATACTTCAACTCCGCTTCCGCTCTCAATGATCCTGCGTTGGAGCTTGCTAAGTGAGCGTTGAAAAGTATCACATAGTTATCAGTATCATCAAGAAAGCAGTGGTTGTACTAAGAGAGGTTAAAGGTAGGGAGTTTCATACAAAAGAATACTGAACGGCTTGAGTTAATCTTTCCGAGTTAATATGACTGGCTAAGACCTTTAGGGTCGCCGCACACGGGCCACCGGCCACAATCATAAAACGCGGCCACCTGCATACTTCCTGTAGTTTTCATACATTTTATATGGAGTCGTCGCACACGGTTAACGCCGGTAGCCGCCACACGCTCAAACTTCCTGTTACATACTTCCGTCCCACTTCACGTAATCACTCCCACAAATTGCGCGAAAGCGAGAGGAAAGATTTTACACACCAAAAAGTAGTAGCCATCGACGGGAAGTGTCGACCACCAGCCACAAGTGGCTGTCGCGCGCTTCAGCTACCTTTGTAGCCGCTTCTAGCTTCTCGTGGCGGCGTTTGTGGCTGTCGCGTGTGGCCCGTGTGCGGTGACCCTAAAGGTCGTAGCCAGACATATCAACTCGGAATGATTAACTCGAGCCGTTCAGTATTCTCCCTGTCATTAACCTCTGAGAAAAACCACTGCTTTTTTTGAACTAAAACACACACACAACACTTAGGGAGATGGGGCCGTAATTCACAACTTGGCAAACGGTGGATTTATTAACGCTAACTACAGACATTGCAATCCACGAAGACGCCCCCCACTATTCCGACTAACCGCTTATAATAAATGTGCGAAAAAATAATTAAAACATTAATTAGTTTTACTTATTTTTAAAGATGCATTGAAGTCTTGTTTTGGTAATTTGTTTTATTTTCAAAATAAAAATACTTTTCTCTGCTTATTTTATGTGTTTTAGTAACTACAAACATCTAAAAAATATATATGTATATCAATAATAATAAATATAAAGTAGAGCAACTTTCGAGGCGAGTCTGCATTTTTGCAACATAGACTGCACTACTTGTATGCATCGAACTGCTGACGGTTCACGACTGACGCTCAGGTCAGATTCCCCCCACCCCGCGACCCCTTCAACCAAAAATTGGTGGGGCGCATCTTCGTGGATTGCACTATCTGTACTGTACGTACAACTGGTGCCAACTGCTAATAGTACCTTTCGAAGTATTTAGAAGTTGGGAAATTGTACAGATTTCGTCACCAATCAGTCATTGCAAATGAGTCTAAACTTCTAAAATGGCAGTATTATTGTACTCTGACTGCTACGCTATCAAGTTTAGTTTGAACAGTCGAACAGTTAATCTATATAATACTATATAAATTAAACGGAAATGAGTTGGTGGATCGCTTGCTTTATCACAATCGTTTACAAACAAATACTTAGTAATACGTTATCCTAGATGAACACTTACAAATTATTATTATTTTTAGGTGCTGTTTGACTTTAGTAAAAGACGGCAACCCAGCTGTTCAGGAAGAGCTAGATCTTATTGCTGCTTTGCAATTACTGAGTGCTTTTGATTTAACAATTCTTCCAATACAAGGTAAATAAATCCCATGAAATGTATTTTATTAAAATCTGATAACCATTTTTTTTTAATTCTTATTTACTCGATTTGTAGTTCGTCTTTGTGAGGACCGAATGACGCTAATCGAAGAGTGTTTGAACTCTGATCCCAACGCCTACATGGCTAGCCACAAGCTGCTGAAATTAGCTAAACTTCTGCGAATCGCTGGTGACGATGAACATACAAGGTAATACTTTTCAGGAATCTGTGGTTAAGGGTTTTGTATATAAATAATGAGTCCTTATAAACTTACAGTTTAATATTTGTCACAAACACAAAATCCAAATTAATAGTAGGAGAAGTTCACGAGTACTTAGTTCAATCCAGTAACGATAGACACAGCAAACAGTCCTGACAAAGCACAGAGGAGAAGAAAATACACATAAACAATAATGTGTAAACGCTGCGTAAGCTATGGAGCAGCGGTACTAAAAGCGTGGATTCCCCGTCCGACGTATAGATCGTGACTGGTGCGGGGAGATGCGCGTGCGTTGTCCGCGCGCACTTGCGTTCGAACAGAAGGTTTCCATCACCGGTTTTGCATTGCGCGTGTCCACTACCGCTGCCGTATCGTATCAACGCAATAAAAATTCGTTTCAACAGAATATTTTATTTCATTGATATTTGATTTGTGTTAAAATCATAAAATTATCCATGCTCATCACACATAGGAATGCCTCCTTAGGGATTCGAATTCATTACCTTTGAGCCAAAAAGCAGGGGCGCTGATGTTACACAAACCAGTCGTTAAAATATCGTTCGGTTTTATATTAACGGCACGGGTCGTCCCGCAGAGAGGCTCAGGTGCTAGTAGCAGTGGGTAGTGCAGCCGCGCGGGCGGAGGGGTGGAGCGCGGCGGCAGAGGCGGCGCGGCGACTGGCGGCGTTGCAACACGCACCCGCCGCCCCCCTGCTGGCGCACGTGGCATCGCACGCGCGCGCCCACGCCGACCCCGCCGCTCGCCGCCTGCTGCTGGCTGCCGCCGCCGCCGCGCTGCCCGCCGCGCGCCTGGAGCACGTGCTGCGTGACAGGTGAGCGCCCGCACTCGCTGCACACTGGCGGCACTGCAGCGCGCCCACGCCGACCCCGCCGCTCGCCGCCTGCTGCTGGCTGCCGCCGCCGCCGCGCTGCCCGCCGCGCGCCTGGAGCACGTGCTGCGTGACAGGTGAGCGCCCGCACTCGCTGCACACTGGCGGCACTGCAGCGCGCCCACGCCGACCCCGCCGCTCGCCGCTTGCTGTTGGCTGCCGCCGCCGCCGCGCTGCCCGCCGCGCGCCTGGAGCACGTGCTGCGTGACAGGTGAGCGCCCGCACTCGCTGCACACTGGCGGCACTGCAGCGCGCCCACGCCGACCCCGCCGCTCGCCGCCTGCTGCTGGCTGCCGCCGCCGCCGCGCTGCCCGCCGCGCGCCTGGAGCACGTGCTGCGTGACAGGTGAGCGCCCGCACTCGCTGCACACTGGCGGCACTGCAGCGCGCCCACGCCGACCCCGCCGCTCGCCGCTTGCTGTTGGCTGCCGCCGCCGCCGCGCTGCCCGCCGCGCGCCTGGAGCACGTGCTGCGTGACAGGTGAGCGCCCGCACTCGCTGCACACTGGCGGCACTGCAGCGCGCCCACGCCGACCCCGCCGCGCGCCGCCTGCTGCTGGCTGCCGCCGCCGCCGCGCTGCCCGCCGCGCGCCTGGAGCACGTGCTGCGTGACAGGTGAGCGCCCGCACTCGCTGCACACTGGCGGCACTGCAGCGCGCCCACGCCGACCCCGCCGCGCGCCGCCTGCTGCTGGCTGCCGCCGCCGCCGCGCTGCCCGCCGCGCGCCTGGAGCACGTGCTGCGTGACAGGTGAGCGCCCGCACTCGCTGCACACTGGCGGCACTGCAGCGCGCCCACGCCGACCCCGCCGCTCGCCGCTTGCTGTTGGCTGCCGCCGCCGCCGCGCTGCCCGCCGCGCGCCTGGAGCACGTGCTGCGTGACAGGTGAGCGCCCGCACTCGCTGCACACTGGCGGCACTGCAGCGCGCCCACGCCGACCCCGCCGCGCGCCGCCTGCTGCTGGCTGCCGCCGCCGCCGCGCTGCCCGCCGCGCGCCTGGAGCACGTGCTGCGTGACAGGTGAGCGCCCGCACTCGCTGCACACTGGCGGCACTGCAGCGCGCCCACGCCGACCCCGCCGCGCGCCGCCTGCTGCTGGCTGCCGCCGCCGCCGCGCTGCCCGCCGCGCGCCTGGAGCACGTGCTGCGTGACAGGTGAGCGCCCGCACTCGCTGCACACTGGCGGCACTGCAGCGCGCCCACGCCGACCCCGCCGCGCGCCGCCTGCTGCTGGCTGCCGCCGCCGCCGCGCTGCCCGCCGCGCGCCTGGAGCACGTGCTGCGTGACAGGTGAGCGCCCGCACTCGCTGCACACTGGCGGCACTGCAGCGCGCCCACGCCGACCCCGCCGCGCGCCGCTTGCCGCCTTCGGTTTCCTCAATATTGAGAGACTTACGATTTAGAGATGATTGAGGTTTGATCTGTCGCCGAATATAGAGCATCTTTAACTGTAGTATCAAAAGCATGATCTTTTTCTGTTCACTTTGTCAGTGAAGATTAACCCCTCCAGGTTGTCGTTATTTTTGGCAATGTGCCCAAAGTATTCATAGGCGGAAACCCTAGTCTGTATTTTCAGCGACATGTTGGTGCGATGTGGAAATTTTAGCATCTTTCGCCAGCACTACAGCTCGTGACCGTTATTACTTACTAATAGCTTTCTTCAGGGTCCACGTCTCCCATCTTGTACAAGAATATAGAGAACACTATTATGGAGGAGGTCGATGGCGCAAGTGGTTCAGGCTGCGATCGTTGATGTTAAGCAACTTTAGTAGTGGTCGGTTATAAGACTAAAAATTTACTATCTCGAGTTCCTCCGTACTTCGGAAGACATGTTAAGCCGTTGGTCCCACACTGGGCCCGCGTGGTGAGTCATGGCCCAATCTCCTAATACGGGCCTTAAATTAAGAAAGAAATATTTTTTTTTTTCACTTTACTTGGCGTTGATTTTTCATATAAGTATGATAACTATATTATATGTATTTTAATTTTACTTTTATATTTTTTAGGCTAGCACTAGAGCTTGAAGGCATGCAACAGACGGGAATGGCCCTGAAGGAGCACCACCGGCTAACCGACCGCTGGCCTTCCACAGATGATGAGTTTGACGATGCCATCACTACAGTAAGTTTTTTTTCAAATTTATTCAAGAATCAATATCTCATCAACTCATCTAATTATACATAATTTGTTATTATATTGAAATTAAGGTCGATCCAAGGCCATTAAGGCCTCGGTAGAATAATTGGTTAGTGAGACCGCCCGAATAGCGGAAGATGCGGGTTCGAATCCCATCTGAAACCTCGACCGAGTGGAGTTTATTCTAATAATATATTCTTTATGATTTTTAAAATGAGCAATTTACAAAATATCAATTTTATTAACAGCCTTAAAATGAGAAATTTACAAAATATAAATTTTATTTACAGCCTGTAATAGAACAAAAAGATCTCGTTGCGCCCACGCAAACGGAAAAGAAGATGCCACTGTTCAATTATTTATTAGACTCGTTACAAAACAAGTTTTCTGGGAGGTAAGATAAACAGTTTGCATGTTATAAATAAATAGATAATACTGTATGTATGTAATTTTAATTACAGTCCGGACAGGAAGGAAATGCTTTTCCTATATCAGCATTTTTATACAAATATTATAATAAAAAAAGACTTTATAGTAAAATGATGCATGCATCAAGTTTATGCTTCCTTGTGTAGATTATTTTGATATATATCGTGTCATTAAAAAGGAAATTGCAAATGACGACGTAACACATCCCGTCCGTCCCGCACATGCTATCCTCAGTAACGTGCGAGAGAGACAGAAATTCTTGCGTCGGCATTTTCGATTTCTTTCTTTCATGACACTAGTTATGAAACACATTTTAGCGGCGATGACAAAACCTCTGCAAGCGAAGAACCGGAAGAGCGTTCAGTGCACTGCCAAGAGTTCTACCGGTCGTTGTACCCTGGCCACAAGGCTTCCAGCACACATTACGGCTACGATCGTTTCACGGCGCCCGACGGTCACGGCGGCGCGCCCGCTGCCCACGCGCTGTTGAATTGGTACTACATGCAGAACTGCCTCGATGATGGCGGCGCACCGGAGATCGAGACAATGGGTTAGTGTGCTCCTCTAAGTGTTAAGCCAGTACACTAGCAATAACTAACTGTGAACTGGTACTACTTGTAGAACTACCTCGATGATGGCGGCGCGCCGGAGATCGAGACAATGGGTTAGTGTGCTCCTCTAAGTGTTAAGCCAGTACACTAGCAATAACTAATTGTGAACTGGTACTACTTGTAGAACTGCCTCGATGACGGCGGCGCGCCGGAGATCGAGACAATGGGTTAGTGTGCTCCTCTAAGTGTTAAGCCAGTACACTAGCAATAACTTACTGTGAACTGGTACTACTTCTAGAACTGCCTCGATGACGGAGGCGCGCCGGAGATCGAGACAATGGGTTAGTGTGCTCCTCTAAGTGTTAAGCCAGTACACTAGCAATAACTAACTGTGAACTGGTACTACTTGTAGAACTGCCTCGATGACGGCGGCGCGCCGGAGATCGAGACAATGGGTTAGTGTGCTCTTCGAAGTGTTCAGCCAGTAGCAATAACTAACTGTTGAACTGGTACTCTCTGTTACTTTGTTCCACAAACTTAATTTCGTAACAATTCGATAAAAAACTGTGACGCCAAATTTTTATATCTACTAGCTGACCCGGCGAACTTCGTACCGCCACATTCTTTTTGACCTATTTTTTTTACATTTTCGCAATTTTACATTGATTAATGAGGGAACATAGTAATTATAACTAAGAAATGTTAAGTGTTAGATACATATATCATAAGGCAATTTCATTTGTAATTTAATAAGTAATTCAATACACATAATATTATTTAAGTTTGAAAAATTGTGTAACACAGTGTAAAAGTCAGCTCACACCGAAGCGCGATGCCACGTGACGCAGCGTGCACATTTTTATATAGGAACTAAAAAAAAATTACCACACGAAATGATACACATTTCATTGTTTGCATTTCAGAACATGCGTGGTACAACGTATTCTGAAATCAAAGTTTCAAACAACGAAATGTGTACCTTTTTAGTTGTAAATAAAATTATGTTTTGTCGCCCTATTAAATATATATGTGCGCAGAGCGTCGCGTCGCTTCGCGTTTCGGCGTGAGCTGACGCTTATTATCGCACCATACATTGCACACACTGCACATATTTTGCTACATAAATGGTGAACTTTGAAGGTTTGTTCTCTCTCTAGTTGTACAAAAATGCGCAGAAGAGCTGTTATATAAGGACACTCCGTTGAGCGTGGCATGCATGTTGCGCTCCACGCAGGACTCCGGCAAGGCGAGGAAGACTATAGACGTGCACAACACTGATACCGCTGTCAGTGCCACGCTGTACGCCACCCTGATGAAGTGCAACGCGCCAGAACTGAGGGACAACGTCTACCTCACCGAGCCTGCTGTTGTGAGTATCACCATTAAAGTACTGTACTTGTTATTGTTTACTCCGGCAAGGCGGGGAACACTAGACGTGCACAATACTGATACCCCTGTCAGTGCCACGCTATACGCCACCCTGATGAAGTGCAACGCGCCAGAACTGAGGGACAATGTCTACCTCACCGAGCCTGCTATTGTGAGTGTCACCATTATAGTACTATACTCAGTAATGCTTATTCCGGCAAGGTGAGAAGGACTTTATACGTGCACAATACTGATACCGCTGTCAGTGCCACGCTGTACGCGATACTGATGTAGTGCTACATCGGCAGAACTGAGGGACAACGTCTACCTCACCGAGCCTGCTGTTGTGAGTATCACCATTAAAGTACTATACTCAGTAATGTTTTCTCCGGCAAGGCGAGAAACACTATAGACGTGCACAATACTGATACCGCTGTCAGTGCCACGCTGTACGCCACCCCGATGAAGTGCAACGCGCCAGAACTGAGGGACAACGTCTACCTCACCGAGCCTGCTGTTGTGAGTATCACCATTAAAGTACTATACTCAGTAATGTTTTCTCCGGCAAGGCGAGAAACACTATAGACGTGCACAATACTGATACCGCTGTCAGTGCCACGCTGTACGCCACCCTGATGAAGTGCAACGCGCCAGAACCGAGGGACAACGTCTACCTCACCGAGCCTGCTATTGTGAGTGTCACCATTATAGTACTATACGCAGTAATGCTTACTCCGGCAAGGCGAGGAAGACTATAGACGTGCACAACACTGATACCGCTGTCAGTGCCACGCTGTACGCCACCCTGATGGAAGTGCAACGCGCCAGAACTGAGGGACAACGTCTACCTCACCGAGCCTGCTGTTGTGAGTATCACCAATAAAGTACTATACTCATTCATTAATGTTTAAAGCAGTTGTGGGAGTAATGACTGTTCGTATCTCCTGCTAACTTGATAGGGCTGTTTTCCATACGGAATAATTAAAACTTAGAATCGCTATTCTCCATACGGAATAATTAAAACTCAGAATCACGGGAACTCTTGTATTCACGTATATCAGTGCACGACAGAAGAAGAACGATAATAGCCATATACCAACTAAAATTATCTCAGTTATTTTGTTGCTATAGAGACTATTATAATATTTTCAATAGCAGTGCAACATGACCAGAACTGAAACACAACGTGTTTTTATTCAATTGACTGTCACAAGTTTCTTGTTACAATCGCATTTATAAATAAGTACTTATTTGTTACTAAGTAAACAAGTCATTACAGGAAATTAGAATTCTTCAATAAAACAAATGCTTACTTAGCAACGGAAATAGTGACTATTACTCGGTTATTAAGAATTCTCGTTTTTGGTGGTTCTTAGTGTAATCAATTTCTTATGTATGAAATGAAAAAATGTTTCTCAAGTAAAGACTTTTACTTATTTATACATATATACGATGGTTAGACTTCCACACTCAATATTATAGTTGACAGACTTATATGTATACTTGCAATACAAATAAATCTCTTAGTGCCGCAAAATAAATGCACGGTCAACAGATTGCAACTAGCGGCGAGTCTTTATTTGAAATTGATAATATAATAATAACTTATAATAATAATAATAATAACTTTATTTATTTTTCTCCAACAATCTACATGTTACATCTTGTAATTAAAAACAATATTAGGATATTTCATAAGATTGCGAGAGATTGGTACCTGAACTAAGCGAAAGCTTGTATCTCAGTGCACCAGTACCCTCCTCTTTGTAAGGTGACCATTTTATCTTATCTTAACAAAGTAAGTTTCTACATATAAAAATACCTATAGGAGAACATATAATATACCACATATATCCAAACAATGACTTCATTTACAATGATCGGTACTAGAGCCAATACAAATTTGTATTAAGTTAATTACAAAGCACATTTTTATGGAAGAAGCAAAGAGTTATACGTTGTCACAGTTAATATAATGGATTTTCAAAACCACTACTAGAAAAGAACACTACGCAAAAACACGATTTAAACCTAAGTCACATACCATCATACAATTAATTTATATGCACTTGCCCGCAGATTGTTACTTTACAGCTTCAAAATCAGACAGGTGTATTTACTTGATGAAGTGATAAAATAGAACTAACAACGATCGTAGGATATTTTATAGTGTGTGTAATATTGTGTTTTCTACCCAGACATTTACAAACCTCCAGAAACGCTCCGAATAATTTAAGTATTACTTCATAAGTTTGTTGTTAACAGTTTCAGTAGTAGTTTTTCGGTATCATCATAGTTAATTTTTTGCAAGAAGGATGTTACTGAGAGTTTACAATGATATCTATCAAGAGCGAAAATATTGAGTTTCTTTTGAAGTCTATTATACAGAAAAGGCCCTAAGAAACAGAAAAATCGACGGGGATAATATGTTTTAAATGACAACGAGCGTACAATTAGATGATTACGACGGGACTGAGTGGTAGGGGAGAGATAATCAATAGCACGATGCTGCTTAAGAATGGTGTACAAGATAAAAAGCTGGCGTACTGACAATAGCTCACAATATTGAAAGAGAACATGGGTAGGAAAACGGTAGGGAAGGAATGTGCATACCTTAAGGAGGGCTCTTTGAGCTCTTTCCAGTCTAATCATATTGGTTTTCGCAGAACCGTCCCAAGAGGTGATACAATATATCAGGAGAGACTGGCAGATAGAAATATACACCCTCCTAATTATGCATGGATGAGCAACAACGCGAAGTTTTTTAAATACGTACATTAATTTCCGGATTCTACCCGCTGTAAGATTAATATGAGCCTGGAATGAAAGTCTGTCATCGATAAGCACACCCAGATATTTAACTGTCTCAGATTTATTTAGGTTTGGACATCTACAGGCCAATTTATCCATACTTCCATGATTTGAACAGGAATGAGCAACAATTGAGAAGTTACTTCTGGGTTTAATGGTTGGTTTTTTGATTGAAAAAGGCATATATTGAGTTTTTTGGACATTAAGGGTAAGTCGGTTTGATTGTAGCCAGCAGGAAACAAGATCGAATCCAACTTGAGCTACTTGATAGGTTTCCTCCCAGTTATCAGCTGAAAATATAAGGGCAGTATCGTCTGCAAAGGAGACGATCTTACAGTTTGGGATGTTGAGAGAACAGAGCTCATCGATATAAACTAAAAACAGGGAGGGGCCTAGGATGCTACCCTGAGGGACACCATATTCTATGTGGAGGTCGGAACTAGTTGTACCATCTATTTTCACCATCTGTCTTCGATCCGTAAGGTAGCTTTCGAAAAGTTTAAGTTGATTCCCTCTAACTCCCAAGAATTCTAGTTTTCTCAATAAGAGGGGAATGGAAACCGTATCGAATGCCTTAGCAAGATCGAGTAGGATAGCTAAGCATTTCTGTCCCCGGTCAAGGCTTTCAATTACAGTGTTTGTAAAATATTGATTGTGTTTAAGATTCTTAAGAAAGTTAGGGCCTGCAGTGCTCCCACTTTACGCAGCGCACGCCCTGTTTTTTAGTTTTTAAGATAATGTTGGATTTTCAAGCACTCATTTAGTGATTGTTTCGTTTTTGTCACCACTAGATGGCCAGGACGACGCTGCAGCAGAAGAACGCATCCCAAGAGCAACTGGAGCTGATACGCGAGTGTATGGAGCGGCTCACGGGCATGGGGGAAGTGGACAAACTGCGGCGGCTCGGCGTCGCCGTCAACGGGCTGTTGTTTAACGCCGACCCCGACTACCGCGCCGAGATCATATACCGCGTCGCCAGGTCACCGACCACTATCTATACCATTTACGAAAATGATGCTAATCGAAAATCACACGGTTCTAAGAGGGGACACAGGGGACATGCCCCCCTGGGTGCGGAAACGCGCAAGAATCGGGGAATCTAAACGGGGATCCCGCGGCTTCGCAGTAAGCAGCTTAGAGGGTATTCGCTGGGTTTTTTAGCGGATAGTACGCCGTTAAGCGTGCTCGTAAATGGCGCGGGTTACTTTGGGGATAGCCCCATCGTGCCCGTGACGTTTGCGGGTGCAGGGTGTGAGGTCCGTTCGGCGGTGTGCCTCTTAAAAGCACCGTCGTCTGTACGATCTTTTGCACTGATAAGCAATGCAAAAGATCGGAGGGTGCAAATCGTAAGTTTGGTGACACCCGGCAAATTTTCAAACTGCGACCGCGCCTGGGTATATCGTTAATTGATTTACAAGTAAATAATAATATTAATGATGTATAGGTCGCCGGATCCAGAGCACGTATCAATGGCTTGCGCGCTGGGCGATAAGTACGGGCTGCCAGCGCTGGACGTGTGGCTGCAGCACTGGGCCGCACACGCGCCGCCCACGCTGCCCCCGCCCCCGCCCCAGGCCGCGCTGCGGGACCCGCGCGCCTATACCCGGTAACGTGCCGCCCGCGTTTATAACCTAAACCAAATAAATAAAGTTATAAAGTCCTAAACAAATACGAGTACTTTTGGAGTCCGATATTCTTAGAAACAAAAATCTCCTTATCCACGCAAAACACAAACAAAAGACGAGTAATAGATTTGACATAAATATTTCAAGTAAGTAGTGATACATTACAGCTATTAAATAAGCATTTCTTTACTACAGCATCAAAGAAACCCTGTGGCCTCTAATTCAAGGCAACGATCATAACGCGTTGATCTACTTCTTCACAACGCTGCGCAGCGTGGATGATAAAGTGCAAGTCTTCGGCCTCACACCCACAGAACACATTAAGACGCTTAAAAAAGTAAAGGCAGCTTCTTCGGGTATGTGTTGCAAATACTTTAATGGTTGATGTTATTAAAATGGCTGATTTTCAAAGAAAACTCCCATTTACTGATGTATTATAAGCTAAAAAATGTGTTGCAGCGTTGGACTATAAGCTGCTGGTGAGTCAGCCAACTGCGGAGGACTATCGCGCCCACCTGGTTGACATACTGCGGCCCGAGAACGTGGCGCTGGTGAGCAAGCTGCTGCGAGCACTGCCCGCGCCGCTGCGGCCGCCGCTGCCCCTCGGAGCGGTGTACGCCGCCTGGCTCACGCATTGCTTCTACAGCGTGAGTACCAATACCCATATACCGGTAAGCGTAGCCAGGAGTATCGCGCCCACCTCGTCGACATACTGCGGCCCAAGAACGTGGCGCTGGTTAGCAAACTGCTGCGAGCACTGCCCGCGTCGCTGCCCCTCGGGGCGGTGTACGCCGCCTGGCTCACGCATTGCTTCTACAGCGTGAGTACCAATACCCGTATACCCGTGGGCGTTGCCAGGAGTACCGCGCCCACCTCGTAGACATACTGCGGCCCGAGAACGTGGCGCTGGTGAGCAAGCTGCTGCGAGCGCTGCCCGCGCCGCTGCCCCTCGGGGCGGTGTACGCCACCTGGCTCGCGCACTGCTTTACAGCGTGAGTACCAATATTCGTGGGCGTAGCCAGGAAGGACGGGGAGGGGAGAAAGCGTGGGCGATAGGTATAACTAAAATCATCCAAAACTTAAACAAACTAATGGGCCTGATCGTTTCTTCTCTTTCACACTTAATTTTGTTTTACTTTATAGTTGAACACTGAACACTCTGTCGATTATCTATGTCCATAGTCCATGTCTATAATTGGTAAATTTAAATCAGATCTTATTATCCGAGCTAAGGCGCCACCTCCACGAGCGAGGAAAATGCGACGAATCCGCGATTCCGTAATGTGTCTGCTGCGATTCGTTATTAAAATAGCCTGTGTCACCCATAGACACAAAGAGTCAATGCAAAGACCTCAAGACCATTGATGCAGTAGTCTTGATTTCATTCGCCTTAATATTTTAAATGTAATTCTGTGATTTGGTTAAAAATACTACTTAGGTACAGTATCCTCAGATTTATTGATGTTATTACAGGTTCCACCTAGTTCCGCAACCAACAAGAAGTGGATGCAGCAGTACCGGCAGTGCTCCAGCTACTTCAACAAGTTATCAAAAGACGACCTTACGGAGTTCGTCCTCAACACTTGCTTCTCAAAGCAAGCTATTGAAAGGTAATATAATACTTGCTACACGATCCGGGTTGTTGGAAAAAATGGGTTAGCACCACAGACCTGGGTTGAAGTAGACGCCGCATGTGCTTCAAATTGTTTGAAACCGAGCGTGTCATGTTTTGAGTACTCACGAAAAATTTATTAAGCGGTAAAAAAGTAGAGCCCCCATCCGCCATACTGTCCAAAAAGGAACTCCGTTCTAAACTTACTAAGGGCGTCACATTTGCGGAAGCACTTGTAGTATATTCTTTCACTATGACAAAAAATATTAATTTTATTGTTATATACGCAGAGTACCAGCAGGCACTCGGAGTTTGATGATAATGCAGGCGGTAGATTACTGCCAACAAGAACAAGAGAACGATTACAAATTCAACAAGAAGTAAGTTCCACTTTTCTTAACTTGGACCCCACTACAGTATACGGTAAACATTACTTTGTGCTAACTTATCTTTTGTGTTGATATTTAGCGAACAAACTTGGGCCCAACTTGGCAACGAACTAACGCGATGGGCACGTTTTCTAGACAACTTTCACTCGAGTACAATACAAGGCATTGTAGAAAACTGCGCATTGTCCGATCCTACAATATGGCAGTAAGTATTTAAGCAAACAAAGTAGAAGAAAAATGTGTGTTAAACACACATATTATTACGAATACGTATTTCAAATAGTATTAATATTAAATAAAACTAGTTTTTACGGGTTAATGCACGAAACTTTATTTATTTATTTACGTTTCGTAGCCTTTACAGGCTACGTCGTCAGAATCAAACTTTTATTTAATTTGTCGAGCTACCTTATTACATTAGCATTAACCCGTAAAAACTAGTTTTATCTAATGAGTGATGTGCGTGAAAACCTAAGAAACAAATAGTATTAATATTTTGCCGATCCTGGATTCGTATTCCGACGAAAGGATTTTTTTTTCAGCAAGATAATTAATAGTTCACTTTTGTTTCATAGGCTTTCACGCACACCACTCATTAAATAAAACAAGTTTCAACGGTATCGATTCACTGATTTATTTGTTTATAACTTTGCGAATCCTTTTCAGGCTGCATCGTAAGCGAAAGTTAGTCATGAACAAATAAATCAGTGCATCTATACTGTTGAAACTTGTTTTATTTAACAGTACATTATTCACCGAGAGGAGAAAGTGACCGATTACCAACGAGGGTGTAGTTTAAGGCCTGAGACGTAGCAAAGGGCCTTTATACACCCAAATTATAAATAGGAATAGCACATTCTTTCAAGGAATACCATGGAGCACCCCCACTAGAGTCCGCATACAAGGGCAAGCGCTTACGCCAAGCTTAAGTAGTATATTACGTATGCGTGAGACACGCCCACAGACGTCGCTATACATCGTTTCATTCCGAAGCCGAGCGTTAGCAGAAGTGCTTCTCTCGTTTTTGCGTTAAAAAACTAGAAAAAATGCCGTACTGTGCAATTAAATTATGTGGAAAGTGGAGTAAAACTTCCAGTCTTCAAAAAGATGGTATTACTTTTCACCGGTAAGTTTAAATGCATTACAAAAAGACAAAAATACTCTTATATGAAATTGCTTTTAATTGTATTTATTTTTTGGTGAACGCGTTGATGTCTTTTAACACTATCCCTTTCTCGCATGCGCTACATCATATATGCTATTCCGCTCTCACACCGGCACGTGTATTGCTAGTGACTTGACGCAGCTCATGTCTGTACCCGTAAGTTTATCGATAAGTTTGTCAGCTACGGAAATAGAAAAAATAAATAAAAACTATTTATTTCGTCGTATACAATAACAGATATCATGAGTATACAACCAACAGTTTTTAATCATATCGTACTAAAATTTTAAACCCGAAAATTTGTATGGATGTTTGTTACTATTACACGATTAAACCGATTTGTATGAAATTAAGTGCGCATACTTTATGACCTAGATAAAGACATGGAATTAACGATATTAAATACCCTAGATAGACCACGAGCGCTCAAAATGTGTCCCAATCAAGAAGTGCTTAAACTTTATTCAAACACTTCTTGGTTTACAGTCACGCGCGGACCGATGAAAAGTCAAAATGCCGCAGAGCTCCGTAAAAATGCGAAAAAAATACTAATAGTACGTAAAGTGTTGTTTTTTCGATAGGTATCTAATTAATGTTTTTATAATTTGGTACATAGTCATCTTTATGTAATACAATAAGTTATTTATATAATTTGAGCCAAATAAACGTTTTTATTATTATTATAAATTTAACGCATTTGAAGCAAATTTTATTGTAATACTTACTATAAACTGATTTAATATAACATATTTGTGATACTCAAAAGCATGGTCGGTTATACGTCGCCCTATAGCCGTCTTTTTTCTTCGCGGTCTGTACCTGCTATAATAGCTAACAGCACATTCAGAATTGAGCGCGAAAAGTTAAAAAAAATAAGGTTCCATTTTCTTTCGCATATAACAATAAGTCGTAAAATTTTAGGAACTTGCATTTTGAACTGCCATAAATCTTTGATGCATGCGTTTTAATTAAGAGTTTATGCCGTATGCATTAAAGGTGACTTTTTTTTAAATAATGCATTACATTGTTTTTGACCACGCGATCATCTTACGGACCTCTGTGAATCGTCAAATATACCTTTTGGTCACGTTTCGGCCACGATTTTGTACATGTTGTCGTATCTAGGGTATAAAATATCAGGTTTCTTTAGGATTTTCAAAAAACTAAAGTTAACGTGGATGAAGTCGCGGGTGGTAGCTAGCATAAAATTTGATAAGTATTTACCAAGTTCCTTCAAAATCAATAATTTGGTTATAATTAGGTTATTTTGCGTGTGCTAAGTCAAGAGCCACGGACGTCACAGTATTAATATTAAATTCATTAAGTCTTAATATCGCATGTGCCTTTCACGAGAACAGCAACGAGCAAAATCTTTAAAGAGATATTTAAGGTGATATCTTACAGACTGATGCGAGAATCAAAATACAGTAACATTACGTGTTTTATTTATTTCATAGGTTTCCAAAATGTGCCAAGATGAAGGAACTTTGGATAAGTGCAACTAAACGTAAAGATTGGACTCCAACTGTAAACAGTTACATATGTTCTCGTCACTTTACTGACACTGACAGTCACTCCCGCAAACAAAACGAACCTGTACCGAGCCGATGAGTAAGGCGCCTTAAGTTTTGAAAGTTGTCATAAACAGCATATTATTGTCTATCTAGATATTTTTTTACGTGTTTTTTGTGTTGCTTATATTTTATTTAGTATGTAGTTACTAGTCGCGTCATGTAATTAGAACGCTGGAAAAAAGTGGAGAGAGTATGTTTGCGCATAGCTACACTAGCGCACCAAAGTACTAGGCCTCTGTACAATGGACATCCGGCACTTTTCATAGAAAAAATGCTAAAGTTGTATACAGTTGAATTTGGTCTCAAAATGAAGCCAAAATTATTTGCTACATAAAACTAATTTTGCCTTATTTTTAGTGAATCGTGGAAAGAAGTTATATAATGATTAATATTTTTTGATATGGAAACCCTAAATCTTCAAGGGACAGAATTTTACTTGAAAATATTACTCAAGTGACTGTAAAAACCATGATTCCTTTGCTTTTTCTAAATAAAAAACCAAATGTCAATGTGACAATCCTAAAATACAAACAAAAAAATCATTCGCTCCCGCGTACTGTGATTGTGAATGTTCTCTGCTGTGATTGCCTTTTTATCCGTTATTTCTCTTGACGACCCGGCTACATATAGAGGTTATATTGACAAACCTACGTATTTGACATTGACAGCTAGCTGCTGATGACAAATATTGTCAGACTACGTTACCCAATTATGAAACACAGATAAAAAAATTAAAAAAGTATACAACTTTGGCTCATAATGCCGGGTGTCCTTTATTTATCGATAGAAAATATCGATATTTTCTAAAATCGATCTTACCCTCATCACTTCGCTGCACTGAGTATATCATCTGACCTTGACGTGTCCAATCACAAGGCGGCTGATCTCCCTGCACGCCGCCGACTTTGGCGATTGTGATTTCAAACAAAATTTGCGTGATGCGGACTCTAGTGGGGGTACTCCGTGAGGAATACATACTGCTTTATACTATTCATGCAGGGGAATAAGTTACTAAACTTTTGCATGGGAGTTTTATTTTCGATTCTTGATTTCACAAGTAAAGGTTCTCAATCACTGCTTAGGTAGTGTCTTTTAATTCTGGATGGCGGTGTCAATAAATCTTCATTATTAGTAATATACGCGTTCGCGAGTAGATAGGACAACAAATTAAAATCACAGTTAAAATAAAAAAAATAGCGCGCCACCATTGACCACTGACCCCTTTTCTGAACATAAAAAAAATATATTAAAAATAATGGAAAGTTAACAATGAATTTCTGTAGACTTTTCTGCTCGCTCAGTGGGCTAAAAATGGATTTCCATACACTTTTCCAGCCCGCTTAGTATCACAGTAATGAGGTTCTTTTTGCTTCAACTTTAAAACAAGCATAAATCACTTTCCGAGCAGGTGTAGTATAAAATTTGTTTTAGTCTTTTTTAAGGTACCGTTCTTGAAAAGGCAAAACGGTACCTTTATAGTATCACTTTTTTGTTCGTCTTTCTTTCAAGACCCTTTATCTCGGTCCCTTAAAGCTGTAAAAGATCGAATTTCTAAGTTAACACGAAAAAGATGATGTACCTATAAATTTGTACGCAACACTGGGTGAGCAAGTCTGGTTTGCACTTGTCCGGTACTTATTTTTACACATTCACTTACAAAATAAAGAGATAGGTGAAAAGACAATCCTTAAACAGGCCATTAGCAGAATATTGGTACTAGCACTTTTCCATAAATTTAGTATAGTGATCTAAATTATCTAATTATACGTTGATGTCATATGAAGCGAAATGGAAATGAGTCACGGTGACACCGAGCGCGTGGTAAGCAGCGCGGCGAAACTGGTGATGACACACGAGCTGCGGCCGGCGGCGCTCGGCACGCTGCTGCAGTGTCTGCACGCCGACGCAGACCACGCGCGCGTGCTGCAACACGCCGCCGCGCACCTCGCGCACTCGCTGCAGTACGTACACGATACGATAACAGGTGATGACACACGCGCTGCGGCCGGCGGCGCTCGGCACGGTGATGCAGTGTCTGCACGCCGACACAGACCACGCGCGCGCGCTGCAACACGCCGCCGCGCACCTCGCACACTCGCTGCAGTACGTACACGCACACGATACTATAACAGGTGATGACACACGCGCTGCGGCCGGCGGCGCTCGGCACGCTGCTGCAGTGTCTGCACGCCGACGCAGACCACGCGCGCGTGCTGCAACACGCCGCCGCGCACCTCGCGCACTCGCTGCAGTACGTACACGATACGATAACAGGTGATGACACACGCGCTGCGGCCGGCGGCGCTCGGCACGGTGATGCAGTGTCTGCACGCCGACACAGACCACGCGCGCGCGCTGCAACACGCCGCCGCGCACCTCGCACACTCGCTGCAGTACGTACACGCACACGATACTATAACAGGTGATGACACACGCGCTGCGGCCGGCGGCGCTCGGCACGCTGCTGCAGTGTCTGCACGCCGACGCAGACCACGCGCGCGTGCTGCAACACGCCGCCGCGCACCTCGCGCACTCGCTGCAGTACGTACACGATACGATAACAGGTGATGACACACGCGCTGCGGCCGGCGGCGCTCGGCACGGTGATGCAGTGTCTGCACGCCGACACAGACCACGCGCGCGCGCTGCAACACGCCGCCGCGCACCTCGCACACTCGCTGCAGTACGTACACGCACACGATACTATAACAGGTGATGACACACGCGCTGCGGCCGGCGGCGCTCGGCACGCTGCTGCAGTGTCTGCACGCCGACGCAGACCACGCGCGCGTGCTGCAACACGCCGCCGCGCACCTCGCGCACTCGCTGCAGTACGTACACGATACGATAACAGGTGATGACACACGCGCTGCGGCCGGCGGCGCTCGGCACGCTGCTGCAGTGTCTGCACGCCGACGCAGACCACGCGCGCGTGCTGCAACACGCCGCCGCGCACCTCGCGCACTCGCTGCAGTACGTACACGATACGATAACAGGTGATGACACACGCGCTGCGGCCGGCGGCGCTCGGCACGGTGCTGCAGTGTCTGCACGCCGACACAGACCACGCGCGCGCGCTGCAACACGCCGCCGCGCACCTCGCACACTCGCTGCAGTACGTACACGCACACGATACTATAACAGGTGATGACACACGCGCTGCGGCCGGCGGCGCTCGGCACGCTGCTGCAGTGTCTGCACGCCGACGCAGACCACGCGCGCGTGCTGCAACACGCCGCCGCGCACCTCGCGCACTCGCTGCAGTACGTACACGATACGATAACAGGTGATGACACACGCGCTGCGGCCGGCGGCGCTCGGCACGGTGCTGCAGTGTCTGCACGCCGACACAGACCACGCGCGCGCGCTGCAACACGCCGCCGCGCACCTCGCACACTCGCTGCAGTACGTACACGCACACGATACTATAACAGGTGATGACACACGCGCTGCGGCCGGTGGCGCTCGGCACGCTGCTGCAGTGTCTGCACGCCGACGCAGACCACGCGCGCGTGCTCGCGCACTCGCTGCAGTACGTACACGCACAAGATACAGTCCACTGTAACACTACAGCATATCGCACCTCCGGTGCGACACTGTCACTTATGCAAAAAAAACATTTTTCAGGAGAAGCGTTTAAAACTGACATCCCAAAACATACAATATTTTTTTTTTTTTTCTTAAGATGAAAAGCTAAGCTGTATAAGCTTTTCATCACGTAAAAATCTTTAAATATTGTATGTTTCGGGATATTAAAGTTTTAAACGCTCATCCTGAAAAAAAATGTTTTTGCATAAGTGACAGTGTCGCACCGGAGGTGCGATATATTGCAAAAGATTTGTGAAATTGTTAGTAAATAAAATTCGTGCATTTACACATTACAAAAGAAACTATTTTTATAAATATACAATGGTATCGATTCTGGCATGATTTGCTAAACATAAACTTAAATTAATTGACGACAATGCATCCTTGTTCTTCTCTATACTGAATGAAAAGGGAGAATCATCTGATGTAGAGAATCATTCCAGAATAGGCACCAATAGACACTCAAAAATGGAATTTATGTTTTCTTAGGGATGTGCAGACGCTGACAAACCGTGTGCTGTCGTATCACAAGGAGGGCGTGAAGCTGCCCCCGGAACTGATAGAGCAGGTGGTGGAGATGGGCGCGGCGCTGGGGCTGGCGCCGGCGCGGCAGGTGGCGCTGCTGGGGCTGCGCGGGCAGGGCGCGCCGCACGCCCACCACGCGCACCACGCGCTGCAGCTGCTGCGCGCCGAGTGGCCGCGCGCGCACGACCAGCTGACCGGTGAGTGTACAGCGGGTGGGGCCAAATTTCGATTCCGGATAGGATGAACATATGTTTGTGTGATGAACACGTCTCGTGAATTTTCCTAACTATCAATCTAAGTACCAGTATTTAATTATTTATTGTAGGAAAACCAATAGCTATAAAAATATAAAAACAAAATTAATAAGATACAATAAGCCAATTATGGGTTTTCAAAGATAGAAAAATAATACTAAAAAGACACAAACGGTGAAACACTATGACACCCACAAACACATTACTACATAGAGCTTCATTTATTAAAAATTTGACTACAAAAATATCGCAAGCACACACACCAATAATTATTTAGAGAAAAACTTGTTGCCTAACAATCGCTTTGCCGTCGCCTCACTAATGTCCAAAAGATCAATATCCAAGTCTGCCTGTTTTATAAGATTATTGAAATTACTACTCGCGCGCCAAAGAAATGAACTTTGCCGAAAGTTTGATGAAGCCGGAGACAAATATATGAGCGGGTTGCACCTGATGGGTCTACTGGGAGTTCTAAGACATATTTTGGATACGAGCTCAGGACAGTCCAGAAGTAATTTTTAAAAGGTACACTTGATCTGCAATTTCGCTTCGTTTTTCCAGTGGTAGCAGATGATGTTTTCTATATTAATCGAGATAGCGTGTTGAATTGTAGCGATCCTTAGTCCTAAAGCACAGGTATCAATCGATCTTGGACTGCCTCAATTCGCGGCGTGTATGTGTTGTATCTCGGGTTCCATACTTGGGACGCATATTCCAGGTATTGACTGTATTACAGACTATGCTTAGTTTGAGGCTCATGTCATTTTTCGATGTCTGGTTAAATGGTCTACATCTAGGTATAAATTATACTGGGCGATCAAGTTAGCGAATTGAGTCAACGTTACATATAGGTAATTATTGTTTATTTTTAGTTTTTACCATTTTGTACTTGTTTATGCGCCCTAAATTGAAAAATTTCGTCGGGAACCCGACATATGCCATCGACCCGCTAATCTAAAACTTGGCTTGGGGAACCAGTTTGATTAGTACGAGTAAATATTTCGACATAGGCTTCCGTTTCCGCTACTTCTTATTTTTCGTTAACTTCGTTCTTTACTTCACATAATATTATATCTTTGCAGAAGAAGACCTAATGAGTGACGAAGGTCGTAGTGCCGCTTTCAATGAGAGTCTCGCGGAAGCGGATTCGTGGCAGCGGAGGAAAGTGTTGGTAGATCTTTTAAACTGCTGGCCAAGAACACTAAACAGGTAAAACACATACCGTTTCAAATTTTGTTCTTAGGGACTGTGGCGGCGACATGCGCCACATATAACCAACGGATGGAGGAAATAATCACTCGCCTCCTCAAGAGATGGCGCTACCGACGCTGCGCTCAATAAGTATGGAAGCCTGCATCATGATAAATTCAGAGGCAAATACCTATTATATACAATGCCCGACAACATCAGTACCATCACCCAGCACGAAGGAAGATCTTCCCCTTTGGCCTTCCTACAGAAACATCATCATCATTAGCAGCTAGAAGGCCCCACTAGTTCGATTTATATCGCCAGTCCATCTGGTGAAGACGCGATTAAAGCACCTAGAGACCAGTGGCGAAGCCTCCTTAGAACACAATTTCCACCGGCTTCCCTTGGCAGATTCTAATACATTCTAGCACAAGCAACCATTGACGTATAAAAACGTAGTTGCAAACGACATTATTACATTGTGCGCTTTGTAAAAATAGTCTTCGATATGCTGGATATTTGAAATCGCGCAAACGCACACAGATCCGCGCCGCGGTAGTAGGCTGCATAAGCCGCTGATATCATTATGAATTCAAATAAATAAAATGTAAGCACTTCTCGCACATATACAAATTAGTGCCACATGCAACCACTCGTCGATATAACAGCGATATAACCCAATCTTCGATAGCCTGCTATCTTTATTTGTCATCTCTGATCATCTGTCATCTTTGATCTCGCCAAGCGGCGCGGCGGGGGTTTTTATCTTTCGTCTACGAATTCCCTGACTTCCATTTTGATCACATAGAGAAACACTGAGCTCTCATCGTCGCTGGCTGTGTTACTCTTATTAGCTCATAGTCAACAAATCCGTATGTCATTACTGGCAACACGCACTTAAATATTTTAGACGAGAAGACATCGTGAAGTTTCCCAAAGGCTTACTCAACTTACTTACCCAACTGGACTATTTGTCAGATATAATAAAGATGTATTGGTGGACAATTTAGAAACGTTTAAACGGTTAGCAGAGTTTCGCAACGTTTACCCTGTCGTATCTCCACCTGGTATATAAACGTTGCAATCAGTGATATCATTGCAGTCTTCTAACGCAGCGGTAGCCGGTAACAAACTTCGGTGAGATCATAGACTTGTGAAGACTGACAGAGTGAGGAAAAGATATATCATGCCCTTACGACAATCCTACAATGTTGAGACGCAACATAATGTACCTTTGTTCCAATAAAGTAGGAGCCAACATCGTCCTGTCAAACCGTAATGTGATAAAGTTTATAATGGAATTCTTCAGTTTGTATTATGGTATCCTGTGTTTAAGCATATCTTGAGAAAACCACACTATCACGCAAAATAAAACACCGATACGCACATATGCACAATTCAGTGGGATAGTTATCTTAGTTTGATCTTGTAAACAGACTGCCATGGTGGGATTTTCACATTTTTTTTACAAGCACTTCAACACTTGAATGTACAATGCCGGCTTTTCAGTTGGCTGTTCGTATTTGCTTTTTGTAAACTTGACAACAGTGTCCTTATATGCTTTTTATGGAATGAAGAGGACAGACTGATGTCAACTTTACAAATAGCAAAAACGAATAGCCAAGTGAAGTGCTAACTTGAAAAGATCTCAACATGAATCGAATACTTTATCGTAGTTTACAAACGAGGGTAGCAGTTATAAAATATCTTCACAATGGAAAGCAGACATAGACAATATACCTGCCTACCACTTAGCCTTCCACCTAGTATGTATGAGTTTCCCACAGGTAAAAACCCACCTTAATTACCAGCTCTTCTATTAATTGTGTCATATAGAATTGGCACATTTTGAAATAGCAGCAATGAAAATATTGAAATGGTTTCTCCAACTGAATTATGTGCCAACGTATTTGGTGAAAAGATAAAGAGATTTAACATGATCTTTTGTTGGCAGCGAGGGGCGGAGTCTTCACAGCGTGTATTTACATTGGCTACTGACCAGCAACTGTGACGCTGCAGAGAGCCTTGTATTATGCAAACTGCTACTGCGACACCCAGTATTAAACCAGGAGGTAACAAAACAAATATATATATTCCTAAATATGTATCATCATCGCTTATTAATACCTGTTCCCGACAACCGTTCCCCTTGTAAAGCCTCTTTCAATTCTCTTTAAAAGGTCACTAGTAAAAAAATCTTTTTGCAATAAGTACATGGAGTGACCTTGTAGCACTTATCGCTATCACCAACCAACCCAGGGGTTTTGCATGAGATTAAAGATTAAATATTTATACTCAGGGCGCCGAAATACTGATATTTGTGGGAGTGAAATAAAAAATCTATAACCGCAGTGAACAAGATCTAAATATATTGTCAATATTCAGAAGATATTTCAATATACATTGACACTCTTAATACTATTTATAGAGATCTTTATATATATATATAGCTTTTACAAACTCAAGGATTAAGATTAAGTGATGTACATACACACATCAAAAGTGTCTAGGGATCAAGCATTTTTATGCGGATTTCTTGAGATTGAGATGTGGCTTTGTAATAAATTTATGATTTTATAAATTTATATGGATCCTTTTTGGTGCATTTCATAATTTGAATCAGGAACTGTGAATCAAATTCGAGTAAAAGATGAAAATCAGCTGTCAATATTTTCCCTATAAAAACATACAACGCATTGAAGACATTATTAGTGCTACTGTTTCCCTACTACTGATTAAAACCAACGTTATTATGGAGCGGCGCCGTCATTTAAGCAGGGAAGAAATGCTCAGAGCCGTGGGAATGATAGAAGCTGGTTCCCGGCAACGTACTGTGGCTTTAGCTCTGAATACAAGTCAGAGTGTTATCAGTCGACTTTGGACACGATACCGAAGCACTGGTACCGTGGCTGAGCGCCATGGAGGACGGTATCGCTGCACCACACGGAGACAAGACCGATACATTCAAATCTTAACTCGAAGAGCTCCAACAATAACCGCCATGATGTTAGCCGTGAGGCTTCATCACTCTTCAGGGAACTTAATTAGCGACCAAACAGTCAGAAACCGCTTGCATGAAGTGAACCTTCATTCCCGAAGACCGCTACGGGTACCACCTATAGCAATGCACAATCGTAGGATTCGATATCAATGGGCTCTTGAACACAGAAATTGGGCAGAAGAACAATGGCGTTTCGTGTGCTTTTCTGATGAGTCTCGTTTTGGTATGAGACCGGATACAAGACGTATACGACACTGGAGAACCCCTGGACGCCAACAGCGATTAAAATCCTGCCAGGAAGTCCATCCTTATAGTGGTGGAACCATCATGGTATGGGCGGGTATTTGGATCGGCGGAAGAACTGAGTTGATTTGGATCAGAGGCAACCTCAACGCTCAAATTTATGCTGAGACGATTGTATCAGACGTCATCGTTCCTCTACAAGTGCAAATCGGTCCCTTATTTCAGTTAATGCATGATAATGCACGACCGCACACCGCAAGAGTTGTAAGACAGACTCTCGCCGCAGCTAACATCAATGTCCTGCCCTGGCCTGCTCAGTCGCCAGACTTGAACCCGATTGAGCATGCATGGGATATGCTACAGAGAAGAGCTCTGCCGAATATGGAGGGTATCCAGTCGCAAGAAGACCTTTTTTTGTTGTTGCAACGAACATGGGCGGCCATTCCACAGCGTGATTTGGATGAACTCATTTTGAGTATGCCAAACCGATGTTCTTGTGTTGTTAGTGTTCGCGGTAGAAATACGGATTATTAATTGTTTAAGTTACCCAATAAAATTTTAGAGAAAACTGTTATTTCAGTCTTTTTTTCGAACTTTTGTGTTAGTGGTTCAAATGTCAAAAATCCCTTTATTAGGAAAATGGCAAATTTCTTTATTAATGCAAAGGTGACTTGGTTTATCGTTACTGTGACAAACGAAAACACTTTATTTGATGAATCCTTAAAGAAAATTTTAATTAATATCAATCAGGAGAAAAGTTATTGCAAAAATATATGTTGATCCCTAGACACTTTTGATGTGTGTATATTCAATAACATGTGTAGATGCTGATATCTTTAAGTTAACATTCTATATAAACATTTGGTTTTAGTAAATGACAAACAATGGGAAATGAAATTCAAGTTACTTATTTAATGACAAGTAGCAATTTGCTAATTTAAATCCTTTATTACGTTCTAAGAAACAGAAATTTTGTTATTCGGAGAATGCACTGGTTAAATATTAAGTGGGTACAGATTTCACTTAGCTTTTTAAGACCTCGGGAACATCAAGTAGATTCAAATGTCCTCAAGATTGAATCAGGACGTGCTGTCATCAAATGAACAAGTCTACTTTCCAGGATTCAGTTTACAGGCTCATTTCATCTAACGCATACCTTTATATATTTCCAAAGAAATTCCGAGCAGTTCTAATCAATTGGTTTTTGTCTAGAAATTTTATTAGCTTCTTCAAAGGACCTAGAAATAATTACACACACTTCCTATAGTACAATTAAATGCCTAAATTGACCTACAACCTATCGAATTAAGTATATTGAACTTACCCGTTAATCCGGGGAGAAATATCAAATGAACAATGCACTGACTTTAACTTGCTTATCAACAGTCACTTGTGCAATTAACTGGGTGTTCCAGGGTTCGATCAGCAAAAAGAGACCTAATTCGGCTGCGCACAGCTATTTATAGGGGCATATGGTCACGTGTTAACTGCTATAAGATTTCGCTTCTATCTCCTTATAAGGAACGAAAAATCATCTAAACCGGTTAAGCAGGCCCCGCCTCTTTTAATTCTATCCAGAACATTCATGCGACGTCACATCCAATCTTGTAAATTATTCGACAGAAATCATACACTAACTCCATCTATCATACATCCCAAACACATCTACCAGTTTCACTAAGTTTTCATTCGTTTGCTTATTTAAGCGGCCAACAATATTCGTTGATTTATGTGTATGACGATAGATGGCGCTATTCAAAAATAATAATATTTATATAAATTATTTATAAAATTATGATGCTACAACCTATGCTAATCTCTTATCTATTAGACAAGTCCGTCCGTGGTGCTGTTTCAGCGGCCAAACCGTAAGAGATAGATAAAGAGAATGTTTAAGTTATAAGTTGAGAATAGTCTGATAAGACTACAAACCGGATGTGAGTAACGTAGCACTTCCGGTTTTCGAGAAATCACGTGATTTCTATTTCAAACGAAACCACACAAAATCTCCGAAGTTCTCAATTAATTAAATACATTTTTTTTTTTTGGTGAACATTTGGTTCACTGGTTTGCTAGTATTATTTAATTTGTAACGAATAAATTCAAAAACTACAAGACCGATATCAACAGTAGGGTATTTGACAGTATTAAAAATAAAGTGCCAATTGTTAGCATCTGTGTTTAGAATGAATATTGGCAGGGGTTTTTACTATTTAAAAAAAACAATTTTGCTAGCAATCCACGAAAAAGATAATAGTTTTCTTATCTATTGTCACGTGACCCAAAACGCTTGGGATTGGCGGAGCCTAAAATGACGTCACACGCAAGTAAACTTCCGGTTAAAGTGACATTACATTGTATCGTTTGACGTTTTCATAACAGTCGTGTGACGTCACACACTAGTAAGACGCCATATTCACCAGAAAAACGTTTTCGCGGCAACTTGAAAATGGAGTTTTTGATTTGTTTATTTTAACTGAAATACACAACAGAATGATAAATATCCACTTTTTACAGACAACATAAACATTAGTCAATAACGTGAGATCGTTTTCTAAAACTTGTCAAATACCCTATTAATTCACCATAAGAAAGCTGTATTATTTCTGACTAGGCTTTATTTATTTGCTCTAAAATAAAGTTCTCAAAAAATATTTATCAAATAAAGTTACGGATTCCACACATGCGTATTGGTAAACAACATTCATTCATTACTATATTATGTGTAATTTCACATTTTCTATATAAAAAAAATGCTGTTTTGACAAAGTTAAACAGTTCTGGAATAAATTTTATCGATAAAGGCATTTAAACTGACACATTTTTCGTATTTTATTAAGTTCAACATGTATTTCGTTACCAGGAAGTGAAATGGTTAGTGGATAGCGCGTCGAGCCACTCTGCGATCAATACTCTGTGGGTCGTTCTACTCAGCCGATGCGAAAGCTCCTTGGAACAAAACGTGTTCAGTTTATTGCAACGACACAAGGTAAATTGAACGCAATGACTTTACCTTTATTAATTATAAATTAAAAAGATAGTGCATTTTTTTCAATAATCTATATATATAAAAATGAAACCCGTTTTCCGTTGTCACGACATAACATGAAAACGGCTTGACCGATTTGGCTGTACTTTTTTTTGTAGTTTTCTAATACTCTGTACAAGGTTCTTACGGAAAAAAATATAATGAAAATCCCAAGGGGATAAAATAAGGAATGAAAGTTTGTATGAAACTTTATCAATTTTAAACCGATCGGGCTGAGACTTTGCATGCAGGTATAAGAAGAATCATAGATGAATGTCATTGTGTATAATACAAGCCTGAGAACAAAAACTGTAGTCTACACTTCAGCTCTACACCGAAGCGAAGCGAGGGCGGGCCGCTAGTAATCAATAAATTCTTTTATTTTTATAGCAAGGTAGGCAAATTACTCTACCCCACCTGATGTTCAGTGGTCCTTTTATTGACTAGAAAATTGCCTCAATTTGAATCGAATAATCTGTGGAAATTGACCGATAGTAAGGTTATTATTATTATAGCAAATATTTATTTTTGCTTTTATAAAAACTTTGGTAGAACCTTTAGGTGGTAAAAATATTACGGAGAGTTTAAGGCATAATTTCATCGAGTGCGTTGGGAGTATTAATAACAATATCTCCTTTTTGAAGTGAAAACTTCTTTAGTATCGTTGTGACTTGAGATTCTATGAAACTGACTATTTGACATAAGATAGGTATCCGTAATTTTATCATTTATTCTAAGAGACAGCCCAACGCGAGATTGTATGGCATCTTTGTTTTTTTTATTTACTAGATAAAGGTTTTATTTATTTTTGAAAACAATTTCAGTATAGAATATTTAATTTTGGCCAGTATTTCACAATACATGAATAGTTAAGTATTAAACGTAGGTCCCTAGCTTGTTTATTAATACGGCTCTGGTTTTTATCAACAATCGTTACCATTCTACTGTATGTTATTAACATCTAGGTAATGTGTAGATATATATATATATATCAAATAGTACGTACTATTTAAGTACTATTTCTCCTAGTTAGAGCTTATCTAAATTTGTTTAATTTCATAATTAATTTGTTGTTTTAATTGACTTTAACTTGAATTAATACCTAAATGCATCAATCACGATTTTATTATTTCTGGCCATTTATTATACCCAATTTGTAGACCAGGTCAAACCAGTTTATCCTAAAGTGTACTTATTCGTATTAGGTTCAACATTGTTTAGTCTAGGTTTAACTAGTTTCTCCTATCGGCCATAAGACGAACTAGTTTAGCCTAGTCTGTACCAGTTTATTCTATCACCTAACGGATGAACTGGTTTGGCCTAGGAGAACTAGTTTGCCCTTAAATCAGGTTTGGCCGGTAATATAAACATCATTTAATAGTTTGATTATGTTTTGTCACTTTTTCAGGAAACGATACAGACAGAGGCGATAGAAGACGAGTTGGTCAAAGAAATTTTGGACAGTGGTTTGTTTTTGAAACTAGTATCATCGCCTATTTATTCGTCAATAATATGTTATATTATCAGTGTAGGACCTTCCAAGCTGAATACTTCTGACGATGGTAATATGTACACGGTAAAATGGGCAACTACTGAATTGGTAAGGGCTAACTTCTTAGCTGAGGCTGGTCATCTGCAGCTACTTGCAATGGGAGTGCCGTCACCGCTACGAGGCTTCTCCCAGTCAGTTCAGTTTTGCAAAAATTTGCTTAAACGGAATTAATTTAATCAGAAATAAAATAAGACTTATTTATCTAAAAATTATGTTATGAAATAAATGATATTATAACCGGTCATCTGTTGTTTCATTTAAGTGCGACGGTACAAGTCGATGCTTAAAATTAAAAAATGGGTGCGTGTACTTATGTAGGCGCGTGAGAAGTTATCCTTCTTTGGCATCGTTTAAAATTAGTTTTTAATTGCATGCAAATAATTAATTACAATAAATTAATAAAAAGTCTGGAACAGGACACAGTCAATAAAGTTCAGTTTTAATTTGAAAAAATAAATAAATAATCAATTAAAATCGCTACTGAATATAATTTATTAGAACATATATGATTTGCACTTGTATGAAACTCAAACACGTATTCCGAATGTACAAACTAGAAACATGTGGATAAATATTATAAACTAGCGGCCCGCCCTCGCTTCGCTTCGGTGTAGAGCTGAAGTGTAGACTACAGTTTTTGTTCTCAGGCTTGTATTATACACAATGACATTCATCTATGATTCTTCTTATACCTGCATGCAAAGTCTCAGCCCGATCGGTTTAAAATTGATAAACTTTCATTCCTTATTTTATCCCCTTGGGATTTTCTTTATATTTTTTTCCGTAAGAACCTTGTACAGAGTATTAGAAAACTACAAAAAAAAACAGCCAAATCGGTCAAGCCGTTTTCATGTTATGTCGTGACAACGGAAAACGGGTTTCATTTTTATATTTAAAGATATGAAAACAGTCTCTGTTCTAAATTCAAAACTCGTAACTTTTCCCGATGTTTGTTGTACGTGTTTCCCGCGCTAGGACCGCGAGTGGCCGCGCATGCGTACGGTGCGGCGGGCGACGCGGTAATGGCAGCGCGGCACATGCGCGGCGTCGCTAAAGCGACCAACTTCATGGTGTTAATTTTTTGTGTTACAGATGCGCGCGCATCTTAAAATTTCACTCTCATAATTTTTTTATAACGCGCCTAAAGAAGTATAACTTCAATAATTATTGTAGTTATTTTAGGCTCAATTTATACCGCGGCGGAATAGAACGGAAGCTTAGATTAAAACAAAAAGGGAAGATACGGCACCCTTGGCCCAAAACTAAAACGCTTAAATTGTGGTGCATGACCACAATTCGCTTTAGTCACAATTGGACATTCAAACACGCTGCATGTGCACTCAATATAACAATTTTGCGTATATTCTGTGTTATAAATTAAAACAATGCCTTTCATGCTTTTATAAAGCAATGAAATAGTTCAAGATCAAGTAACAAATTCCCACGGTAACACTTTTCATTTAAATATTTATGAAAAAAATCTTTAAAATCACGGTTTGTCATGAATCACATTTACTTATTCGCTGTTTCTTATCAAGAAAAGGACAATAATACAGCTCAGCCGTTTGTAGAGAGAGAAAAGAAAACGCAGTCCGTTGCCACAGTGGCGTAAGCGTAGTGGGGCGGCAGGGGCGGCTCGCCCCAGGCGAGCGGGACGGCAAAATTTTGCAAAAAATAATAAAAATATTTCAAAGATTTAAATAAGAGGGCGGCAAAATTGTCCTTAGCCCGGGGCGGCCGACACCCACGCTACGCCGCTGGGTTGCCAAGCGACGCAGACTCGCCGTTTCGCTCGCACTGCGTTGAAGCGTACACTTCTGTGTCGCTCGTTCGATTGAATGTTTATTTACAGAAGTGTGTGTGTGTGAGAGTTGCTTATGTATTTAAGAAAGTGCATAAGTTATTTGATGCTAGTATGAGCATACCTAATCTTCCCTTCTTGTTTTGAAGCGTTTATTCATTCCGCGGCGGTATGTATTGAGTCTTAAGACTCTTAAGGCACAAAATAGAGAATTTGCTGCCACTAACTTTGTACTAATACCATAATCACTCGAACTTTTAACGGATCCATGATGACGAAAAACGTACAAATTCATGGAACGTTAACCATTAAACAACTGTGGGGTTGGTCACAAGGGACATGACCCCCCCCCCCCTAATCTAAGGTCAAATTGAAAAGTCTCAAAAATTTGTCAATAAAAGGAAATTAAACCTCGTACTGCGCCTCGGCAGACACGCGATAATTATAAAGGAAATAACGAGGAATATTTTTTTTACTCCACTTATAGTTAAATAGCATAATTACTGACCTACAAGACCAACTTTCTGCGGATACAATAAACTTGTTCGGATTAGGCATTTTTATGCCGAAATCATAATATACAGAAGAAGATCTTCTTTTTGTGAAATTAACTGAATTCTATTCCCATTTTTAAATGTTAAAAACAGTCGTTACAGAGTATCAGCTATGGACTACAAAGTAGAAACGGGAGGTCACAGAAAATGCTGATACGAAACTTCCTAAGTGTGTAGTTTCTGCTATCGAAGTTTGTGATGATGATTTATACCCAAATATAAAGACATTTCTCAAAATTCTGGCAACTCTTCCCATAAGTGGTGCGACAGCAGAGCGATCCTTTTCTACACTTAGGCGTGTAAAAACGTGGTTGAGAGCTAACATGATAGTAGAGCGATTAACAGGTTTAGCTCTTCTAAACATTCACCCGGAAATAATAGATACCAGATGTCTCAAATACTATTACGATTCGCAAATACAAAAAGACGACTTCTATTTGTTTTATAAGTAATGTATATAATAAAATTGTGTCTTGCGCAATGTTTATTTTATTCTAGATACCTATTTTTTATTACTGTAGTGAGTGACCCCCTCCAAAATTTCAGGCTGCGACCGCGCCTATAACTGACTAGGAATTTTGGCGGGATTTCATCGAGTGCGGTTGGCGTCTTTTTTTTAATTATTATTAAATTCGTTCATAGTAAATATTGTGAAATAAAATTGGTGTAATTTTGTGTTACAAAAATGAAGAATTAATGGAATCTTTAAAATATACGCTATTCCGGTCAAGTGGACGTGAGAAGTTTTGTACGGTGCAATAACCGTACATTCTGCGCGGTCAGCGGTTTACGCCCTCGGCGAAAATTTTATTATAATTGTAAAATCAATTCACAATCAGCAATCGACGTGTACTCATTGATCATTATATTTTAACAATATTTTAACATAAGTTGACGTGTAACTTTACATATCAATAAACGGTTAAATATCATTTTTATCTATCATTTAATGTACGGGATCCGTACATTTATGGTCCTTCGAGCTTTTGACCTTTCGTGCGGGTCGGTCTAAAGCAGGATCATTCGCGCGTGAGGAGTATCGGTGACTATCAGGAATTGCAGTGCTGGTAAGCAAGTATCCAGTAGCTGTGCAGTACCGAGCAGGCGGTGAATCGAACTATAGTCAAGTAAGATCTTTCCAATTTTTTACAAATAAATATGGAAGATTTATTAGCAAATCAGGACTTAAAAACTGTTGACAATAGTAAATTCTGTGTTCCTCGGCGCAAATTGGACACGATTTAGTATTCTTTTGATAATTTATTTTCTTGTTAATTGGATTGACTGTTTTTGATGAAACCTTGTTGGTGGAGAACGATTTATAGTTAGAGAATTTGTTTGATTTTTGCGTCGCTACCGGAGGTAGATTACCTGATTTGAATACATTTTCTTGCTTTCTACGTGTTGACGATGACTCCATAGTTGTAAATTTTATCTCCAGGAAATTTAAAAATTCCTTCAATGTAGGCAGTTCGCGTGGTTGTTTCAGAGACTCTAAGTAATCATTGTAGGTGTCAGAGTCTAATTTCAGCGACATTTGCAAGGCGAGTTTGCAAACTCATCAAATGAAACCAAAAATATCAAGACGAACCCTGGACCATCATCAAGTAGTTCGTATGTCTCACAGAAAAACGATACCAACGAGATTCTGATCACAACGGCTATTATTAACATACAGGCCCGAGATGGAACATATCATAAAATGCGCGCTCTCAATGCTCACAAATGTCGTTAATAACTGAAAAAGCGGCGCATCTTCTTCAGCTTCCAAAATCAAGGTGTAAGGATATCGTATCAGGCGTGGGACAAAAAGAAAGTATGTGCAAAGGAATTGTCAAATTAAATTGTACGCCAGTATTTAACAACGACTTTAAGTTTAATGTTGAAGCTTATATTATGAATAAAATAGTAAAAAATCTCCCAAGTAAAACGATGGCTAAGCAGAACTCGGCGCACTTGGAAGGTTTGGAATTAGCAGATAGTAACTTTAATATCAGTCGGCCCATCGATATCATATTAGGATCAGATATTTCCCTGGAACTTACATTAGACGGAGTTTGCAAGGGCCGTTCACCATCGATGCCTGTTGCGCAACGCACAGAACTCGGGTGGATAATCTGTGGAAGCAGCATAAAAATCAAGTCACAAAATCTCCAATGTTGTCACGGTTACCCTGGTCTACTAACTAAGGTTAACAGAAATGAGACAACAGAATACCATGCAAAATAATTATTTTAATAAAAAAACTCGACCCGGAGAAATCAAAAATTATACAGGTGGGGTTGAGCACTTAATCCACACAAGTTCTTGGCTTCGTCGGTTTAGGTACTCTCTTGTGTAACGCCGGGTAGTTGGTAATCCCGGGAGTCGCGTTATGGAAACCGCTGGCGACTGGAGGCTGCAGGAACGGGTAGCTGAGCCCGGCAGAGAGCACCCTCGTGTGGTGGAAGTAGGGGCTGTGGGGTGATACCGGCCAAATTGGTATCCCGAGCGTTGAACCCCAGTTTCGGCGCTGTCGACACTCACTTCACAATAATTTATGGTATTATTTATTTGAGGAATGCTTAGCGACGATCACGAAAAATATTATATTATGGTTACGAGTTTTAAAGATTATTAATTTTTCCCGTATTAGAAACCAAAAATTTCTATGTGACGTACGTTCACTCAAATTAGATCGAGAAATGAAATGAAATGGCGGGCGGGTTTTAGCTTAGCGAGAACAAAAGATCCTGCTTGGAGCGCTAAAATGTTGCATCGCGCGAGTTTACGTATACAAATGCGCTTGATGAATTTATGTTGCATTTTGGTTTCTG